ACAATCCTTTCCACCAGTCCAATATGCTAACTCAACGCATACATTTGCAATTCATTTTTCCCTCTCTAAAATCAGGAGGCTTTTTTTTTCAGAAAATTGTAATGATCTTAAAGGGAAAATACAACATTTGCAAACATCAAAAATAAAACTACCAGATCATTTTGAAATACCTTGCTGGACTGTTAGTGAATGACAGTGTAAAGCATCCTGTAAAATCATGGCACCTGGTATACTATCATTTTCAAGAAAAGTGGTATTTTTGTATCAATTTCCAACGCTGGTCGGCCGACCAGCGTTGGAAAAAACTGGCTTTTTTTCAAATACTAGCCCCAATTGACCATCACTCTTGTTTGCAATGGATTACACACCTACATGTATGAACGGGTACAAGCCAGCTAGACTGGTTCCCTGACCCTACATTTCCCCAATGTATGCAAACTGCTCTGTTTCTTCTTATATGGAGTCAGGGAACCAGACTACAGGAAAATGATTGTTTTTCTTGGTTTCTATAGCATTTTCGAACCCAAAACCTCAAAAAAGTCAGTGTAACTATATTCGCTATATATTTCCAACCCCCCAATTCCATCCATTTCTGAAAATTACAGCGAAAGCAAATGATGTATATTCCCTTTAAAAGGGCTTGAAATTTGTTCATCGAAAGTTTACAGGTTCTGCACATGAAGTGATGCACCTCATGTGACAAATACTTTTGCGTGTGAAACTTAACAAATTTGGAAAATCTGGTCAGGTTATGGAACTTCAGCATGATATGACCCTGATTCGGCACTGTATAGTACAAAGTACATGTGGCTTAATTGATGTCTTTCAGCGTCTTAATTTGTTCAAGTTTGTTCAATAAACATCGTTGAATTTCATGGGAATCAGGACTTAACCAGTCAAAATACCACAGGGTCACTACCTTTTGTATTTGTAGGGATTTCCCCCCGTTTAATTGAATTCAGCAATTGTAGGCAGTAAACCATTGAAATTCCTATTTTCTTTAAAAACATTTCCTATACAATGTACATTTCCCAGAAGTAATGCGGAATTCAGGATTGCTTTTGCGATTGTCAAAATGGCCCCATACAAGAGTCATCATGCATGGCCTGCCCTTTCTCTTTTTTCCTGCTCGAGTTAAAGCACTTTCAAGCAAGTGTTAAAACTAGCATATATTCCTACAGTATGTGAAATGAACTTTAGATATTTTGTGTGTGTGATAAGAAGAGCGTACGCGTTTTAGAATTTGGTTTTTTGCCTTGCAATAATCGGGATTTGAATTCAAGGAGAACGCCTGCCGCATTTCAAGGAAACGGTGAATTTATCAGTTGGCAAATATTTTGACTGAAAAAAGCAAAATCAACATAACCTTTTCTTACAAAAGATATGCAGAAGGTCAAGGGAGATTCCCTAATCAGCCGTACTAAATCAACCCATGTGAACATTGAGTTATATGGGCAGTTCCAATGTTATTAAAGAAATTGTAAAGTCCGTGACAGAGCCCATTTTATTAACCATTATATTTTAATTAACCCTCCTGCTATTTAAACAGTCACAGACTGTCAAAACTTCCATCTACTTCCCCTGCTATACTTTTAACACAGGCTGTAGTCACCACTGGTGCAGTCAGGCAAGCACTGTGACTAGTCAAACTCAGTCAACGGACTGACAAAGCAGGCAAGTTGTGGGCACAGCTGGCTTATCAATTACCCACTGCCAAAACAAAGCTTTATCGAGTTTTATCGAGCTTTATCGAGTTACTTAAACAGTCACGGCAAGTCAATCCTGCTTTACATGTATGTACAAATGTAGGCTGGGAATTCTTAACTGTTGAAAACAGTCACTTGATTGATTTTGACTGAAAGGACAACTTGGCACAGAATGTATGTTTGTAAAGTACCACCGGTAGGATTAACGATTTAGAGAAATGATCCAAACCTCCTAGTCTGTAATCTCCCTGACCATTACTAGATGATAGATGTATTAGATTTGAAAAATACATTTTCAGGTTTATTCACTGAGCTCTTAAAAGCAATGCTGGAATTGCCCATATATATAAATGGTCCCTGTAGAACACATGTGACGTCAACTTGTTCAGCACATGTCTGTTGGCGAAAATCAAATTAACCCACATAACCTGTGCAAGATTCTGCAGTTGTTATTGTCTTTTATTTGCTTACGAAATGTACATCCAAGATACATGTAATTGGGTTTACCATGCTCCATGTGTTCAACATACAGGTGAGCATGTGACCTGGTTGGGTATGTCAAGAATTCCGAAGTTCATATAGTAACCATATGGGGAATTAATGGTATACATGTATGTATGTGTGTGGTAAAACAGATATACACAGATGTACATGTAAATACATTTACCGTGAACATATGTTCCGATATTTTCCTATTGCACCTTATTTCGTGGACTATCATTTGATATAAAGAACCAGGATGTGGGGGTGGGGGAAGAAACAGAATAATATTAGTCTTGAAAAGAAAAGTATCAAATACTTGTTCAGCATTGCGTGACATTTCTGCATTCGACTACATATAAATTATAATGAGCAGGCTTCAAAGTACTTTTGATTGAATTACCCCTAAACCAAAATTAATTAAACCCAATGCCCCTGCCCGATACAAGTGGCATTATAACTGCACACAGCAATTATTTTACAAAACTATTGATTTAGTCAACATATTGTCAATCTCTGTTTCTCATTGAAGGAAGATATTTTTAATGCAGATGTATTTTGGATATGCATAGTTGCATACAACAAAAAACTACATTGGCCAAAAATTATCATTCAGTGTGCTATATTCCAGTATTGTTATATCCGCTTTGCATACATCTGAATTATTGCTGGCACCTAGAATGTACGTGTACTAGATCATAATTCATGATGACATTAATGTCATAAAAAGGTCACATATCCGTGGATTTCATTATGTTCCCATGAATGACTCCCTGCCTGCACTATATCTCGACGCCTTTTCAGCAGTCGGTCCTTACAGATTTCTAAGCATTGATAACCGGTAAATGGAAACCGCAAGGAGAATTCTTGAAACCCGATGCCACTACCCGATAAAAGTGGCTGTTATAACCGCACACAATCCCGTTTACAAAGTGGGACTGAAAGCTGGGAATACATGCCGGCTGTGGTTGGATTCAAAGATGGAAACTAAATACACGTCCATGAAGAGATTTGGTGTGTTCATTACGCCACATGGCACGGGTACTGTCTGTATCAGGAGTACCAGTAGGAATTCACAGAAAATGGAAGTTGAAACGATTAAAATGTTCGCACATAGTTTTTTTTATCATCTGTTTGAATCAATTCAATTTAATTTCATCATCAATTCGGAATATTATTCTGGTTTATTCAATATCTTAACCCTTCTTTTGTTTGATCAGTCACAGACAGTCAAAAATACTGTTCTCCTGCCATGTCTGCAGGCTAGTCACCAACAGTCAGATCATATTTCTTGTAGGCACTGTGACTAGTCAAATTCCATCAACAGACAAAAGCAGGTGACTGGTAGGCACAGCTGGCTTATCAATCTCCTACAGTCAAAGCGTAGCTATAACAGGTTTCATAACAATCACAGCCAGCCAATCCTGCTTTATGAAGGCAGGGAGAACTCAACTGTTAAAAAAAGTCACTTGATTTATTTTGACTGCTGGGCTGGCCTTGTTGAAATTGCCAGCCAGAGAGGGATGGATTTACACGTATAATGTGGGTTATGCAATTGTAAAATGAGAATTGTAAAATAAAGAAACTGTAAAATGAGAATTTCCTTGGCCCTAACTATCCTACATTGTTGACAGATGTACCTGTGGTTATTCCTATCTCAACATTGTTGAAATTTAGAGAGTATGTGCCATCATTTGTTTACTTCAAATTGTTGGATTTCAAAGGAATAATCAAGCACTTGCAAAAAATGGAGAAGACATAAAAGATACAATTAAATGTTAAAATCATACCTGAGCTTTTCTATTGCAATGTTTCTTTTCAAATAGTCTTCATATTGTCAGGTTTGATTCATTTATTTGTGCCGATTGTTGATTATTGTGTTTGTTTAGCTGCATTGTTTTTATCAAAGATCTAGCACCTTTTGTTCTGTCACTCAGAACACATTAAAAATTAACCCAGTACATCAAACATGCTCTGAATCGTAATAACCCATATATTTATATCACAAAACACGCTAGATAAGCTTGATCAGTAACTTATAGTGTGAGTAATTGAAATGCTGTTATATTGTTTCTTTTTGTTAAAGGGAAAATACAACATTTGCAAACATCAAAAAATAAAACTACCAAATCATTTTGAAATACCTTGCTGGACTGTTGGTGAATGACAGTGTAAAGCATCCTGTAAAATCATGGCACCTGGTATACTGTCATTTTCAAGAAAAGTGGTATTTTTGTATCAATTTCCAACGCTGGTTGTCCGACCAGCGTTGGAAAAAAAACTGGCTTTTTTTCAAATACTGGCCCCAATTGACCATCGCACTTGTTTGCAATCGATTTCACACCTATGAACGGGTACAAGCCAGCTAGACCGGTTCCCTGACGTTACAATTCCCCAATGTATGTAAACTGCTCTGTTTCTTCTTATATGGAGTCAGGGAACCAGACTACAGGAAAATGATTGTTTTTCTTGGTTTTTATAGCATTTTCGAACCCAAAACCTAAAAAAAGTCAGTGTAACTATATTTGCTATATATTTCCAACCCCCCAATTCCATCCATTTCTGAAAATTACAGCAAAAGCAAATGATGTATATTCCCTTTAAATATACCATTGTTTTGATCTACTAGTCAAGAATTTATAAATTGGCTTTTTTCCCCCCAATTGGTGAGTACCTTTAGTATGATTGTGAAGTACGTGTTACGGGCAAGTATTGTTGTTTCGGTAGGTTGATGTGATGAAGTTCATGTCCCAGGCAACTAATAAAAAATAAAAATTGTTGATTTTTTTTCCTCTCATTTTTCTTTCCTTTCAGGGCTACACAAAGGAGACTCCCTCCATTTTGTTCAAAGGAAGGAAGGGGGTAAGTTTATGTTTCCTTTTATGGTGTCCGTTCCTCAACCGTATGATGATTTCTGATTTAATCAGGCATGCAACTTTTCCTCTGAACAGCTGACTTCCCCTTTTTTTTACTTCCCATGTGCGACATTACAAATCGAAAAACACTGTACAAATTCTTGGAAAGATTTGAATTTCCTCTTTTTCTGTGACTTCCCAGTCGCACGCCTGTTTAATCATCACTGCCACAAACGGTTTACCCAACATCATCGCCTACGACCACATGTGTCTCATTGTCCCAAACAAAATTGGATGCTGTCTCGATTTTGCTGTCATTGATGGCAGTTCTGTCTCGAGCCCAAAGCGGGCATTCATAATTTCTTCAAAAATATTTTGGGTGTGATTTGGTTGATAGTTGAATGCAGAAATTGACTGGGGCGGGTTTGAACCTGCGACCTCCGGATAGCCGTTCCGGTGCTCTACCAACTGAGCTATCCAGCACTATGTTGGTTCTTCCCCAATTTGTCAATGTCTTTGTTCAAGGGACGTAGTCAGAAAGCCGTAAACCCGTATGCCGTGTAGCCAGGGATCGCATACAAGTCACGAGCTAGCAACATTGTCAATGCTGCAAACCTGGGAAATAGCAAACGGGGATCACATTTTAACAAACTAAGTAACATTTTTGCAAAAGGGGCTTGTAACAGACTCTCAAAAACCAGAATCCAACTTTAATTTCCCATGGTGTTTATCAAGCTCCTCTAATTTAGAATGCGCACAGCAAGTGGGTAGCCATTTTTAGACATCAGAATTTTGTGCATGTCTCAAATTCCTGCACGTGATTCAGTGCTTCTCCATTGTTTCTCAGGGATGGTAACTCTTGTGATTTCTGCAGTTTTTTTCTCCTATTCCCTGGAGCCTATAGCTAGTGTAGAAATATAACAAGGGATATGACGCATTCGTCTGACTCAGCAACCAAAATTCATCCCTAATTACGATCGGCACTCGTGAACTGTGTGAATTTACAAGGTTTTTTTTTCGCTTTTCTCCATTTGCGTTATCAAATTAACCCCACTCTTAGGTTATTGACAACTTTCATTTGCAGAAATATTTTGAGTTGCTTGCCTGCCTTTTCAGATTAAAAAAAAATTTGAAGAAATGTTTGTGAAAAATGCTAAATAATTGTCACCTTCCAATTTTCATTTTGCTCCGTGCAATCTGTTCAAAAATAATCGTTGGTGCTTCAGATAGCGTTTCAGTTTGGTGAATTCAGGACTGTATAGACTCCGTGCGCAAACAGCAGAGGGCGCTTTTTTACGCCGGGGTTCGAACCTGCGTACCACGGCATAAGAGTCGAACACCGTAACCATTGGAACACAGCACCCCACCCAATAATTTTACATAAACAAGTATTTAATGTACAGTTGTGTGCACAGAAGCAGCTAATAAAATGTTGTAAGAATCAAATTGAGTACATTTTGAATTACGGACCTTCAAATGAATGAAAATACATTATTATGTTTTCAGTCTTTAACTGATTCTGTGGGTTCCCCCTTTCCCTGCTAAAACTGAACAAATTTTTCATCATCTTTGCTTTTAAAACATGTTTTTCAGGCTTGTGTGCCGCATTTACATTGACATCGACACTTGTTAAGAATTATTGGAATTGTCATCAGAAGCACATGTAGATAATCATTCTTTTCTTCTCCCCAAAGATAATAACATTTCCGGTCCGAGATGGAGGAGACAGCGATGGATTCCAGGACTTCAAGTTCACGGTTCAACCATTGTCGGTTCCCACTGGAAGCAGCTACGAATGCATCCAGCAATTCAAAAACAGGTGAGAATAATCCCAAATCCTTCAAAATCCAACAATGTTTTGAAGGATTTTGTAGGAATGAGGAAAGTAGAGCCCACCCACTAAACATGGAGCCTGATGCATCCAGCAAGTTAACAACTAGGTGAGAATAATCCCAAATGCTCCCAAATCCTTCAAATTCCAGTGGGAGGTTTTTGGAGGAGTTTGCGAGTGTGTACATGTAGGTTGCGTGTGCAGGGCGCATGCGCTACCTATCATAAGTTACATTATGTTCACTGTAAAATCTCCCACAACCGTACTGCGGTGATTTACTTTATTTCTTGCAGAGTAGGTCGCAACGCTTATCTTTTGTTGTCAAGTGGCACGATATTACAAAACAATTGTAGACTGCTGTGATGTGAGACATGGTGTTTTCTACTCCCTTGATGATGCATACATGTAGCAGCATTGTGTCCGTGGGAATAAAAAAACAACTGTCCCACGTCACAGTAGTCATCAATTGTTCAATCTGCCATGAAGTTTCGTCATGGGTGCCGGACTGTGCCAGAACTGTTTGTGGTCTTTACATATTTTTGACTTTCTATTTATATTTTCTATCAACGATGCTAACGTCAGCAAAGCTATTTGCAGTACCATATTTTTAATGTTCACAAGTTTTGTAGCATTCAGTTTCATTGCAGTGCTGGTACATGGGGTATCCAGTTACACAGAAAATACATGTTCACCCTAATAGGCAATCAACTGTCACGCCAGATCTTAAATTAGACTTTATTATGACAGAGGATTACATTTCAACACATTATTGATAGCTCTACACTGCACCACATGTTTTATCACCTGTACTTCGTATCGAGTGGACTTTGGTTTTTCCGTTTAATTTGTATACATGTATGTAAATATGCTTAAGGGTGATATACAGCATTGGTTCTTGCTGTATTTTTCAGAAATGGAGGGATTTTTGGGGGTTCGTATCTTATAGCAACAAATTTGTGTTTCATAGATGGTGGAAAAACCAAGCAAAAAATGTTGTTTTTGTATTCTGGTTCCCTGACCCTACTTCAGACAAAAGGGAGCCGTTTATAGATGTCAGGGAATTATCAGGTCAGGGAACCAGACTAGCTGGCTTGCGCCTGTTCAGGGATGTGTAATCGAAATTTGGTAAATTGTGGGCAGTATTTGAAACAAGTCAGTTTTTTTTCCAGTGATGGTCGGCCAACCATCGTTGGAAATTAATACAAAAATATGACTTTCCTTGAAAATGACAGCACACCAGGTGCCATGATTTCACAGGATGCTTGAGACTATTATTCACTTACAGTCAAGTAAGGTATTTCATAATAATTTGCTAGATTTGTTTTTTGATGTTTGCAAATGTTGTATACTACCTTTAACTAATTTATTTCCAAGTTGAGACTTTTGGTTTCATTTGGCAATTTGTGGTGAACAGAATGTTAAAATCTACTTCAAAAACATTCTTTCCAGTTAAATATTTTGGTTTATTTTAACGTTTGATATAATTTCTTACCTTGTCAAATAAAAACCTGGAACGATTAATTTAACGACAAATCGAAAGAAAAATGAATAACACAAATATCCGTGCAAACAATGCAACAGCTGGGCACATGTTCAGGAATTCATGTCGGCAAAAAGTCAGCTGCATTTGTTCATCTGTGCTGTTATCTATAATAGAATTTTAATAAGGTACTAATTGGAATAAAATTGTATTCCTATCAACAATGAAACACAATCAAGAATCATACGTACTGGGAATCCCAGAATAATTTTTTTCTATGCAAACATAATTTCTAAAGTCAATAATATTAAAAAAAAAAAAAAAAGCTCGCTTTATGCTTGCCATGTAATATTGCTCAACTTATCGACTTTGCACAGATAATTTCTGTCAATTTTGTGGTTTTGAAAGAAGTAGAAATTATAGATAACTCGTGCTGTCTGTTCTAACAAGTTGGGTATGTGCAGCAAACGTTGTTTTTTTTCCATGACACATTTTTGGTAATTTTAGACGCATGGCTCAACACTCTTTCTTTACTTCTGTGATCTTGTGACACTAGGAATAGAGAAAACATCTCAATTACCAATATTTTTAGGATAAATTTGATGTTCTAGTGTCGCTATACAATTTCCACAAAATGGGTTAATCTATTGCCCCTGCCCATTTCAACTTTGATAATAAACGTAAGCAGAGAAGCTTTTTCAGTCTTTTGCATTTTCTTTTTTAATTTTTGCAGTAAGGGGGAACCTCATCTGGACTCCATCAGCCAGATCAAGACCAAGGTGATTGTCTCAGCCACCGACGATGTCTACCAAACCACTCAGGAGAAAATGAAACTTGCCGATGAAGAAATGAAAAAAATCAGGTACAAAGATAATAATCGTAATAATAATAATAATGCGGTGCTTATTTAGATGTTTATACCAAAAGTCTCAAAACGCTGCATAGTTGTTATCCCTGTTCATCAGGTTGTAAGACCATTTTTCTGCAGCAGCTCGAGATCAGCGCAATCTGGTCTCTACCGTCACGGGTACCCATTTATACTCCTGGGTGGAGAGAGGCAATTGCAGTAAAGTGTCTTGCCCAGGAACACAAGTGCCATAATAAACACAAAGATATACCCTTTATAAGTTCAACCCTGTCCATGTGGTGAGTTGATGTCTCTCCTCCAAATGGTGCCTGCTAGAATAACGAGCTGGTATAGACTGATTCGCATATATGCTATCGCTTCTTTTACGGACGCCCCCATCAATGGCAGAAGCATTGTGCTAGCTGTTGTACAGATAATCCATCATGGGGCAGTTGCTTCGTACAGTAGCATGCACAATGGTTTCTCCATTGAAGGGGGCCACGTGAGTGTATGGTGATCACGTGCCTGGATTTGTCTGTATAAACTCAACGGTCATAGTGTATCGTCAAATTGACCTATCGCGGTGGAATCGCGTTAGAATCGCGTCAACGCAGCTTGTGAAAAATTGTCCAATTACATGATATACAAATGGACACGGAACGCGCAAAGTCTGAAACAAACAAAATTTAGTGTACAAAAGCGCCATATGGTTGTCTTAGGGGCGTGGCTAACTCACAAACGGCGATAGGTCAATTCTGTCTGATTACCACAAATAATCACAGTTAATTGTTGAACTCTGATTTTAATGTTCAATTCAATTCAAACACAGTTATTTCCATACCAAATGAGAAATACCAGCAGAGAATACATGAGTTAGTAAATAAACAAGAGGCAAATATATATATATAGGTATGGAGGCACTCTCTAGAAGCCTAGGCTTGTGGCGAGATGCCTTGGACGGACTAACACAGAACAGAAACAAGAACAAGTACATAGGGATAGCTGAACCAGGACAAAATGATATTCATGAAAATGTACGGATAAACCATCACAGTACGTATTATGAGAGAACACCAACAAAAATGCTGGGAAAAAAAATGAGAAGCAAGCTATGTCAGATATTGGGAGATGAGAGCTCTTTTAAGGCATGTTTGCTTTTGCCGTTCACCAAGCTGAAATTATAAGCACTGTACACCCTGTGCTGCCAGGATGTTTGTGAGATAAGTTCACAAGCTTACTCTGATGGGATTTGAACCCACGACCTCCTACTTACTGGTCAGCTCTGAGTATACAGTGATTGTGGAATTAATCTGTGAAGGATAAACTTATAACTCTCCTTGATGCAACTTTCCATCATATAAAAATGTATAACCTCTGGTACAACTTGAATTCAATGTTCTATAATTTTTGGGTTTTTTAACAGCACGAAAGAAGTCAGCCAGAAAGAAGTAAAAGCCACCCGTAAGGTCAACAGAATCACCAAGCGGCCCAGCCTGACAACTCAAACTAAATCGACCCACGTACAACGCTCCAGTCAGCCCAGCCACAGTAAACCAAGCCACACGTCAAGTGCAATAAGCAGGAGTAATGGTACCCTGGCTCCGTCTAGCAGAACACCACAAGTCACGGCGAAGGGGGCCCCGACTAGTAAACCTGCCACCCCCAATAGATCATACAGGTAAGTCCGGCCATTGGGAATTTCTTTCATGGCTGTGGCTTTCTTCTATTGCTTAACTCTTGCCTTAAGCCATAGCCATTGACATGCAGACATTAAGTCTTAGTACATGCAGGAATCTCTATGGGCTCAATGGGGTTAAAGGCTTACAGAAATATAAATAAAAGAAAAATCTATGAAGGCTTTTTGTGTTGTTTTTATGAAATAAGAACCCTTCTCTCTGCCTTTAAAACAGAAACTCACAATAACACCTGTCTTAATGAATTTCGCATGTGAAAACAAGATGCCCACATGACGACCTGAAATCCATAATTTTAGCCAAAAAATCCCACTTTTTTTTTTTACAAAACATACAGTTTACCATACACCAACTCACGTAAGTGTGTATTTGCCTGCAATCGGTGACCCCCTTTTGTCCTTCTTTTGTTTGTACTTTAACTTTTTAGGAAGACCTCCCTTATGTTTTGTACACGAATCCAAATAGGGGGCCTCTGGGGAATTGGGGACCCTATTGACCTCTATTGATCAACGTCCCCTATTGAATGCAGAAACAAACTCACTGGCACACCACTCAAATAAAAGGCCTTGTTGTCCCGTTTTAGTTGGTGCCTCATTTGAGGTTGTGATGCTTGTAGTTCTGAAGATATAAATTTTTCCCTTTTAGCCGTGTCCATTTTTGTATGAAATTTCCTTATTGTCTCTTCTTGATTGCAGGGACCGTGTGATCCATCTCCTAGCATTAAGACCTTACAAGAAGCCAGAATTGATCCTAAGACTACAGAAGGACGGCATTGCAATGAAGGACAAGAACCAACTCAGCAACATCCTATCACAGGTGAGCTTACCATCCTAGAGAGATTATGCTGCAGTATCTTAGATTAAACCTAACCCCTACAGGCCCTTTGAGGCTAGGAACCATCCTCAATCTTGCAAAACCCTCCAACTGCCACCATGTAAAAATTGGATACAGCCTCAATCCTCCAAAATCCATTTCTTGAATTTGTTCAGTGGAGGGGTGGCCACTGCCTCGATCCTTCGGAATCCTTCTACAATTACTGTGATACGTTGCGGCAGTGCCAATCATATCCAGCTGCAGCACTGCTTACAATAATCGCATCGGTTACAACATTTGTATGAAGATGGGTACAAATCCCAAAGTCTTGGGGCTGAAATCAGACACAGTGTAATGAAAAATAGCTCTGGAAATGGTACTCAGAGATATAAATGAGTTATAAACATGAATTCATAACTACCTAAGACAGTTTAGCCGTTCCTATTGGGCGAGAGCCCGTCACATGGCCGGGTTTAAACAGATGATAAAGACATGGCTGGCTGGTCTTAAACAATTTTCCAGTGTCACATGAAATTTTGAGTCCAATGAAATCTGGTGCCAGCACCGTTTTATCGGTTGAACGTTCACAATCCTCGCATAGGCATGTGTAATACTACCAGTGAGTCAGTATTTCATAGTCCTAAATTCACACTACACCGGTACATCTGCGTTGTGTGCCACATCACACAGTACGCGCGTCAATCTCCATATAAGGAGTTGTTTACCAGAGGGCCTTACCATTGTATAGCTAGAGGGGTGTTTTGTTGATCGAAATCGTTGGAAATTTATAATTTCTGACTTGTTTTGACTTTTGGACCGAAAAGTTTTGATTTGTTTTTACCGAAAAGGTATTTATGAATGGGAATAAAATGTGCTTGATCGGCATCGGCCAGGTGGGAGTCTGGATGCTGATCGCCTCGGGTAATTATCAGCACCCAGACTCCAACCGGTCTGAAACAGAGTGTTTAATACCTCTCAATCACACATTTATGCCTTTAATAATAATAGTAATGTGTATTTATAAAGCGCACATATCCATCAGTATTGGTGCTCAAGGCGTTGCATCATTGTATGTGGCAACCATCCTGCAACTGAATATTATTTGATGAATTTGAATGTGAATTTATGTATGAGCACTACAGCTGTGTTATACTTCGTTCAAACTGCATTGTTCCATTTCATTAAATTATTCTTTATTTATTGGTAATTCTGACTTTCATCTTTGCGTTTTGTCGGTTTCAGGTTGCGACGTTATCACGGGAGAACGCCTACATATTGAACAAGCATTTGTACAGCGAAGTCCAAGAGGATTGGCCATTGTATAGTGATGTAGATAGACAGTTATTAAGAAAGTAAGTCAAACTTTTAAAAATATCTTTGCAGAGCGGTACCAGGATTTGAAAGTGCTTCCTTGCAAAAGAACAACTTTTGGTTTGGATCATTCAGTCACTTATTTTTTCCAAATTGCCATTTTCAGTTTTTAGTTTATTTTATCATAATGATAAGGAAGCATCTTAAAATACAGAATGTTTAGATTGTTCTCTTGAGATTACAGCATTTTCAAGTCAGAGGCAACAAGGTTTCAACTTGATATTATCTGAAAATGCCAAGGGTTGTATTAGAAATTCTGATATGTGTGAATAAAAATAAGAATGACCTGTTGGAAATTAGATTGTTACTTTTTCTTAGCAATGTGCCTTGTTCCCAAAGGAAAGCTTTGAGATATAAATCATAAAGATTCCTTCATTTGATCAGTCACAGACAGTCATAAATTCAATCCTGTTCCCCTGCCATGCCTTTTACACAGGCTGGTCACCAACAGTCAGATCATATTTCTTGTAGGCACTGTGACAGTCAAATTCCATCAACAGACAAAAGCAGGTGACTGGTAGGCACAGCTGGCTTATCAATCACCTACAGTCAAAGCATAGCTACATCAGGTTTCACAACAATCAAAGCCAGTCAATCCTGCTTTATGAAGGCAGGGAGCACCCAACTGTTAAACACAGTCACTTGATTATTTTGACTGCTGGTCTGGCCTTGTTGAAATTGCCAGCTTGGGAGGGAGGATTAATTAACGAAGTTATGATGTCATCAAACTCCTCTTCTAGCCCTCTCAATTAAGACAAACATGGCAAGTTTTTGACACATCTCAGTTGGTAGAGCACCGGAACAGCAATCCGGAGGTCCCAGGTTCAAACCTGACCAGGCGCTCCAGTCAATTTCTTTGTTCAACTTTGAAAAATTATTACAATGCACCTAGTCAGTTTTCCTTGGTTTATATGTATATATTTATATACTTATTTTTCCCTCTTTTTTTTCCTCAGGAATCTAAGAAGTTTAAACCAGAAAGAACATTCCTCCTCTGTAAACTCCACTCCATCCGTGTCATTGTCATCGTCATTGTCATCCTCGTCATCCTCATCCTCGTTGAAGCAAGCGTTTGTAAGGACGGTGACAAGAATGCCATCCAAAGATGTCCCCCAGACCAGACCGGTCGCCAAGCCTGACCCTGTACGGACTGCCGCTGACAAATTCAAAGCCAGAATATCGGTAAGATGAAGTCTAGTATTTCGGAGCTGTAATCTTCGCGTTGGACTATTTCAAGGGCCCATGATATGGAACTTTTCTAAATGCAGTCCTTGAAATGTACCTGTGTGTCCCATTCAAGTTCATTTTTAATCTTCATGTTGGCATTTTCAGGGCAGTTTGGTGCCTTCTTGTTCTTTATGCTAATGCAGATTTCCATATTCATGAGCAAAACCGTGATGTCATTTATTAGGCAGAAACTTGTCACAACTGCTTCTGCATAAAAAGTCACCAATATTGTAGGGGTTTGCTTTGGTTACTCCTCTGTTTTCAGTGATTCATTTGTTGTTTCCGTACATGAAATGAAGACAATGACAAAACTTTTAGCATAAATGTTTCCAAAAAGCACAATTTTGGGTTTCAATTTGAAGAGAAAAATCCTAATCTGAAGAGTGTGTTCCTGAAGTGACAGCGCCCTCAATTGTCAAAAAAAAGCATGAAACATTTTAAATGTTTAAAAAGTGCACTTTGCAAAGCTTTTGCCAAAAGGGATGTCTTGTTTTTTTGTATAAGTTTTAGAGTAATGGATATTTGCTATAAATATGCTTCTGTGTAAATTCGTCACATGGACCCTTTAATAATCTACGTTATTTAAAAAAAAATTAATTCTTCACATCTTAGGCTCCAAAGTCTTCAAACCCTCTCAGGGTTGTGATATTCTTGCAAGTAGCTGGCGAGGAAAAAATTAATATTGCGAAAAATTGTTGATAGGTCGTTGACTGCAATCCATTTTGAGTTTGGTTCTGAAAGGTTTGTTGCTGTTATTTTCTGAAGTGAAACATGCCTCAGATTTGACACTTCGTGCTTAATCAGAAAACATAGAGATTAATTAATCGGAAGTTAAATAAGTTTGATTTTCTTTGTTTACAGCATAAGAGACCACTCTTGCCAGACGTCGTTGATTACAAGCAGCCGAAAAAGACCCGAATTGCCCACAACACTAAAAAGCTAAGCCCTACACCCGACGCGACGTCATTGTCATGTTCCCCACCTTCCAAGTACGATGTCAGCAGTACCACCAAACAGTCACCAGACTATAATGCACCTAGTCGTACTAGTAAACCGCAGGAGGAGAAGGACACCAAGTGCCGGGTACCAGTGACGGAATCCAAAGCCAAGCCTGTGGTCGGGAAGCAGTCACCACCTAGTGATGTGTCGTCAACATCTAGTGGACCAGATTATCTGAAGTGAGTTGTTACCTAGGCCTTCTTTCTGACCTAAGACTGGGGTGGGAGTGGGGTGTATGGGTTGGGGTAAGGGTGGGATGGGGTAGGTAGGGGTTGGGTGGTTGCCAACCCCCTCAAAGAGAAGTTTTTATCTCGATGTACCCAACATGTAGCGTGTAATGCTTAACCCTAACCTTCCCAATTCCTCCAAAATCCTCTTTGCAAAAAGGAGGCTTTTCAGGATTGAAGCTTTATGGCAAAAATGTGTGGCTGATTTTGGAGGATGCACTGTGTCAAGGTTTTAGGCTGGAGCTTGTGTTATTTATGCTCAGCCATGCATAAATACTTGAAATCCGCCGCAATGCGCAATCTGCCTCAACACATTGACGGTGATTCGCGGAGGATTTTGCAGGAATGAGGCAGTGGTCACCCCTCCAAGGACCACATTCAAGAAATAACGGATGATTTTGCAGGATTGAGGCTGTATGCAAATTTTACATGTTGGCAGTTGGAGGATTTTGCGTGATTTACGATGTATCCTAGCAAAAATGCCTAGGGAGTTAGGGACAATACGAGTTGTATGTTTTTCCAACCAAAGGATGTTCTGTGTGATAAACTGAGGGGGTTGTGCTCGTAGCTTTATAACATCATTAGGCCAACGTTCGCAAGTTAAAAAACAAAAAATTGTAGGTAAACAGAGATATTGGAAGGGATCCTTTGAAACCTGCCCCACCCGTCCCCTACCACTGACCCCCCCCCCCACCACCAATTCCCCTCCCCTCTCCTCTCTCCCCAGAATACGGGTAGTCGGCAAAACATAGTGAATAGTGGAGTCGGCAGGTTTTTCATAAAATGCCGTTAGAACTGGGATAAACAAAATGGCGAAGTGTGGTGAATGGTGAAGCTGGTTTAGGTGACCAAATCATTTCGTTCGTCCAGTCATTTTCTGTCCTTTGTATCTCTGCAGCAAATTCACAACGATCACCTCCCACGAACAGAAACAGCGCTACAGGGAAATATTCAACAAGGAGTACATAGAATACAAGAAGATGCATGCCTACGTCGAGAGCGTCACGCTCAAGTTTACCAAGTTAAAAGAGGAACTACACCGAGCGGCCGAGGACAGTGAGGAGTATCGACAGATCAAGCAGAAAGTCCTTGATGAGTATACCAAAATTCAAGAGGTGGGTCCACAGAAAAGGGTTTTTACCTCAACACCAGCCGATTTCACGAAACTTTACGAAATGGCATGACTCCTCTTGCGCCATATTTTGTTACGTAACTTGCGTAACATTTCACACTGCGCAACATTGCAGTTATGACACATTACACGCAAGTTTCATAGTGCGTAAAGTCAGGACTTGCGCAACTACGTCGCAACTTGCGCAATTATTTTAGGTGGCGTAAGTTGTAGCGTAGTGACTGCAAATAAACTATTTTACTAGCAAATGGTGATTGTCGTGGAGTCTGCCATTGAACAACTTTTCAAGGTTGATACAAGACACTCACAGCTTTGTGTTTGAGGTAAATGAATAGCTATTTTACTTGTGACAGAGTGATTCCAAAGAAAGTTGGGCAAAAATTTGTTCCATTTGGCAGGTAGAGGTGATTCAATAACTGCTTTGTGACCGAACAAAACCATACACAAATATATGTTAAAAATGCTATTTTTATCCTTGTCCACAATGTTTAGATTATTTGAAACGTTGTGCAGCTATGTCGCATTTGTGAAATCAATTGTAAGTTAATGGCGCATATTTGTTGCGTAAGTCCTACCCATGGTGTAAGTTATGCACTGTTTCGTGGTATCGGCTGCTGTTAATTTGTATTTGGCAGACAATTTTTTTCTGTTCTCTGCATAATGTGTTCACTGAGCAGATCAGAAAATGTGGCCTTTGGTTAAAGGTAGAATTTTTTTCATGAGAAATGCAGTTTTAGAGCTCAAAAGGGCACAAACTGGACAAAAGTGTCCCTTTAAATGCCGGTTCATACTCGACGCGAAAGCGAACGCGAGTGCAAGCGAAAGCGAACGCCAGTGTTTCCTGACGTCCATTAAACTTTGCATTCGCATTCATTGATATCTGTTGAATATGGCCAGCATCCTGCAGACATCATGAGACATTCTGACTTGTGATCCATTTGCTTCTGCTTTGGCATTCTGTGGCGAACTGGAAATTCTTCTCAATCTGTTAAAAAATCCAAAACATTTCATTGTATGTATTCATCTTCCATTCATCTTTTGTAGGATTCCGTGTATCAGAAGAAAGAATCTCGCTGGAGGGAACTGCACGACAAGCTAGGTCACATCAAAGGAGTGATTGCAGCCTACGACAACACCAGACAACGAGTCACGACAACATAGAGAAAACGTTTGAAACCAGTATTTCCATTCCAATCGCACAACTGACATTCTTGCACAAGGAGGTATTCCAGAAAGGGAGGTATTTTCTGAAGAAGGTATTTTCAGAAAAAAAAGTGGTACATCTTGATTTTGGGAATGAGGGGCAAAGTGTGTAGAGCTTCTTAACCTCCTTGACCCTTTAAAATCCACCAAAAATTTTCCGTTGGAATTTGTAGGATTGAGGAAGGTAGAGGCCAGCCCATATTACTTCAAGGAGACTTGATATCTGTTGAAAGTTCAAGTACAACGGAAACTCTACGCACTTTAAATATGACCATATTTGAACACCGGTTTTGGCACGAGTTAGATGGACTCGCCACTGAAAATCCAAGCCATTGCCAGATACATAATGTCCTTAATCTTGTTTGAGAAAAACATGTGCCATTGGGTACAGCACTGTGTTGGACGTGTTTGCAAACTGTGACAGATTCATAGTGAAAAGTTCGGATGAATTTGTGCCTGGATGCAAACGATGATTTTAAAATGCTGATTATTAAATTAAAGAGGATAAGATCATGCAAAATAGATTAAGTTCTCCCAACCCCCACTCCCAATCACTTGATGTGCCACTAAAATGAAGTTGAAATGTTTGGCTTCCAAACAAAATTGTCAACGCTAGTTTGTGTGCCTGTAACGGCCCGTCTAAATTCACATATGGGACGAGTTCCGTGCAAGTTTGCGGACATTGTAGACGTTGCGGGATTCTGACCAACTTCCGTGCAATCTTCCCGCAATGAAGTCATCAGTACTGGCGAGTCAAACAGTTGCTGATGACAATTTCCCAAAACATGTCTGAGACGAATGCACAGCTTCTTCCAGACAAAGTGAATGAATCTACCCGCAACTTGTCCGGAACTTGTCCTGATTATGAATAGAGACGGGCCTTAGATGCATTTTGCTATGTTGGTTTGTGCAGTGTGATATTATCTGGAGGCCATGTCTGTGATTTTTTAACTTGGGTTGTTTTTTGGGGGGCTGGGGTGGTAATGATTCATTTTTTGCAAATTTTGCAATCAAATTTGTATTCCTTTTTTCCGAGTATCATTAACTAAAGTTTTGATGAAAAATTTTAAAAAGTAAACACTTGTGTTTCTTGCTCTTTTACAAGTTTATTAATGTCATCAATTTTTTTATTTTGTTTTGATCATGGTTATTTTGGAATCAAAATTTCATGGTTTCTCAAAAGGGTGTTTTTTTTCTTTTGATAATTGGACCCTCATTTGAGGTTTTTGTTTTGAAACTGCAACAGAAATGCAAGAAGCTAACATATTTATTAAAAAAAATAAGAAAAAAAAAGAGGAAAAGACAAAATGTATACTAAAAACAGAAAAAGTGAAAATATTTATATATATAAAAAAAGTTTCATGTCTTCCAAAAAATATTTTTTTCTTTCATTTTTGTAATGAAATCATTTTTCTTAAATTAATTTTTTCTTCACAGTATTAGAATGCTAAGATAAGCAAAATAAAAAAAAAAATCTTGAATTTCTCCTTTCTTGACCATGTAAATTGAATTTAAAAAAAATTACTTTCAAATTAATTGAACATTTAAACAATGTCTTGTAATGCGTCAGAATCTGAGTTATGAATGTATATGATATTCAATTTCAATTTTACTTCTATCAGAAATGAGAAAAAGTCTTAACGTTGAAAGAAATAATTTCTTATGCCATTTTTTTTCAGTGTGAACACATTTTTGTTGGGGGGGGGGAGGGATGGGGGAGGGTTGGTAATGTAATGATGCCAGTCTTTGTTTACATATGCACTTTTCTATGGGAGCCAGGTGGGAGGAAAACCTACAATCTCCCGTAAGAAAGCGCTCACGTAAACAAAACGTGACGTCATTATGTTTCAAGTCTATTGCATCCAGCAGTTAGCAGACATGGCCTCCAGTGTGTGAAAGATTGGAAGGAATATATCTGGTTTCGACAAATAACGACGAAGGTACTCAATGTACAGTATTAATTAAAAACAGAAAGACAACAGATGTATTTACTATATTGTAATAACTTCAGGTCTAATTGCAGAGATTCATAATACAATGCACCACTGAGCGTTTTCCTCCAACAGACTGCTTCATATTTGGGGTCAACATCCTGCTTCATGTCAGCCCCGTAAATTAAATCTTTACACCTCAGTTCATGTGCCAGAAATATGTCAAAACTGCCTTGTTATCTAGACAAAAAGACTATTTTACAGCGTCTTTAAAAAAAAATGGGTGTTGACGTTCCAATAATGCAACACAGGTAAAGGAGGATTTGCATCTACGCTGGCAGCACGACTGTATTGTGAATTACTTTCATATGCTGATCTACTACTAGGCACCGCCCACAGGGCACGTTGGCAACAACACGTGTGCCTGTCCAATGCTACGCTGCGTGTTCGTGCCGCGCGCGTCATACGCACATTAGACTTGTGTTCACACATGTGTGATATTAATCATGTCTGTGATTGGTCAGTACCTGGTTGGGTGTGATTTAATGGATCAGTCTATTGTTTTCACACTTACGATGGCAAACTTGTGCCAAAATTGAAAAAAATGAGACTGAGCACCAGCAGATAAAATGCTGTTCCGCTAACACTTGACCAAATTGGAACTTTGTAGTCCAACTGAGTGTTCAACCCTAGTTGCCTATTTCACCTTCAATCTCCAGTAAACCCATGTGACAGGAAATATTTTGAAAGAATTCTGCAATCTCTCTCTATTTAAGCCTGTCCATAAAACTTATGTCCGTTTTTTTTTAAATGAGATTATTAATCGAAAAATTGTTTTAAATTATCAGAAGTTTTTTCAGAGCATTTTTTTTGAATTTCGAAATGTTTTTCCTGAAAGTTTCTTCTTCTTTTTTTGGAGACCGCCTCCTAAAATCCTGTCCTTTCTAGAAATTTCTATAAAATTTTCAATAAGATTTAGATCTGCTTCTCAAATTGTTTATTTTTTTCGCTTCGCCCGCTCCCCCCCCCCCCTAAAAAAAGGGAAATCAAAGAACAGATCAAATTGCCAACCGTCTTCGTATCGCTTCCCTTAACGACACCTACAATCGTGTTTATGCATTTTTTGTTTATAATTTTGAGTCAAACAGGGTCACATGATGCTGGCTTATAGTGTCAAACGCTCCAAACTATTTGGTCAAAGTTTATGACTGTGTACAAAGGTACTGCTTAAATATACTGTACAATGTATCAACTAACATCATGCATATATGATTATATTATTGTATAAGAGATTAAAAAACTATGGAACAAATTGTTATTGTTAATAATATATGGGTGCTGTGTGAAGCAGGACCATATCATGAATATATGTCACCCAACTTGCTAACAAGTGGCTGCTATGTATAAAATAAGTATATTGAGCATAGAATCACATACAGCAATCTTCAATCTGTTTTTTGTTTTCTTTCGTAAGCTATAAAAACTGCAAGGCAATAGTTAATTGAGCTTTTTTTAAATTGAAATTTCTTGTGACACTTGTTTTTCAGTGATTTTGTGAAGGTGTGAAACCCGCAATTGAATTATGTGTATTTATACCATTTAATGGGCAAGCCCCTCAGACTATTACGTTTTATAGTATACATCTGTGTCGCACTATGTGTAACTAAGGATTTTGCTGTGAAATTTCTGGGCATTATTGGATTTGAAGTAGGAGTCATGTTTGTGCATTGCATAACTTTGTTTTGACTCCTTAATCAAACAAAAGAGGGCACCGCTCTGTTGTTCACGCTGTTGTTTCACATTAAGAGTCAAGCACATGTAACAGCTATATATTTTGAGATACATATGTGACCAACACTAATGAAAGTGTCAAAGTATTCCTCTGACCACTAGCCTTGAATAGCGCCCTCTATGTAAGATCTACTGCAAGTCATGACACACAGGGCTGACATTGTTCGAAACCCTTGCTTCAGAAAGCATCTTTCATAGCTTCACAATAAGTTTCACCTTTCAAATGCGTGCAAGTCATTTTGTTTTGGTTCAAACCTTGCTTGTTGATGTTGGTTTGCCCATAACCTTGGAAGCTACCCAACCCTCAGAAATCAAATACTTCACTTGATTCTTAATAACATGTAAATGGACCTTCGCGCCAACTTGTCTTTGGGTTTGTACAAGTCCATTTCTGAAACCGTGGCTTCAGCCTCGGACTGCCTGTTCCCAATTTCAGAATCCAAACTCGAGATCACTCTGGCATTAAAAAAGTGTCTATGTTATAATATTCTAATCTTGAAAAGTGTATAAGAGCCAACCAAATCAAAGTTTCTTCAAACGATTCCCGCTTTCAAGTGCAGTAGCTTGACCCAAGTCGACTACCACCCAAACTGGCCCCAAATTAGGCAATTCTAGTTCAATGCGTGGTTGAAATGTGGCAGAAATGGAATTTTTTAAAAGCCTTATTGGAAATGTTGTCGCCTTCCAGAATATATGCATAAGTACAAACAATTTGAGAGAAATCAGCCAAAGTTTGGTATCATTGACCCCATGTCCCTTTTGGTGATAAAAAAAATGTTGGGTCCAAAGTTTGTGTGGAATCATTGTTTGATCAACACGAAGTTTGTTTGTCTCATCTAAAGTGATGTGTATTTGATGATCTTAATCTCAAACAATCAAATGAATTTTAAATTTAAATTTAACTGACTTCATGCAGACAACTACGTTAAAGTGTGGATAAATGGGGCAATGATTAGTAAGTATAACGAATGACATGTTACCATGGCGATGAGTACAAACATTCCTTAAAATCAGGCCCTTAATTTTTAGACTCGTGTTGCATTTCGTTAAAATTATGTCATTATTTGTTATGTTATTAATTTATTATTTATTCAATTGCTTCGTAAAAAGTGACATCTGTTTTAGAACTTTGAATTGGATTTTAAAGAAATTGAACCAATTTTTTTTTCCACTGGTACCCACATGGTGTAGTTACACGCAAACAAGCATTGCCAAACTGTATGCACTGTAAGAACTATTATCTGTCCCAAGTGTCTCACTGTTTAATTTTCCACGAATGAATTAATAAATAGTAACATTGATTATGTTACAAACGAGCATTCAAACTGCAAGTGTCAATTGTTCTTGTATTGGTATTGTGAATAAACCTTTTTAAAAGAGTGACTTTCCTTAAAAGGTTTTCTGAATGAAAAACAAGGTCTGGGAGCATGACAGCCTTGTATGTTTGTAAGAAACCTCAATTTTGCAATTGCTTTTTGGAAGTTGGTGTTCACAATAAATTTCCTTTAGCTAGATTACCACCGTGACCATATTTAAGGCTTTTGCGGGGTAGCAACATATGCCCATCCTTTACTATAAAAATTATTCCCGTAAATTCCACAAATATTGTGAATTTTAAACTGAATAAAAACTGTGTAGAGAACAGAGATAAATATCGGTGAGCCATCTTTTCCGGACGCTCCATGCGATGAACAATGCAACATGACAACAGCTAGCTAGACCAGTAAACATGGCCATATCGGCCATGAGCCATTGTTTACTTTGGAGCCGCGGGTAAAATGGGGGGACTTCCCGCGAGCTACAACCTAAACTTGTATCAGTCTCTCCAGCATTAACTGAAGGGAGATTAAACAAAAAGCAACCTAGAACAGGAGATGGCTCAGACCCAGATCCGGATATAACTTCCAAAATCTAATCGACCGTGTACCAAGGACCCCCCTAACAAAAATTTCATGCAAATTTATTCGTCCATAACTTTTTGAGACAAACCAACCAACTAACCAACAAAATCCGATAAAAACATAACCTCCTTAAATTGGCGGAGGCAATAAGCCAAAAAAGGAGACGTTTTCTTGAAACAAACTAATATATGAATTTTAAGGAAAGGTTAAAGTTTAAGAAAGACAGCTCGTTAAAAAAATTACATAAGACAAAACTGTTGGGTACGGTATTTGAGGATAGTACGTCATAAATGCACATTATATTATGAATTTTCAGTTTTTAGGTGATCATTTTATTCGGTTTGCAGTAAATTAATGTCAACCAAACACTTAAAAATTGTTGATCTGGACTTTTTCTATATTTATTTCGCAATACGCTCTGACAAATATTGGGGTTTTTCGATGCTTTGTATGTAACCAGTCTATTGAAATGTGGCCGATTCCTTTCGATTCGAAGGGAGGACTAGTTCACATTTTCTTTTAAATCTTACAACAACAAAAGTTATATTACAGACGACAAAAGCTGAATATAAAGAAACCAATATTTGAATTTGTTTGCTTTTATCAACAAAATGATGTAATCATTATTGTGAATTTATGAACAAAAAAGGGTCTGCGAAGCATTTACACCTATAAAACTTTGGTACAGTCTTATTTGTGCACAACTTCCGGGTACGTACGTGCCGCGGCGGCCGCAGGTTGTACAAGTTTGTGCGCGCACACTATAGCGCATGCAGCTAGCTAGCACTAGTGCAGCAGATAATTTGCACATTTTGTCGAGCTACGGACATGACAGATCGGGGCTGAATTTCTACACACAAATCCTTCAAAATTTGGACTCTTCTGGATTTTATGCATCATTTACGGTCTCTACGAAAGGATACTGATTGTAATATTACATCATGCGAGGCTTGTCAGGTGCTTTGAGCTGAGATTTTCAGTGAGTTTTGGTGAGTATTTTTAGCCATCCATTTTCTTTTGGCATGTTTGGAGTATAGTTCGACATGTGTTGAATTTATGTTTTGTGCATGTGTGTATATATACGGTGCATGCATTCACGCATTGCTTATTCAACATGTTCAATTCAATTATTCAGTACACCATGGAGGAATAAGAATTCCTCCATGAGTACACACAGTAGACATTTATTTTGCTCTCTCCATTTCATAATTTTAACAGAATTTTATAAACACTATTATTTATACTCGAAATATTACTCGGGTGGGACTCAAACAAAAACAAGAACAGACAGACAAACAGACATAACAGACAGACAAACAAACAGAGTCCCCCTGGGCTTTTGAAGAAAACTGGGTAATCCTTACTTTTAGGACCCTGTTCCTATATAAGGTTAAAAGACTCGCCAAAAGAGCTGACTAAATGACACTCAAAAGTGACATTCTGATATTTATTGTCATATATCTGAACAGTATGACATCTTCATGAATGTCAGCAGGTTTAATTTTGTGGAAAAGGGCTGGCGGGGCTTTGATTTTAGAGGGAAATTAAGGGAGAAAGACGACGATGACGAACAGAAACTGACTCAAAAACCAAGATGGCAAACTGCAAAAAAGGGTAGGAAAGTCACATTTTCTTTGAAAGTGCTTTCAAAATTACAACTAAACATGAATTTATCTCAATAAAAAAGACTGCTTTAGCCTGCAAAAGTCACTTTGGTACTGGACAGTCATCTGCAAAAGTCAGTTTTGAACAGAACTTGTAAAAAATAGAGGTGTCCTAAAGATAAGGATTACCAAAAACTGAAAAGGAAGGAGGAGGCCCTTCCCTCCCCCCAAGATGGTGTTACCAAGATGACCGACAGATTCTTTTATTTTCTCAACTCTTTTTCATGATATATTGATGTCCAAATGGGCCATTACCCTTTCTGCCAGATTTTGAAAGTTTGCATACCATTTTGTTGGAGACAAATTTATTGCAATGATTCTTAAGATGGAATTTGGGGTGATGTACTGTAATATTGATGCGAATGAATGATTAAAAGAAACCTGAATTTGGCAGATTTTCCAAGATGGCAGGTTGATTCTTCAGTTTTCTTTCTTTTGCTGAAGCGTTTAACAGGTGTCCAAATTAGCTGTCACCCTTTGAACCAGATTTTGAACTTACCGTTTTGCTGGAGACAAATAAAAATTGCAAATTAATGTAAATATTGCAAATACAACAAATAGAAGGAGGCAGGCGGGAAAAAGGATACGGTTTATTAGTTATCGAAGTTTGAATAACTAAGTCTTGGATTCTACCATTTCAATATCACTCATTTTAAAGGGAATATACATCATTGGCTTTTGTTGTAATTTTCAAAAATGAAATATTTGAGGGGTTAGTATAATAGATCAAATATTGTTACACTCACATGTTTGAAGTTTTGTGTTCGAAAATGCCGGAAAAACCAAGAAAAACAAAACTGTTCAAGTAGTCTGGTTCCCTGACTCCACTAAATATAAATGGATCAATTTACAGATGCCGGAAAATTGTAAGGTAAGGGTACCAGTCTAGCTGGCCTGCACCCGTTCATGACCATGTAACCAATAGCACACAAAATTTGGACTGAATTAATGGTAAATTTGGAGCAGTAGTTGAACAATTTGTAGGTTTTTCCAACGGTGGTCGGCCGACCACCGCTGGAAAATTTTACAAAAATACCATTTTCCTGAAAATGACTTCACACCAGGTGCCATAAGTTTACAGGATGCTTTAGACTGTCATTTACCAACATCCTATTAAGGTATTTCGCAAAAACTTGGTAGTTTTATTTTTTGATGTTTGCAAATGTTGTATATTCCCTTTAAACATAACGACATGATTTTCCAAATTTTCTCTGAATGGGGGTTTGAAAAATACTTCTATCTAATTTTCAGATGTCATTGCAAGCACAATTTCTCTGAAATTTACACGAATCTTCTTTATCGCGCACAACATGTAAACTATGTACAAACTCCAGAAAAGTAAGATAAGTAAGGACCTTGGTTTAGGCTAGTCCAAAATAAATGTATTGAAGGAAAGTCTCGAATTGAATTGAGACTTCAAACTTGGTTGGTGAAATACTGAGGACCTTGTATTTGCCTCATGAACAGTTTTGAGAATTCAGCCGAAGAATGAGTAAAGTTGGCCTGATGTTGTTTTGCATGTTTCTCAGCACTTAAGGTCCCAGTCTGGGTTTAGGCATGCAGGCTGAGCTCACTACATGTACATTAACCCTAACAGAACTCAACCCATCAAATCCAAACGGCATGTTTTGTTGGAATCTGTTTGGATGGGTACAGTGCCCCTAAACTGACAATCTTTTACATTGGGTTGAGCACACCTCCAGAAACAAAGTCGGAAATGTGTGTGTGCAGTTTCCCATTTGGTGTTGGAATTTTCCAGGATGGGTACATGGTTCCTAGTAAATTATGCTAGGGAGTTAGGGTTAATGTTCTCATATGACTAAGCTAGGTGCATAATCACAGCATTAATGCCATTATCATTGTGGTCTTTACATTACATTTGTACATATTGGCCAGAATCTAGGCGTAGGTTGTTGGTTAATGTGTGAGTGTCCTTGAGATGGACACTTTACAACAATAACTTCTTTTAAAATGGGGGCTGAAGCGTGTTCTACATACATGTATGGTTGTAATGTATAAAAGGGATGATAGGTTAAAAAAAAGGTGGAAAGAGTTCCATACCTGGTCATCACTTGACACCCTGTGCACAAACCCTATGAGACTGGTCTGAAAAATTCCAAGTGTTTTCTCAGTAAAATGCTTCAATATTTTCCCTGCTAAATTTGTCTTTTTAGGACATGTATGTTATCGCTTTCTGATGGCTGATAGGCCACTGCAGTGAAAAATTAGTGATGTCCGACCATATGTGTGGAATTCTTCCCCAAAAGGTTAACATACCTACATCATTGGTAATTGAGTTGATCTGAAGTTTCTTTTAGACTCCATTTCAGTTGTGTCTGTTCAGTTGGAAGTTTTATCAGTTATTGAATGTTTGACTGGTGTGCATGTTAACTACCGGTAAGTTTAAAAGCCACTCCATAATTTGTTTGAATCTTGTTCCATTTTCAGATTGCACAGCCCTTTTGGATGCTTCAGGCTAAAACTTGGAACGGACAAGACGCCACAACGCTAGCAGCCGAATCTTATGTCCAGTTTGTAATAACCGGCTTTGGAGTCCATCATGAGTGGAGTAGAGAAACCACCTGATTTACCTGGCATTGGGGAACCCGTCATGCACTATGAGGGATACCTGGAAATTAAAGGGCCCAAGGACAAGGTAGGTTGACACAGAAATCAAATTTCTAAATCATTACTGTGTTTCTTTAAATAATGAGAACCCTCTGGGTTCTATCCATAACCGTGCCTTAGTGTTACCAATATTCAACATTTATTATTTATGCAGGCATGCAACTTTTCCTTGGATCCGCTGATTTCCTCGTTTTTACTTCTCATGAATCACTCACTCACTAAGTCGGCCACAGCCGAGCCCTGGCACGGATCCTCCATTCGTCATGATTCCTCATGCACGCATCTAGCTCATTTGTCTTTTGCTGTAATTTTCAGAAATAAACTATTTGGGGGGTTAGTATAATAGATCAAATATTGTTACACTGACGTGTTGAAGGTTTGTGTTCGAAAATGATGGAAAAACCAAGAAAAACAAAAATGTTCAAGTAGTCTGGCTCCCTGACTCCACTAAAATGAAATGGATCACAAATTATGCCAGAAAATTGTAAGGTAAGGGAACCAGTCTAGCTGGCCTGCACTCGTTCATGAACATGGAACCAATAGCAAACAAAATTTGGACTGAAAAAAAAAAGGTAAATTTGGAGCAGTAGTTGAAAAATAGTTAGGTTTTTCCAACGGTGGTCAGCCGACCACCGTTGGAAATGTATACAAAAGTACCATTTTTCTTGAAAGTGACTTCACACCAGGTGCCATAAGTTTACAGGATGCTTTAGAAAGTAATTCACCAACATCCTAGTAAGGTATTTCGTAACAACTTGGTAGTTTTATATTTTCGATGTTTGCAAGTGTTGTAATTTCCCTTTAAGTTTGTGCACATGTATGAAATATGTGGTGCGCACTCCGCACCTTAAAACGATCATGTACATGTACATGTACAATGTACAATTGTATGTGTTTAATCTAGAATGCAAGTGTGCATTTCATAGAATCCACCATGATTCTCCAACAGTTTAACTTAATAAAAAAAATACTTTTTGCAATGTATTTGGGGTGGAGTTATTTTTGGCTTATTCAAAACTTGCTTGAAAACAGCTGTACATGTAGGTGAACACGTACACAAACACATTGCTGTTCATTCCTGGTCGTTTGATTGCTCAAATTCATCCGTGCGTAACCTCTGCAAGCATTGTTAGTTTCCCGACTATTAAAGGAAGATTGTTTAGGGTCACCAGTTTCATAAAAGAAGTATTTTATATTTATTTTACTGAACGTCAGTTAAAAAAAAAGTCTGGTTAGAAACCTAGCTGTGTCTGGTACCGGTACAGCTCGTTAAGTTTATGTGGGTGTGACAAGCTATTGCATTATTGTTGTATATAATACATGCAGCCAGTCGAACAGAATTTAAAAAAAATACAAGCTTGTTTGAATTCAGTAATTAATGCAACAGCTGAACAATCTTCAAATTCAGACTTCATGTAAGAAAGCCTGTTAAAGGGAATATACATGATTGGCTTTTGCTGTAAGTTTCAGAAATGAACTATTTGAGGGGTTAGTATAATAGATCAAATATTGTTAGACTGACATGTTTGAAGGTTTGTGTTCGAAAATGCTGGAAAAAAACCAGAAAAACAAAAATGTTCAAGTAGTCTGGTTCCCTGACTCCACTAAATATAAAATGGATCAATTTACAGATGCCAGAAACTTGTAAGGTAATGGAACCAGTCTAGCCGGCCTGCACCTGTTCATGAACATGTAACCAATAGCAAACAAAATTTGGACTGAAAGAAAAATGGTTAATTTGGAGCAGTATTTGAAAAATAGTTAGGTTTTTCCAACGGTGGTCGGCCGACCACTGTTGGAAATTTTTACAAGATACCATTTTCTTGAAAATGACTTCACACCGGGTGCCATAATTTTACAGGATGCTTTAGACTGTCATTTACCAACATCCTAGTAAGGTATTTCGTAAAAACTAGGTAGTTTTATTTTTCGATGTTTGCAAATGTTGTATACATGTATTCCCTTTAAGTGGTGGTGGGAGAAAGTGGACATTTCAAATCTGGTTGTCCTAGTATAATAATTTTTTTCAAACCAAATAATGGTTATCCGATTTAACCAAAAGTTCCCTAGGTCCCAGTTGTGCCAACAAAAAGTGACAAGTGAGGTGCTGCATACAGTTGTCCTCCCAATGACTGGGTAGCCTGTAGTTTGTAGGATTTAATGACCACTGGGGCTTCACAAAAACATTCCAGAGCTGTACATAAAAGTGTACTGTTGAAAAAAAAATGGGTGGGAAGTCCCAAGAAGACCGCTATCAAGTGAATGTATTTGCAATCAGAGACCATGGAGCACATGTTTTTATTTTGTTTGGGGGGGGGGGGGTGTTTAATACAGTTTTTTTCTTAATTTTGTTTGAATTTAGGGCTGGTTTTGAATCTGGTTTCCAAGTTCAAAACCGAATAGTGGAATTCAAACCGAATTTAAAAAATCCAAATTTAAATCCCACCACTAACCTGGTCCCAGATCAACTTCGTCTAAGGGGTCTAGGTAGTCATCTTAGTCAAATTTTTGGGGCAAGTGATGGTCAATTAGGGAGTCAATGGTGTAGACCTACAAAAAGGACTGACATGCTACCCCTCATACCAGCAGAAAAAAACGTTTCAATCTAAAGTTCATAAATGTTTTATATCTTTTTGGAAATGAAACCAAGGATTCGTCAAAAGCTTGCAAGCCTGAAGAAACCTGTAGGAAGAAGACAACAGAGAAGAATTTACAGTTTTAGAGGTGGCAGAACAAAAATCCCAGAAACACATCCTGGGGAACACCCACAGAATCAAGCAGGGTCTGAAAACCCAATCCACATGTGGGCCGGGCCAGTAATCAAACCCGGGCCAGTAATCGAACCCGGGCCAGTAATCCCAGTTTTGCTTTTCAGTTTTATGTCTACCCTTGTAATTTGCACATGAACGTTCTTTTTTTGCTAGTTTGTAAATATCGTATTCCTACAATCAAAACAGAACCTTTTTATTTCTCAATTGTTTGTGTTTGTAACCCCCTGAACGGATTATTTACATGAGAAGCCAAGCACTTTTAGTTGGATTGAAATTGAATCCAAAAAAAGGTACACTCACCCTAATGAAAGAAAAATGGAAACTAACATTTATGTCTTACTTAGTTTGAAAGTGAAATACATGTAGTTTCATGTAAACAGGAAAAGGATTTCTTTTACCAAATTCCGCCTGAGGTTCAATTAGAAATGAACTGATTTTTTTTAAATTGAAATGCTTATAATTCCTTCCTAAAATTCTAAGAACTTTGTAGGAATTGGAATCAGTTGTTCAGAGAAGGAAATGTTTTGTTTCTACATTTGTCCCAGACATGTAAGCCATTTTGTGTTTCAAAAGGCCTTTTTGTGCTTAACTCGTCTGAATTTCAGAGAATTTGTTGCACCCTTGCAAACTTAAAAACAATAATCCATTCTTGTCTGGAAACAAAGATGTGCTCTTGGCAAGTTTGAATAACAAATACAAAACCTCCGCAAGTTTTCCTCTTGGCTTAGAGTCCGAATACCAAAATTGCAAAACAAATATACCCTAATTGTTATCCCAACAACAATTAGGGTATTTGAAAGTGTCCATCTTGAAAAAAGGACTCGATAGAATATTTTCCATCGCCATATCTTGAAACTATTTGTTTATGAATCCTTTGTGTCATTTTCAAGACGAATATTATGATGCATTCGGAAGGTGTACATGTTTTATGTACCTTTGCAAATGAAAAAAACTTCAGTGTAAGTATGTACATTACTTAAATGGTGTTGTTGTTCGAGTAAATAGAAGGTACCTTTTTGGGACTTAAGTTACAGAGCTTGTATTATAGGAGCTGCAACACCATCACGGTGTCTTTATCAACTGGTGTAACTTGTTGAGGCCCTCACGTGACCCGTCATGTGACCATGCTTGGTCACATGACAGGAGGCGGTCATACAAGTGGGTGGGTAAGCTCGTATCCTCCATCTCAATTCATATATGGGCAGTGTCTGTGGGCTGCGGATTTCTACTGCCTCACAGATTTTGCGTTTCCAGAGGTCCTCCTCCCTGACGATGATCTTAACATTGTTCACGGAGATGTTATGTCCTGGGTGGATATATGTTCACCAACTGCTGTCAGGGGAGCTGACCTACTGGTGTGTTCTCTGTATCGGGTCTGCAGAGTGCGAGCTGTTTCACCTATTTAAGGACATCACATCTCCTTGGACAATGGTAAGATCATTGCCAGGGAGGTTGACCTCTGGAAACGCAAAATCAGTGAAGCTGTAGAAATTCGCAGGCACTGCCCCCATATGAACAGAGATGGAGGGTACAAGCTGGCCCACGTGTACAACCGCCTCCTGTCGTGTGACCAGCCTGGTCAACAATGCCAGTTGATAAAGACACTGTGATGGTGTCGCAAGCTCCTGATGTGAGCTCTGTAACTTAAGTACCAAAAAGGTATCTTCTAATTACTTGATTTTATACTAGGACTGGACAATTTTATGCACGGTGTTATTGTTATTAAATTTTTGGCACAAATTCCTGTTTTTATTCCTTAAGTGACAATTTGGCCAGGTTTGTATTTTGGTAATTTATATTCAGGCATGCAACTTCTCCTTGGATCCGCTGATTTCCTCGTTTGTTTTTTACTTCTCATGAATGCCAAATGTTACAAATTGAATAAGACTGTACAAAGTCCAGTGTGGTTTGCAATTTCCTTGTTTGTTCTAAATTCCCAGTTGCATGCCTGTACGTTGATTCCACTCAGTAAAAATGAAATGTTTCTGCGAGCTTAGTGTATGTTTTCTTCGTTTTTAGCAAGAGTGTCACATTTTGTCACGGTCTGGATTAGTGATAAGGGCTTTCTTGCTCCGTGCTGTTCCCCAAAGAATTTATCTACAACTTGTTATTGACTTCGTTATTTCTCAACCATCAAACCTTTAAGATTTGTTTTTTGTTTTTTTTGTTTTGTTCTTTTCCTGTTCAGGATTATGCAAGACAGTGGGTGGTGCTTATAGACAACAAAATGGTGGTATTCAATCAGAGAGTAACACAGCGAGAATTCAGCACGTCTCAGGTAAGACACTTCAAAAAATGACAGTCTCAGCCTAGAGAAATATTTATCATCTTATTGGGTTTTACTCTACATCCATTTATAGGGTTTTACTCTACATAATGTTATACACTGTACAAACTGGTTATCCGAGTAAAAAAAAAATGGTTTCTCGTCCAGCCTTTAAAAAAAAAAATGAAGTAGGCGGGAGCTTTTGAAAAAAAATTGCTTTTCCAAGATGGCGGATTTCCAAGATTGCGGATGAATTCTTTTTTCTTGACTATTTTGCTGAATCAAAATTGTGTTCAAAGGAGCTATCACCCTTTCTTAATGTTGCTACAACTTTGTTGGAAACTAATAAAAAGAAAATATATTGATGATATGTATATTGCAGAATGTATAATTCAAAAAGAAAAAAAAAGAGGCAGCCGGGAATGAACGAAGCAGGCAGGGACGAGAAACTGGTTTATTTGTTACATGGCCTTAATGAGAGCAAATGAGGAAATTGAAGCCAAGTTGGGTGGGACTTGAACCCTTGACCACCTTCTTACTTGTGCAGACGTCTTACCATGCAATCACCAAGCTTGCCAGGATTTGTTGGATGCTTCAAAACCAGTATAGCAGTCGGTCCCGCAATTAATGGCTTCTGGTGGAAATTTGCATTGAGCTGTGTAACATCATTCTGGTGCTAAATCCTACCGGTACATTTTAGAATTTATATCATCCAAACCAAAAAAGTCCCTCAAATGTCATCACAATTATTTCTGGTCTCTGTTAGTCTGTCTTGAAATTAAAAAAAAAGTTAGAAGGCCTGATGTTTTTACCCTAGTAGCAGGTCTCTGTCAAAGGCAAAAAGAAATTACATTCATCAATAGTGGCCCCCCCAGTGTGCACAACTTAAAATTGAAGAACGTACGCCAAAAAAAGGTTTTAAAGGCATTTTTTCCCCAGTTAAGTCGGTCTGGGGCCTGCATTCAGTTTTACCCCGGTCGAGATAATAAAAGTTCAATCAATTGTCTTCATGTCAGTTACTAGCAAGTGACCCACCATCAAATGCTTGTATCTGGACCTATTTTTAGTTTAATTAAAAAACCATTTTGTCTGCTACTGACCAGGTTTGGCAATGACCTTATAGATTTACACAGAATTGATTCCCACACATGTAAACTGTTTTTGTTTATTTCCTTTTGCGATTAATACTGACCCCTTGTGGTTATACTAAGGGAATAAATGTGTGCTCCGGAGGTTTTTATCACTCGTTTAATACCGCTTAGAGTCTGGGTGCTGATAATTACCCGAGCCGGAGGCGAGGGTAATTATCAGCACCCAGACTATAAGCGGTATTAAACAGAGTGATAAATACCGACCGAGCACATATTTATTCCCATTCATAAATACCTTATCCGTAAAAAATATCAAATAATTCGTTCAAAAAATCCCGATTTTGTTCAACAAGTTCACTTCATGCTTTTTGAAACATCCCTCTAGCAAAATAATGGAGTGTTCTGCTGGCGAGTAAGATGTAAACAACCCTTTTATGGAGATTGACGCGCGCGTAACATGTTCTGCGCGATGTCACGCAGAACGCACCTGGGGCGTTGCGTTTTGAATTTAGAACTATAAAATTCTGACTCGCTTGTAGTGTTGCGCATGCCTACGTGAGGATTGTGAACGTTCAACCAATGAAACGGTAAGAGGCACTGGATTTTTAGGAGTCCACATTTTATTGTGACACTGGAAAAGTGTTTAAGACCAGCTAGCCATGTCTTTATCATCCGTTTAAGACCGGCCACGTGACGGGCTCTCGACCAATAGGAATAGCTAAACTGTCTGAGGTATTTATGAATAAGTACTATTATACTGCAGTGGATTCTTTTGTGTAAAATTACTTTTTTGACCTGAGCCCCGCTGCCTTTTTTTTTTTTTTTACTAAATGCCAGTGGTCAAGCAAGGATGTCTGAAAATCATTGTAAGCACAGATTTACAAGATCTACAAGTTCTACATTGCACACACATACATTTAGTTGCAGGCCAACAGTGTACATGCAAGACTTTTGTTGAATTTTCCTTGATGGAAAAAAATCTTTCATTTTCACTTGGCACATTCTAAGAAAATGCAGGTACTGGTCCATGCATCCTAGGATATTGATTTTATTATTTTAGCAGATAGATTTCTTTCGTATTCAGAGCAGTAGAATGATCATTTTGTTGGCCAGCAGCCATAAAAAAAGTAATGTTTAGTGGGCGTTTATGGTGATAAATGACATAAACTTTGGAAAATCTGGGATGCTATTAATAGGGAAATGTTTGCTGTTGCGTTGGTAGCCATCATGGATTTGATCAATAACAGTGATCATTTGAATAGAAGAAGCTACCGGTATGGGTACAATATGTACAACATTCTTCCATGTCTGTACATTTGTACACGTAAAGGTCCCCTTTAGGTTTGAAGTTGTTCAAGGCCATATGTTTTCCATGCATTTCAATATGCCATTGTAGCGCAAAGACTCAGTCTAAAGGCTTCCAAACAACTCTAGTGGATAAAAGACACACACTGGTACATGTACATTGTATGGTAATATCTTCCACAGTACAGGTCAGATCAGGTGTGTTGACAATACAAAAGCAGACTAGGAGTTCCAGGATAACAGTAAATCTACCGGTTTGATGATTTTTATTTTTTACATGTTAATTCCCCCTATGTTTGCCCATTTTAGAACTTTTGTTTTTGCCTACAAAATATTGGAATATGAAAGGGAACTCTTAATATTGTCTTCCCGTGGCCTTTTCTGATACAATCATTCAAATGCGGAAATTACTTTCATCAGAATGATATTTAATAATGAGAAAAAAATGGAAAACGCATGTAAACTCTGGTTACATTGTATAGGTGACGTTAAAGATACATTATGAAGTGTGGGGGGGGGGGGGGGGAGGGGCTGGACACTGTCTGTGTTTTGGGGTGCTGTTTAAAGCGTACAATCTTAGACACTATCGAACAATAGGTGGCGCTATTCCTCGCACATGGGCATTGCAAGGGGGGGCAAGGGGGGCGCTTGCCCAGCGCCGCCCACCCCCCCCCCCCCCCCCCCCGGAAATCAAAAAAAAAAAAAGAGGGGAAAAAAGGGGGGGAAAAGGAAAAAGAGGTGCAAAGCCATGTTGCTGTTAATTTTATGGGGGGGATAGGGCAAATGCTCCCCTGCTCATGCTCGGAAAAAAAGAAATATTGAGAATATAATGAAAAAAAATTGCTTTGCCCCCCCCCCCCCCCCGGAAAAAAACCTGCAAAAAAACCAGCATATTTGTCAAACACAAATTGTGCCAAAGAACAACCATTTTGCCAACAAAACAATGGGGGTGTCACCCTACCCACCATCCCTAACCCTTTAGCGAATTGACCAAGTTATCAGCATGTGGACATACATTGTAACATTAGGAGAAATGCATTTTTTTGCCAACACTCGACAACACAAAATAAGCTCTTAGCGCCAAGTTTTCTAAGTTATAATCAGTATGTGAACATACAACCCTGATCATGAAACTATATTTGTTAGAGCATGGAGCTATTAAACACAGCTCCATGGTTAGAGGAAGTTGGCCTACATGTATCACGCACAAAAACCCTGGGTCTGATTTCAAACAAACAGCCGCAATATTGAAAGTGAATATGAGATTTGAGTCAAACGTTTTTGTTTCCTAAACAAGAACCGGTAAGTTATGGTTTTGTGTAAACTAAACCTCGCCATATAATATTACTCAACATATCTTCTTCTTTTTTAACATAATCTACATGTATTACTTCACATCAGGCAAATGAACAGTGGTCTTGAAGTAGATTGATTTTTCTCCAAGAGAGTCAATATATTGAGGTCCGTTCTAACCTTTGGATGTTTGTCTTCAATACTGTGCCAATTTCATCTCAATGTACTACATGTATATTGATCCTTGTTGGAAACAGCATGAGATTTGTATTCTGGTGACCCATTTGTTATCCTTGTAAGATTTAATTTCTCTCTGATCCTGGGTTTCCTGATCTGGGGGGGGGGGGGGGATTTCAAGGAAGGGTAGTGACCAGAAAATATTGCTGAACAGATTCTGTGCTAAGCAGAAATGCGGCAGAGAACCAGTTACAAGCAATACAGTCCATGTATTTTGGCTGGTAACCGGTGTTTCGCTAAGCAATTTTTTTTTCTTCTGTGGTTAGCAAATTCTTTTGACTCAGTATCTCTAAGAAATTGGCCCTACAATGTACATTGTAGGTCCCAGCTGTCAATGAAGAGGAGATCAGGAGTGAGATTTTAGTTTCAGAAGTAGGAGGAAACCCCAAAAAATAATATTTGGGGGTGGGGTGGGGAGGGGTGGGGGGGGGGAGGGGTCTGGGAGACCACATGTAGGAATCATAAAATACATGCACACATGTAAGGTAAGAACTAGATTTACTTAGCAGTCATGCTAAAATATTAACCATGTTCATTTCAGGTGAAAGGCGAGGAAAGCATTTTGGGAATCAACTTGACGTAACCCAGCTGTTTAGTTTTGAGTACCATCATACAAAGCAACTAATTTTTTTTTGAATATTTGTGAGCCACCTTGCGCATCAGCATGGGAATAAAATCAGCTGACACCCTCTAAATACTCATTCAAAAAAAGATATGGGAGTGCTATATTTTCTGTTGTCTTTCTATTTTTTTTTCTTCGCAACTCCAACGTTTATGGTCTTTGTAACTGTCTGCCCCAGTTTAAACTCCTGTTGCCAAAACAACCAAAGAAACAAACACAGAAAGTCCATATTTAGCCAAAGACTCGGTACTTGACATGCCAGTGACGCAATTTACACTCCTTTTGAATGAGCTGGATTCATTCTGAACTTGTAAAACTTGACTCAGAACAGATTTGTTCCAGAAGATCACTGTTTAAATATTTGATTTGATTTGTGAATTAGGAACATGGTGCACAAGGTCCAATTGTGACTCATACATTTTGAAAATCTTTTTATCTACAAATTATCCGTTTGAATGTCAAGAGACGTGACTGGAATTTTATGTCAGATATATGTGTACGTGGGCCCTATGCAATGTGCTCAGAAAATGGATGACGTTTCAGTGTGTGTGTGTGAATGAACATCTTTCCCACTGAAATGTCGAAATGTGTTAGGATTACTAAAGACTTTTTGTTGCATCCTTAATATTGTAAAAGGTCATAGCAGGTTGTCCTTGTACATGTACAATGTACTTGTTATAATAGTCTGTACTTGTGGTGTTGTTTTATAAGATTGTAATCAATCAATGGATTTGACATGGAAATATTTTTTTTAGGATTTTGTTGGGTATGTTTTACTTTTGTTTAATCTTGATGTCAATGAGTGTTTTTTTTTTCACCATATGTTCCGTTTTTTTTGTAAGGATAACCTAAATATTCAGATCTTTTGATTATGTTTGGTTAGTACTATTTATGGTCTCATTATGATAAGAATTGTATTGTGTGGTACTGGATTATTTCTTCATCCCATCCTTCCTGTTTCAATTTGGAAGTAGGTTGTGGTTATTTATTTAGTTTCCTTGGCTTGATGTTTTTGGCTTTTGAAAACAATACCGTAGAACCGTTTAGTGTTTCAGAATATTACTGCTGGCACTACTCATAATGGTGCAGTTGGGCAAGTAGGCTTATATTTTGACAACAAAATTTAACACATTTACAAACTTTGTCAGTCGCGATAGAGTGACAGAGTCAAAATATACATGATCAGGAACATTCAATATTTACTCTTCAGCATACACATAAATTTGTAATCTGTCAGTACATGACTGTGCAGTGATCCAAACCATGTCAGTATACACTGAATGTGTAAAGAGAAGAAAGTGAAACTAAATGTGCCACAATACTCTTAACATAGTCCATGTTTTTGTAACATGTCATTTCCTTGTTCAGAGTTTTCCACAATTTCCTTTGTCAGTGCCCAAATATTGCTCAATACCAACTGCCCCAAGTCTGCCCAAATTTCAACATTTGGTTTTGAAATTCTTAGTATTCTCTATGGCTGTGCATCGGAACCGGGTACTGGAGTACCCGACCGCTGATGCCAGGAACCGGTTCCAGATTATGGGATCAGGTACCCGCAACCAACTTTACAAATTAGTTAGTAACTTTTCAGACAATGAAAAAGAAAGGTTTTGAATGCCATTTTGGGGGAATTTTCAAAATGAAAACCAGGCTACATTGGAAACCAAAACAGATGTCATGTTTATGTGTAATTTAACGCGCGACAGATGACGCTTGCGAAAGTTGCAGTTTACACCGTAAAGCTATAAGGCCCTTCAGACAACTTCCGGGATTTGAATTTTGGGGTTGGGTTTTTCTTGTGGGTACCAGGGTACCCATGTTTTACTTCATATAACAACATATTCTCCACGTAACAGTAAAAATATAAAGAGACAAAGAACAGTTGATTTCATCTGAGAAAAAAAAAACAATTGCAGAGGCTTATTTCCTTTGGTGTTTAATTACTGAACAGTTTTTATTTTTGTTGGGTTTAAGAAGCTTTCTAGCAAATGTGGCAGGGTGGATCGGGGAAACAAGATCTGTTTTTCATAATTGTTCCTGTATATTGACACTCAAAGTTTGAATTTTTTTTAGAAAAATGGCTTTGAACACATAACACATTATTGTCACAGTAAATACAAAGAAAATATATACACAGTACTATAAACAATTACAAATATAGCTAACCAACAGCTGTATGTGATTACAATAAGATTATGGAAGTTTCTAAATTCTTGTGAGACCTTCAAGCCAAAAAAACCCTGACCTATCTGGATTTGTTTTGTGACCAAATTGCTGACCTCAAATGTTTTTATAGCCACTTTTGGCCAAAAATTTAGAATCTGGTATAATTTTGAAAAAAGGTCTTCTGTATGCAATTCTTTGTGTGTTTTATTAGTTAATTAAACAATTAAACAGGTTAATTATTTAAAAATACTGCTAAAAGTATCCGTAAGTAAACAAAGTAAGTATAAAAGAACAACAGACAATCATTAAAAATGTTACAAAATAATTGTTTTCCTGCCTACCTCCATGACATTTTTTAGTGTGTTCTTTTAGTTTTTTTTTACTCATCTCAGTTTTTCCCTTTTTTTTTTTAAATTCTTGCAGCCATTAGATTCATTGAACATTGACAGAAACTGCAACTTCACACCAGACAACAAAGAGAAGACCAAACTCGGCATGAAATGCAAAGCAGGACAGTACAAATTCAAGGTAAAATCTTCCACTACTATCAGTTCCATTCTCTGTTTAGATTTCTCAGAATCTTCCTCTTTCACAAGATTTTGCACACACATGTACAGCGTTTTTCTTCTGCCTCATAGGGCTGTCCATTTCGGAATAATTTAGTATTCGACTACCCGAAACTGCATTTGACCGAATATTCGGATATTCGAAACTGCCAGCTTCAACTGCGTGCTGCGGCAGTTGGAAAATTTTGCACAAAGACCTTGCCAGTTAAAATTTGCATGCGTGTAATCGATATGGGGCTCTGGAGTGTTTTGCACCAAGTATTTTATTTTTATAATTCTGATGCACTCCTTAATGCAGTCATCCTCAAGAATGATAACAAGTAGCATACATGTACTACCTACCCAACAAATAAAAAATGGAGTAATTCTTAATATACTTGAATAGTAAGTTACGAAGTACCAAGGTAACAGGAACTGGACAAAATAAAATGTCACTCTTAGGACCGTATATTTATAAAATGACCCGTATGCCATTCAACAGCTCTACTAACTGAGTTCTGGCCCTACAATTGACACTTCAGATTTATTTACTCTTTATTTATTGAAATAATACCCCCCCCCCCGAAAAAAAAGAAAACACATTCTTTAATGACAATTAAACTTCTAGTACTTCTATTTCATTCAATCAATTCAAATAAATATGTGTCGCTTATCACTTTTTCCCCCCAGACGAACACACCAGATGACAGGGATAATTGGTGGATTCGATTCCATGCGATATCCAAGGTATGAAGAGATACGCTTAGGTAGTTTTCCTCGGCTTCATCTCCAGCGTTACAAAATTCAATCCCCTGAACTCGAGGATCAACATCGGTCCATTCTCTGATACAAACATGAAATCTTGTCATTCGGATATTTGGAATATTTTCATTGATATTTTTTTAAAATGTGACAGGCTAGTGTGAGTCTGAAGCTGGAAGTACAGATGAATGTCAGGAACGATTTTCCAGATTTTAGGATTTTTTAAGCAGGATTTTTGCCCTGATTTCAGGATTTTTGCCCTGATTTCAGGATTTTGAAAGAATCACTTTTGGAATCTGGAATTCCTGAGGTTTTACCCTACAGGTATTTTTACCTATAAAACTGTGAATATATATAAAGAATTAAGTGTTTTATGGAGTACCATTAGGCAAATACAGTCGTATACCATAGACCCTACGTTGCTCTGGGGCCCTCGGTGACCCTCAAACCCTCTGCTGATTATTTCATGGAGTTCTCGTCCCCCCCACTCCCATCCCTGGAAGCTGAAGTCGGAGGCAAATCAGAAAGATGGTAATCCTGTAACAATACCAGAAAGTTGCCAAGATTAGAAAGTCTGACTAATCTCATAAAAAAACACCACATTTTGGATAGCATGTGCATCAGCCATTGTAATGGAAGACACTGCATTGAACAATTTGTGCACAAATAATATGTGACCACCATCCCGAAACCAGACTAAAGCCCCAGAACGGTATTTTGTGAATTATAACATACAAGCAATACAAACTCCCAAATCTGAAGGAAGTAACTATAAAAAAAAATCCAAATCATAGTTTTGAGCAGAATCAGTCTCAGTTTGTAGTTCTAAACAGCACCAAAATAATATACTTGTGCTTGATTTTCATTTATTGGTCACATATTCCGATAGTTCTTTCTTCATTGCTGTACGATTTTTCATCTCTAAAATTAAATAATTTTATAATGATTTTTTGTGTTTTTTATCAGCTGGAGCTGCCCAAAATCCACCTGTTGCCAGGCCAAACCATCGCCCTCGAGGAGATCATTGAGAGAATGAAGAAAATCGTACCTCATCATGAGCCACCCGGCAAGTCCCCCATGGCCAAGTCTCCTAAGCAGAAGACGTTTGTCAAGCAGCCGTCAGGAGAGAAGAGAGAGACTCCGGAGGATATCAATGTGAGCTAAGACACTGTTAGATGCGAGTGTGCCGAGATTTCAAGAATCTCTCAGATACAAGCTTGCATCCGAGTCTAAGCCTTCCAAGTCATTATGTGAGTCCATTCTTGTAGGACTCGAGTCAAGGAGTCGGACTCGAGTCCGTCTCGAGTCATACTTTCCGTGACCTGGACCCGACTCGAGTCATACCAGCAGAAAGGGGACTTGGAATCAGACTTAAAATCAAACGAATCATGACTCAGGCCCGGACTTGAACCAAATGACTTGGACTTGGACTCGACTTGAGACTTGGACTCGTCTCAAGTGACTCGACCATAAAAAAACTGTCTGAGTCTGACAGTTCAAGACCTGAAAGACAGTTCAAGACAGTTCAAGACCTGTCCGAGTCTGAGCAGTTCAAGACCTGAAAGTGTATTTCAGGCATGCAACTTTTCCTCGGATCAGCTGATTTCCTCTTTTTCTACCTCCCATGTGTGCCATTGAAAATAGAAAAACACTGTACAAAGTCTGGGCAAAATTTGAATTTCCTCTTTTTTTGTGATTTCGCAGTTGCATGCCTGGTATTTAATTTAGTGTTAGAAATTAAACAAAATATGTTGAGTTACTTCGTCTGACATACTGTCACTGTGAACAGAACAGACTTATTTGTCAAAAATTCAAAACCTTCAAAGTTGTTCGGAGGTCTTGAAGTGCCTTAAATTTCCACGAGTCCTTTCCTAGTAAAGAATCCCTCAACCACATATCAAAGTAATAAATCGACTGAATGTAGCAATTTCCTTTTCTAATTCTGCAGAAGAAATTCCACTTCTACCCTGAGGATCTGGTGCAAGGATTTCGAGATGATTTCCCCATACCTCCAACATGGTACTTTGAGGTCACACGGGCTGAAGCTCAAGAGGTATAGACAATCAATCCTCTTCCCCTGCAGTGCCTTTTACACAGGCTAGTCACCAACAGTCAGATCATATTTCAAGCAAGCACTGTGACCAGTCAAATTCAGTCAACAGACAAAAGCAGGCAGGAAGTGAGCACAGCCGGCTTATCAATCACCTACAGTCAAAGCATAGCTGTGTCAAGTTACATAAACAGTCACAGCCAGTCAATCCTGCTTTACGTAGGCTGGAAGCTCTTAACTGTTGAAAACAGTCACTTGATTGATTTCGATTGAAAGAACAACTTTGCTCAGAATGTATGTTTGATAGGAGAGTTGTATACTGTCTGTGCTATTTTCAAGTTTCACCCTGTTAAACAAAACTTGAAATTGCTGTTCTTCTAAGCAATACAAAAGGTATTTGCTGTTGAGTGAGACACCAAACGATAGAATCAACCCCAAGTTTAGTTTAATGAATAGTTTACTCAACAGTTTCTGAATGATATGTGGCCCAACAATAATTCAGTTCCCACAGGGTAGAGAGGTTCCTGCCCCCTATTAGACATGATAATGTAGGGGCCAGGAACTCACAGGGTGGTTCCATTTGTTGGCAAAAGCAACCCCTGAACTAAAACCTTTTTATCAGAGCATTGCAAACCCCCAAAATATAAAAAAGTAGAGTTTTGGGGGTTAAAAAATTGCATATTTTTAAGGAGAAAAAACTGCATCAGTTGAGTTCAGTTTATCCAGGGATCCTCTTCACAAGGGTAAATGACTTCCCCAAATTTCTGTTTAGATGCGTGATACGGCACTTGGTGCTTGTGTATGCGCAAGACTTGGCGTGTGACTGCAGTCTTTCACTGGTCAAATTTCTGTCGGCGATCATGGCGCACGCGCATTGTTCTACATGTACCACATCGGTGCGTCAATACAGCAAGATACAAATGTGTACAGTGAGCTTTATAGCTTTATGATGAAAATCGCAACTTTTGCAAGCATCATACACATAAAATATGTTTTTTCATGTAGACTGGTTTTCATTTTAAAAATTCCCCACAAATGACATTCAAAACTTTTCTTTTTCAGCGTCTGAGAAGTTACTAAGTATTTTGTAAAGTTGGTTATGAGTACCCGATCCCACAATCTGGAACGGGTTCCTGGGTACCCCGCTCCATTAAACATTCCTAAGGCCAAAATAAAAAGTCTCCGGTTTCTGGTATGGAGCTTGCCCAAAAAGTGGTGCGGCAACGCAGCTTTTTTTTTTTTTTTTACCCGATTTTTTTGCTTTAAATGTCGGCTGATGACTGCAAATGGTGCCCGACTAAACTTAGTGCAAATATATGGGAGTCCAGAGAGGCCACATAAAGCTTATTCTCGACCATAACCCAATATAAAAACACGTTAAAATTGTGCAGCAGCAGGATTCCAGTCAAACCAGTGAGTTTGGCAGTTTTGAGACATCATCTTTCATTGAGAAAAAAAACTTTTTCATTTTGCCGACGCGCATGGCTACGGCAACGCGGGCGCATACCAGAAACCGGAGACTTTTTTTTTTTGGCCTAATTACTTTACGTCTGCTTTTTCAATCCAGCTTCTATTGAACAATCCCGAGCATGGATCTATCATCGTACGAAAGAGTGAATCTCACTCGGGCGGCTTCTCTCTGTCCATGAGGCAGGATCCGCCGCCTAACAACCCTCAGGCCATGCCCACCATCAAGCACTACAAGTTCCAGTGGGATAATAAGGCGGTATCATTTAAGATGAGCATCGAGGAAGAGGTTTGTTCAACATCACACATTTTTTTTGGATGGGATTCCTTCAAACTTATGTTAACTGCTAAGAACTCAATTTTCCTTTTTATTATTATTATTACTGGTTTATTTTTTTTTGAAATCCATGTTCTCGCAGTTTTACAGTTGGTTACAAACAGTGAAACATTAACATGTATATTTACAAAATAATAGATTTAAATATTATTATATATATTAACATCGTCATTAAACAGAATTAAACATGACAGTGAAATTCACGGTCTGTACCACTGCCACACTAAAACCAGAACACACTACAAGATGACTTGAGCAGAGCTGCAAAGAGTTTAATTAAAAGACCAATGTAATAAGGAATGGGGCTATTTAAGAAAAAAAACGATTAGGCTCACCAGGAGGATAGTAATCATCTTATTATTCCGTAGATTTCTGCTATGGCTTTCAAACCTGGAAGGAAGGAATAATGACTCAGTCCGACGGTTAACACTGAATTGTTTTCGCAAAGCTACGTCAATAATCTTCCTTCCTACTGGCTAGTGTTTGAAGTTTAAGAAATCTAAGAGCATCGTCGTAATAATCATAATCCCTTCCTAAGAGAATTTTGCAAACCCATATCAACATGACTCTGTGTGGTTAACTAGACCCGGAGTTGCTAGATAGCATCAGTGTATTCTAACACTGGCCTGATGTATCCACTAAATATTACTCCAAATTCTTCTGTACTAAATCCAAATCTTTTCAAAGACCAAAGCTTGAAAAGTCTTTGATTGGCCTTAGTCAACATCTTGCCGACCTGAGTATTCCATCTCAAATTGTTTTGTACCCAAAGGCAAGGCACACAAATGGAAAAGGGGCCGTTGGTTTCAAAACACAGAATATAACGATAATATCTACACAAAAAATTACTTAAAATTGAAATGTGACATATTTTATTGTTTGCAAACATTGAATTTCGAAGGAAGATTATTTTGACAACGTAGCTATTTACAGTCCCTATTGTTTGTCACAGCAGCAGCCACAAATGAAAACGATGTACGATTTGTTGGCATTCTTCATCGAGAAACACGGCGGCAATATCCGACCCATGACGACACGGGATCTCAAGACACCTCAACATCCCTACGAGCTGGGACTCAGTAAGTCAGGCACAGAAACAATCTGCAATCAAAGTCACACTGTGTTTGGATGGTGTGAGGTTCAAATCCAGCCACAGGCCTTGGATTTGTCCTTAGGGAGGATGTATTACTCTAATTATTCCACCTTCCTATCTCAATCCACGATATAAAGTGAACCAAAAGGTCTCATGTTCGAATCCCACGGAAGTCCAGTGTGGACGATAAGCACAACTAAACACTCATTGGTTTGAATCCCCTCCTGGGTTTATATGTTAACATGGTCCCTAAGTCATCTATCCTCTCCACTCATAGCCAGAGTGTCACAGGTTCAAACCCCACTGTAGGCCTTGTGTAACACCTTTCGGGCTTGGTTCTCACCCCAACCCACCACCTCCGCCCAAAAGGTCAGCTTTACAACAAGTGTCGGGTATCAAAATCCAACATCGACCAATATGTTTGATGGTGGAGTGCCGTGGCCTCGTGGTCTGGAGTATTGACTTTGTGGTCTGCGGGTAATTCTGCAGGTTGTGGGTTTGAGTCCAGCCTGGGGCTATGGTGCGTGTGCCCTTGGGCAAGGCACTTTGTCACTCATTGCTTCTCCCCACCCAGGAGTAAATGGGTACCTGTGAGGGCAGAGATGGTTATTGTGGTTGATTTTAGCTGCTTTGCGCCTAACAGGCAGCATCGAGCTGTATACTCCCCAGGGAACTGAGATGGTATTTAGAATGTGTCATTGGCCCAATGAGCAGGGTAATAATGATGTAGCGCCTTGAGCACCGATACTGGTGGATATGTGTGCTTTATAAATAGACATTATTATGTTATTGTGTAAATAACATACATGTGTCATTTCTGTCTGTATATCTCTGGCTAGAAAACCCACATCCTATTGTATGCTTCCTGTGACGAGCTCCAGATGTTTACCTCTTTTTAATTTGTCTCTGCTTGAAGGTTTTGCTGTGAAGGATCCAGAAAATGGCGAAGCAAACAAGCAGCCGCCGCAAGACACGTATCTCATGCCCAATAGAGGTATGGCTTCATTTCAACTGCCTACTCAGAGAAATAGACTGTAATTTTGAAGCCATCTTATTCATCAACAAAAGAGTTTTCACCTACTTAACATCAAGGGCTAATATCTGCATATTGAGGGTTCATTTAATGCTTTCCAACTATGCTTCCAAAGTAAAGCTAGTTGGGAAAAACAAATAGTTTCCCAAATGATAGTGACTTAATAACAGATATGCATTGGGAGTGTTGCCAAGTGGTTAGGGTTTATGACTCGTGATCAGAGGGTCAGGTGTTCGAATCCAGCTGCTGGTCATATGTTGTGTCCTTGGGCAAGCCACTTCACCCCCACTTGCCACTCTCCACCCAAGAGTGTAAATGGGTACTGGCATTAAAAAAGAAATGAAGCCTTGAAAAGAAAGTCCGTCATTTCCACATTGTTTATTGATATTTTCCTGTTTTCAAGTTTCAACGAGAGTTGTACAGTCATATTGAATTCCTGGATGACTTTTGTGACATTGTGTCTTACGATTGACAGAGTTTCCATCATTTGTTTTGTTCTCAGTAGCCCCCACTGTTCCCTCCAAGGCGCGCCCGGACCGACAGTCTCTCCCAGCATCCTTCAATATGGCGATACCTAATTTACCGGTTAGTACTTCTTCACAGTTTTAGCTTGTATCCCTCAGTCGTAATGACCAGTCGCAAACAACAGCTGAATACTACAGGGTAATCACGAGCAATATACATCGCGTGGAGTTTTGGCTGGTAACCTGCTTTTATAAACCATACTTTTTTTGTGCTAAGCAAATTTTTGTGCTTAGCAGCGCCGTGAAATTGGCCCCTGGTTATATGATACCTGCTTGAGACAATTTTATACAGAGTAAGAATATTTCGTTACGATTGGATGTCAACCACTAACATCATGCATGATTAAAGTTCTTCAGTGCCTGTTGTTCATAAGGGTTTTTCATTTTAGTTTGTTTTCCAACACATTTAGTCATTTGGTTTTCCAAACGATATTCTGTGCCCAATGTCCACTATAAGGCTTTTTCAAGCCAATCTGTGAACCCTAACGTCTCTCAGACGTTTACTTTGATTTTAATCTGCTTTTCTTTCTTCAGCAAGGTGCAACGGCATCGGCAGCAAGTCCCAACAACAGACTCAGTCTAGCGACCTCTGAAAGTGAGTACATGTAAATTATGGGTCTTCGGTCAATCCAATAAAAAAACTGTTTTAAGTCATTACAGTATTTCTTATTTCAAACAGAAATGTTGTCGACAAATAAGCCTCTGTACTAATGACGTCACACTTTGTTTACGTGTGCACTTTCCTATGGTGCTCAGTGGACAGTGGGTTCTCCACTGGCTCCATAGGAAAGTGCACATGTAAACAAAGTGTGACGTCATCAGTACAGCGGCTCATTGATTTACAAATAGTGTAGAGTAAAGAGATGACTATTGATGTGGTAACATTTTTGGGGCAGGGAGACGTAAATTCAATATTGGTTTTTGCCCTTAACAGAGGTAGTTTCATAAACACTGTACACTCAGTGTTGTCCGAGGGTTTGTGGGGGAACAATTTCACAAGCTCACTCGGTGGGACTCGAACCCAGAACCTACTTGTAAGCAGAAGGTTATGGGTTCGATGCCAACCCATGTTAGCTTGTGATTATGTTCTCACGATTTCGCCAACAACACTGAGTGTACAGTGTTTATGAAATCATGTTGGTGAAGGCAGAAACGTAACGAGACGATTCCGACCTGTTAATTAGAATCCTAGTACCTTATTTTCCATAATTAAATCCAAACGCAAATATAGTTCTGTGTTGTTTGTAAAATACCCGGCATAGGGTCAATTGACCAAAATCCTTGTGGTTTTTAATAATCTCTCTTCTCACTCCCAAACACTTTCCTTTGAAGAAAAGCTAAAATTTCATTGATAGCACTCTATGTTATCCCAACTTTTATTTTTTATTTAGATCGTAGGCAATCTAACTACCATTTCCATGTTTTTTTATCAGAAGTACATTAAGTTTTCTAAGTTTTTTGTAAAATTCGGCAATTCTGTTATAGCCCATGCCGGGATTGGTTATATTTTCTCCGTACAGCTACTAGTTCGTCTAATCCCTCACAGTATGTGGTGCCCAATCACAATCGGTCGATGTATATTAACGTCGGCCGAGACAAACTCCCCGCAGTTAATGAAGAGACTGACCAGAGTGAGTAGAGACTACCCAGTGCATGATGGGATATCTTGCCGCCATCTTGGATCACATTCAGACATTGTTGAAAAACATATGATCCTCAGTTTTGTTGCTCCTAGTTGATAAACCAGGGTTAGCAACCTTAATTTGACTTCAAAGTTATCACACAAAAAAGCAGGGGGGGGGGGGCACCAATAACTAGCCTCACTTCTTTATCACAGACAAATATTTGACAAGCAAACATTCTACAGGAATATGTTTTCTCAAATGTGCGAATGTCAGGAAATTTAGCAAATCACTAACTTCAAGGCAAACACATACGCTCCTATCTCTTAAACTTCGAGGAACCCTTTTGGCCAGCAAAGTGAAAAAGTTTCTCTAAAACAGGGGATATTCATGCTTATTTTGGGGTAGAAATTCAATTCTTAGCGACCAACTTGTTCTATTTTCAACAATGTCGGTTTGTGGTCATCACAGCACCAATGAGTTTCCACTGCATGCGAATCCATTTCATTTCAACATTGACAATACATATTTTTGTTCACTACATTTCCACTTCATTTACTTAATATTTGTATAAATAATGTCACTTAACACTTCATAATTTGTAGTAAATCACTATTGTTTCTTAACTTCATGTTTTGTTTGTATAATTCTACTTAAACTGTGCCGAAAATCACCACTGTTACTTAAATGGTTTTTTTTTTTTATTCCTGTACGGATAAAAAAATCTGACTGACCACTTGCACATCTTGATAACCTCGGGACCAATTTTCTGTTTTACCGGTATATTTCCATACATTTCATTTCTGTTATGAATCATTGTATTACTTTCATCACATTTCATATTGATTTTCACTTCCTTTTTACAATTTTAAATGACACCATTTTGGTACAAATTCACAGGAAGTTTCTGTTCACAATTCCTTTTGTTACGTTTATTCAAACAAGGAAGTGAGCCTAACATATTTGGTTCATTTCTTTCAGCTGACTGTCGTCACGCGGTAATTCACTCACACTGGTTAAGTGTGTTTGTATTGTGTCTGTGTTCTCTACACATTTTGGCAGCCTAGCCTTAACGAGGAAAACTTAACGAGGAAAACTCAACTCCAAAAGCATCTTTCTCCTCACTTTGGGTTTTGGATAATTCTAAGTAGTTCATGAACAGTTGAAATTCTGAAGTAGTGGAAAGGGGAAGTAGACACCACAATTTGAATGATGTTTAGGAGTTCCTTTTCAAAATCCAAAGTAATTACTGCTAACTCTGAAAATCAGATTTCCCCCCCCAATTTTTTTTTTTTGCTTCTTTACATTTTCAATTTATTTATTTATTTTCCACATCCAACAGCAGAAAAAAAACGCCAATTACAGGACTGGTTAACCAATTACAGTCCTTGTTTTCAGCTAACTTGTAAATTTTCATATGAAAACTAATTGTTTTTGTTTTTCATTTGTTTTTTGGGCATCTAATAGTTGCACAGATATTCTGTGCATAAGTTTGCACCTTCAAGCACACTTTGGCACCTTCGATAACTTACAATTCACTTCATTTGTATTTCTTTTGAATGTTTTATTTATTTGATTTACAACTGGCCTCAGCTTTGTTGCTAATAGCGTGAGCTTTTATTTCAGGAGATGCAGGTTTCTAAAGAAAGGCAGCACCCGATTGTCTTGTTCTCTGTATGAATATTCATATTCTGCCAGTTTGATACACTAATTTGCATATTTGAATATGCATCAAGGCCCTCATTTGTACTCAAGAGTGACAAATACAAGGGCCAAAAATGTTTCAAGTCGTCAAAAATGGAAATTGCAGTAGAGAAAAATAATTGTCAAGAAACAAAAGAAGATTCGTCTTTATTGAAGAGAACCAGTGATAGACTGAATAGGTAAAGATTCTCATGAATGAAAAAAATTGAAATAGTCCCGAATAACTATTGATATAATTTTTAACCCTGCCCTATCACATAACCATCAGCTATGCGCAGACGAGTGGAGCGTTTTTCAACTTCTGTTGTCCCCGATATGCCATCGTCTGATTTACGTGAGTTGAACCACTTCCCGCACATCAATGTTGTCCTGTGAATGCTAATCGTGTTGTCCAAGTAGAAGTAGCTAGTCAACTCACCTAGACAATGTATCTGTCTGTGTCGTAAGTGTCGTAGTGCTCGTACGGTTGCCAGCTGCCTACAAAGTACCAGCTAGAAAAACGCTGAAGGTTCTAGGCTGCCTCTGGTAGACGTCGTAGTCGGTACACTGCCACTTGGTCTCTTTGCACCAGGATTTAGGCAAGCTGAAAATCTGTCAAACTAACCTGATTTCTTTCCTCTATGTGATGATCTAGGACCACCCTCCTTACCCCCGCCGCGTCAACGGTGCATTTCAACTGCAGACGGCTATGCAAACCGAATGCTCCCGGATCCCAAAGCTGCAGGTTTAAGTGAGTGCTTACCCCCCAAATGGAATGAAATTGGGGGGGGGGGGGGATGAGCTCTGACTAGTTCGATGTTTAAAAAAAATATCCATTTTCAAAGCAAACTGGATTTCGTGTATAAATGAGGACCAGAGGGATTAAATTCGTAAAAATGTCTTAAGTTTAAACTCAAAGTGAAAAGTATTTCTTTTCAATAAGGCAAAACTGAACACCAATTTGCAGCAAGACTCATATTTTATGCTGTGTGTTTTTCTCAATTGCAAGCTTGTTGTTTGAGTTGTGTTTAGATACTTTGATGATAATGCACGTAGTTAATAGTTTGCACAGCGTGGTGAAAGGGAAAATAACATATTTGACATTGTTCCCGTAAGGTGTAGGGCTGCTTAATCGCAGTCGCAGGGCAGTTGAGGCACTTCAATAATTTCCCATTTTTTTCTCTCTAACAGAAGGTGAATTGTATTTGTAGAAAGTAGCTTGTCCTATTATTTTTATAACACCTTTTAATTCTAAAACACTGAGACTGTCTAGCAAAAGATGTGGTCTTTAACCAGTTTGCGCCGGGATTATTTGACATTGACTGGACCCAGGCGCGCAATCAATTTTCATGAACCTCGATACCAGGGTTCAGGCCATCATCTGCGGATAGTACACCCTGATATTTCCGGCCTCGCTCGCTGCAAGCAGGTCGCTGCAGATATTCCGGTCTTGCTCGGTGCGTATTTATCCGTCATCTGTTCCGATGACATGTATACACGTCATCCGACCTGAACTGGCTAAATGCAGTGAAATTTCCTCTTTTGCATACAGTTATTTTACTAATTTCAATTGACATCTAGTGAGTAGTGACGGTGTTCTTCTTCCTTTTAATACCAAATCTCTTGATGTTGTAGATAATACGGACAAGGTTGTGACATTCCGAAAGAAACCACGCGCTCAGAGCTTCAAGTGAAACAACTTGATCAGCGGTAAAATATTGACGTTGCACATGCATGCTGGCCAAATTTCTTTCTTATACCTAAAAAATATCTTGGCTCTTGCTGACCTCACCAAACACCGTGCCCCGGCATTGTTTTTGTTCTTTATGTTTTTGAACCCTTTTTGTTGCAGAAGGAAGCAGCTTAAAAACATCAATTTTAAATTTTATTTGATATTTTATTTTGTACATGTGATTCCAAATTACATATGTTTCAGTTTTTTGATATTTAATGCAGCATATTTAATTGTGCATTTGATCTTCCATTGCATGTTTTACATCATTTCATGTCACGCCATCATTCACTGAAACATTAGTTGCTTCCTCATTCATGAATTTTCCAGAAAATTGTTCATTTTTATCTAAAATCTTCCAGCTTTGTTGAAAATATTATCTCAGTGAGGATTTGGCAATTCAAACAAAAGCCAACCGCAAGAAGAAAAATGATTAAGTACTTTTGTTGATTCTTTATTATTTCTTTTTGTGAAATATATTTCAGCTCTGTGAACTCTGTGACACCTTTATACTTCTGTGGTTTCAGGAAATTTCACCAACATTTGTTCATTTCCTCTTTCTTTTGTTGGCTTTTATTTTGAAAAGACTCTGTTCACATAGTGCTACGACAAGTCCTTTGTTAGCAAAATGTATCTTTACAAAAACATTGTGGCACTAATACTAAAACTCCATTTTAAAAGCCAAGCTTTGTTACTGTCTCTGTTCGTTTATGATTTGTGTTTGCAAAAAGTTTGCTTTTGTTAATTAATCCCTTTCCGTTATTAACTGTTTTCTGTTTTGCATGTTTGTGGTCTGACTTTGCTTTTTACTACCAGCTGATGCTTATAACACTCCAACTGGTCACATGTTTGTCTTGCCCCGGCAACAAACTAGCCCATTGTTACCCGTGGCAACGACAGAAATGAGAAGCGAACAGGAGACCAGACGCAGATCTAAGATGTCACCAGGTCTTTACTCGTCAATCAAATCATAATTTTTATATTTTGCAAAAAAATTACTCAATAATCTCATCCGAAACATTACATTCACTCTACCGTGGGAAAAGCACTTTACTGGTGACCCTGGTTCGATTCTGTTGGGGTTTCGATGGACTGGAATTCCACCAGCTCCAAAATTTTACATTTTCTGATTCTGAAACAGAAATTGTTGTCTTTTTTCTTTCATTTGAAACTGGGACTTGAAAGTTAACGACAGCACTCAGATAAAAAAAACGTCAATCAGAGATTTGTCGATCTTATCTTAAATACCAGCCATCAGTAGTGTTATTACTCATTAATTGTTATAGCCATTAATTGTATACACTTGAAAAAAAAATCTGTAATTCAAAAAATGCATCTTTCAGTTTTAAAAAACGATACCGAAATGTATTATCTGAAATTATACAGTCTTTACAAGTGCTCATCTAATTTGAAATCACGAATGATTGAAAGAAACAAAGTGTAATGTTCTTTACCAGTACGTACCCAAAAGAGGCAAATATCTGAACCAGAAAGACAGCATCTGATGTGCTCGTTTGTTTGTTTTTGTTTCCTCCACCAGCCATCATGGATGAAACTGATAGCTATCTAGCCCCGACCCAACATAAATTTCTTCCAAAACCGGAACCGGGCAACGAGCCATTGCCCCAAGCAACCAAACCCTCTTCCCACCACGCCTTAGCCAAAAAGCATTTAGTATTTAAGCCACCAAGCAAGACTCAGTCAGGGAGTCCCATGGCACCCCCCACCAGTTACATCCGTCCGGAAGGCAGGCCTAGAGGGAAATCCTTCCCCACGCTGGCTGAAGGTTAAACAATTGAAACCAATTTCCACATTTGGCGTCACCCATGTTCCAGTATCAAATCACAGAAAACAGTTTTTGCCATTGCTAGAACACGGCTATCCATTCATCACATAGATACATCAGACAAAAAGCTCATAGACTCATAAAATTGTAGACATTTCAGCATTTTTCAAAATGTCACTTTCTAGAAGGTAAAACGCCCCCCCTCCAAAAAAAAAGAAATCACCTGACTCATTAAGTCAGTACAGCATTTTGAGACAGACTGAAGACATTTTCAGGACAATTTGGAGCAATTTGAAATAAACCAGTTCGGTACCTCGATGAAGAAGTCCATGTCAAAGGTCATTCGGGATAAACTGGCTGACGTGATGATACGCGATGTTACGCGGACGCCAATTCTGCTTGTATTTAACATGCGAGCATCATGCGAGCGTCGTGTGCCCGTCTCCATGCGCGTTCGTGCGCCTTCAAATGAGTGTTCAATTATCCTGAATGACCTGTCACCCATATCATTGCACGCATGCATAGTTGAATTATCGAACTGGCTTATTGTGCACTATGTGAGACAAAGACAATTGTATATTTCATTTTATCAACTGCTCAAATCTTTGGATGCCGTACGCAAACAGCAGATGTTTGTTACCAGTTTTGAGAGTTCCTGTGGAGGGACACACCGCGTACTGGTTCATACGTGTGTTGTGCAAAGTACCCACGACTGCATTTATTCTAACTGTGCACAGCCCTTTGCATCTTTGCATCAGCATTAAATTTCGTCAGCAATGCGTTTGAATGTCCCTTTCAATGCTCTACCCCAACTCATTTCTTACTGTCAAGGTACTTGTGCACAGAGCCCATATAGACATCCTTTTACCCATTATAGCTCTGTCCAGAATTACTCTACATTATAGGAAAGAGTTCAGCTTAAAGCGTAGAGACTATAAAGGCCGTGTTCCGAAACGGGCTTCCAGAGCTACGGCTACGTCTATTGTCAGCGCGTCCCTGCGTAGTTTCAATGGGTGCAGAGTGCAGACCAAGACCTACTATCCTGGCCAAAATGGTTGGGACACTTCCTAAGCCTGCCACGGTCACCCACTCCCCCGCTCCCCCGGTCAATGTTGTTCTCTCCAGCTGATGGAGCACACACCCTGCAATGAGAGACAATATTGAACGGGGGCGGTTGGGGGCCCAGCGAGATTTGGCCAGGATTGTAGCTCTAGACAGCTGATCCGGATACACCCTTAGCTTAAACAAGATACATGTATCAAGATATTTGACTCCCAAACCAAACAGCTCGTTAATACTCCGAAAAAAATTATGATGTGTTTTAAATGTGAAAAAAAAGTTCAAAATAACAATGTTTCAATACCAAGCATTGGATCCAACTCATTTTACCAGTTAATTATAGGTGCCATATTCCATCATTGTTTGTCTGTGTGTTTGCCTTGTGCCTGTATTTACTCTCAGCTCTTGACATTTTTCAGCATTTTTTAAAAAGCTTTCGTGCACGAAGGTAGTTTTTTTTAATGTCATCAAATGCTTCTGCGAGCCAAACCTCAACTTTCTGTGGGTGTTGTCAGCATGACAATGTTCGGGTCATTCTATAAATTTAGGGTCCAAAGTGTGACATTTTTCCTGTCCGTGTTACCTTTGAAGTTTTTAATTCACCGCTCAAGTATCATTAAAAGTGACTTCAAACTATTTTCATTGTTTGGGTAGGTAATTAGCTTTACCTGCTCACTCTTATGGGGAAAAACATTATGAAATGCATTGAGAATTTACAAAAATGTAACATGTCAGATGTAACAGATGCAAGAAAAACATGGACCCACACTTTATGGAATGACCTATTTATAACTCACATTTACCTGCTCATGTTTTTTTTTTTTTTTTTTTTTTTTTGCTTGTTTTTTTTTTGCTTGGTTGCTAACAGCACTTATATAAATCTGTTCATATTCACCTTGCTGCTTACGGCTTACATTTAACAATTTGCCGCCACGTTATTTTGTCTTTGTGCATTTCTGATCATAGTGTGCAAATTTAGTTGCGGGGTAGTACCGAAGTCTGGTCACAGTAGAACCTAGTTTTTATGTCATAAAAAAAAAAGAATTACATAATGGTCACAAAGTTTTAAACTAAAATTAAGATAAAGGTTCTTCTACACAAAATATCACCAAGGAACATTTTTTGTCTTTGAATATGTCTGATGTGGTCTGCACAGTTTTGGTTACGTCTTGCAGAAAAAAAAGAACCAACTAGAATGACTTATGACGATGTTGTGATTGGTTGCTTATGTTTATTGTCGTGCAGCATTTCTAACTATCGATCTGGATTGTTTTATCTCAGGACAAAGCGGACCCATGGACCTTGAACTCAACAAGATCTTCAAAAAGTTTGGCATCGACAGCGAAAAGTAGATGAAGCAGCAGACATCCCTATCTGACTTCAAGAATCTTTCTAAGGTGGCTTTATGGTGACAGATGCAAGGTTTATCTAATAAGATTTTGGATATCAGTATTGTGGTGTATTTTGCCTATGCAGAGAGGAGGCACTTGTCCTTATTATTTGGTATCTCTGTGTATATTACCTGGACTTAAACTTGGCAAATTGTGACTTACTGTAATAGATTCGGTCACATTTAGGGTCGTCACTTTCAATGTCACTTTCATCACAATCTAACGTTATTCCTTTCAGAAATGTCGGAGTCTTTCCAAGTTTTTTTTTAATCATTCCGCTCGAACAGCTAGTCTCATTAATATTACTAGCTGAAGTGGTTTCAAAACTCTTTTTAGCTTATCTGGGCATTGTATATTTCGCAAATTTGATAGTTGCTGAAAATGGTTTGTATATTTCTGTATGTAGCTTGGCCATGCATGTTGTATATAGGGGCTTATTGATTAAAGTTGAGTGGGGTAGATTGTACGGTAAAGGGTAATGTTGACACAGTGCTTGATTATTGTTTCAACATCAAAACAACATTTAATACAAAGTACAGAAGGGTTGTTTTTTGGTTTCAGAGGCTTTTTAAACAATTTATTATTTTTGGGGAAAAAAACAGTTCTTGTTTTAAAGGGAATGTACAACATTTGCTTTTGCTGCAATTTTCAGAAATAAATGGATTTGGAGGATTAGTATGTACTTATAGCAAATATTGTTAAAATAACTTGTTTCACGATTTGGGCTTGAAGACGCTGGAAAAGCCAAGAAAACCAATCATGTTCTTGTAGTCTGGTTCCCTGACCCCACTTAAGATGAAATGGACTGATTTACAGACTTTTGGGAATTGTAAGGTCAGAGAATCAGTCTAGCAGGCTTGTACCCCTTCGCAGGTGTGTAATCAATTGCAAAGAAAACATGGAATACTAATATTATGAAAAAGTAGGAGCAGTTTTTGAAAAAAAGCCAGTTTTCTCCAACGCTGGTCGGCCGACCAGCGTTGGAAAAATCCCATTTTTCTTGAAAATGACAGCACACCAGGAACCACGATTTTACAGGATGCTTCATACTGTCATTCCCTTACAATCCAGTAAGGTATTTCGTGATTATTTGATCAGTTCGTTTTGTGATGTTTGCAAATGTTGTATCTTCCCTTTAAGGTTACGCATGTCGGGTATATCGCTTTTCAGTAACAAGAATGAGACATGCATTGGCTTAAGTCATGGTGTGATATACAGTCAAATTGTTATGAGGTTAATATTTAACGTACTTAATTGTACACAGGTTTACTCTTATAGCATGTAAAACGAACATGACTATAAAAAGTACAATTGTTGGTTATTTTAGAAACTGCCCATTCCGTGGCATTTTGCAGGTTCTCATTATTCTAGTGACTTGTAACTTCTAAGATGTAACAATGTTCTTGAAACTAAATAGCACCAAAAGTAAAGGTATTTATTTGGTCAGGTTTAGCTCAAGACGGCACGTACATTTGACGTCGTAGTATACGAAACTAGAATTTTTGAAGCTGTGGGTTTTTAATTTTTGGGGAGGATTGTACATTTTAACGTCATGTGCCATTTGCTGTTGTTGAAACTCTACTTTATACTCAGACGACATTATAGCAATATTTTGTTTTTCATAAAAGCGTATTTTTGATATTTTAAGCCACTTGTTGATAGTTTGTAATGGATTGTTGATGCATTTTGCAGTGTCTTTTTTGTACATTGGGGTGTGATTATCTGGCGCTAAGCAGTAAATATTTTGCAGATTTTTCATAAGATTTTATTTTTAGAGAAAAGTGATAAAATTGAATGTATAGATTGCAAAAAGGTAATGACCTGCAAGTATTTTAAAATGAAACAAGTGGACTACTAGTATTTTACATGAAAACTGCTGTAAAAATACTTGGGAAATTAATGAAGTAAATTGTTCGAAACCACCTGACTTCAGTTTTTAATTTTTTTACGAATTGGAAAACTAGTCTTTAAACACCAGTGATCAATTGCTTGGAGCCGCTGAAACTCACCGACTGACTGAAGAAATGTGACGTGGTATGTCAAAATAAGGCACTTAATATAGACCTTCCACTTCAAAACACCGCTTTTTTTTTTTATTTGACATTCTAAAGCGAAGTTTTTAAATTTTGAAATCGGACTGTCCGAAATGTCAAGCGAATTTTGAACCATTTTAGAACAAAAACTTGAGCAAAGTGTCATTTTGTGAAATGACATGCCTGTCTAAAAGTGTTTTTAAAATTACTCTGTCAATGAAATTTCAGTTTCAAACTTTTACAGAACATTTTAAGCATTAGTAGCATCACAAATTTAAAAAAAAATCTCAATATTGTTGAAAATTCCCCATGTCATTTTGCGGCTATTTCTCCATTCATAGCTCTGGGCAATTCTGCCTGATTTGGACATACCAAACAAATTATGTGCTTAGCAAGAATGGGGTTACCAACCAAACAGTCATGCAATGTATATTAATTGTGACTGGTACTCAGTTGACTTTTGCTAACCACAAACATTTGCTGATTGATATTTCTGCTTAATTTCTCCACAAAATTGGCCACGTCATTTCAGTTTTGGCAAGTTTTGCCGCATCGTCTCCGACCACTGGGCAAAATTCAAATTTGGACACGGAATCCACTTTGTAAAACTAATTACAAAATCAACATTCCTGCTGCATGTATTTTCCCTTAATGAAAATATACGCATCAAATGGCAACAACGGCTTTCACAACATTCCTCGCTCACATGACAAAGAAACAAAGAAAACTGAATAACTTTTCCATAAACTTTATACCATTCTTTATTCAGTTCAATATTTTTTTTGACATTGATTGGTTACAGCCTATAGTCTTTGCTTCAGAATACTGGTGCATATTGCATTAAATAATGTTGAGTGTTCAGTGTTACATCAGGCATGTAACCCCCAAAATGGAGGACATTACAAGCTTTAGAAGATTTTATAGTGTTTTTCAATTTTTAATGGCATAAGTGTGGCAAAAAAGAAAAGTTGCATGCCTGTACAGTACACTATTTTGCCACTCACTCGATCACTGTTTTGTTCTTGACACTGCAGATTTGTTTGCAAAGTTATCTCATAGTTATCACATTAGTGGGTCCACACAGTTTTTCACTATGTATGCAAGATTTTTTTGACAGATCGTATGAAACTCCAGTTCAAAATGAATCCATTTCCTATTTGTTCATAATGATGTCCTTTTTAGTTGAAATGTCCATTGATTTTTTTGGGGGGGGAGCAGTGGTCTTGTTCCTGGACTTGACTTCATATTGGACAGTGTCTTGCCATCCCTTTTCACCAGTCCAATGTCACTCAATGAAATGACCAAATCGTCTAACCTGTGGGTTTTTGCTTTGACTTCAAATGCATTTTCATGACATTATATTAAAAGAATGTACATCAATTTTTGGGGGGCATCACAAACTGAGAAATATCAGATAAACCATGAAGTGACATACTATGGATTGAATACACAAGGTACGTCAATTTATGATGTCAAACAATTAGATATGTCAGTTTTTGGTGCAACCCACATATTGTAACCTGTTGCACGACGTAACTTGAAAACTACATGACGTTGCTTGCCCTTTAAATTTACAATGCAGGGAACTAGACATTGCATTTTGGAAAGTCTGGATTGTCAGGAAAAATAAGGATCAAATTTCACTTTTTTACCTTTTGTAGCAATGTGTTTGGTTGGTTTGTTTTTGGACATAAAGTTCACCGAATAGAAGGAACAAGACTCATGGACATCAAGACTAGATTCTGCACCATTTACTGTTATTGTTTTCGCATGGACATGATGGGAAAAACTTAATGGTATTATCAATATTTGGCAAAGAAATATGTAAACTTTCAAGAAAAATGGTAGCCAATAGTTACAATTTTTTTTTTTTTTTACATATTCTTAGATATTTGTCCAAACCATACATAACAATTTTAAGCCCAAGTACAAAAGTGCAACAAAAGAGTTTAAAAGTTTCTCCCAATTCAAAGTCTTCCTAATAATTTTGGTCCTTGATTAGTTCGTGCCAGAATTATTTAGACCTCCACGCCGGTGCCAAATGGGTTCAGGCCATCATCTGCGGGTAGCACACCCTGATATTTCCGGCCTCGCTTGCTGCGAGCGGGTCACTCACACATATTTCTGGCCTCACTTGTTGCATGTTTATAACGATATTCGGCAAAGAAATATGTCGAATACCGCAAAACCTTTGCTTGTATACACATCATCCGACGTGAGCTGGTTAACAACTTTTGTAGGTTTGGTATGCCAAACAAAGATTGCCTATTTAAAGATAAAGTGACTAATGACTTGTTTTTATAAAATGCAAAAAAAGAGATTTTTTATTTGTACCCTTGTAAAGGCTTGTCAATTTATACCAAGAACGAACATTCTTTCAATACACTGTAAATTGTAAATATTTTTTTAATTGACTTGCTATTATGCATGTACAATGAAAGAAGTACTCGTATATTTTAATGTAAGTTTAATATTTCTGTATCAGTTGTTTTGCATAATTTGTGGGTAAATATGAGTGTCATTATTCTAATAATGGACGACAATAAAAGCTGTATATATGATGCTAAAATTGAACCTTGTTTTTTAATTAATTACCTTTTGTGTCAAAAAAAAATACAATCGACTTTACAATAACATTAAAATTTCTGAATAATAATATCTGTAGTAAAACATTCATTTTATACAAAATAAGGATTTTGATCAGTGATAACTGAATTTTATGTGGCAAAAAATAATCGCATACAATATTTTACAGCAGCATACAAACATCACAAATTATGGATTTTAATGTTTAAGTCGTGCTGAAATCTCAACTGTCTCGGTAAGTGGGTCAGATGTCACTAAATTGACGTAAAAATAATTACACGGGTAGCTAAACGTGAGAAATTATCAATATGCAAATGAAACTACAAAATGTGCAGATTCCTTATTTGGGTTTGAAAATGTAAAATTTAATTAATTTGAATCATAATATATGAGCCCACTTCATTTCCCAGGAACTTTCTCAAATTACTTCGTTGATTTCATTCATAAAAATAACATTACACACATGTAATGGCTGAAAGGTTTAAGCAGCAAGCAAAGCACCTCCATAATAAAGCTGTTGGTAAAATGACTCTTAATTCTTGCCCCTTTGAAATAATTTGTCTTCCAAGAAACCTGAGACATTTATATTTTTGGCAAATGTGAGATTTTTTTTTTTTTATATTTATTATGTTCAGAATTCCACACCGAACAATTTGGCAAAGAATGGTTTGGGTGGCTTCGATATTAAACTTTCACTGGGAAAAACAACTTTTTCTGTTGACGTTTCTGTGCAGGCCTAACGCAGGACGAGCCAAATTTAGCCTTGTATGAACATGCACATGCTGGCATTTATACAGAGTATGAAACGGTGTCATATATAAACTCCGGTCTCCTTTACCTATAGATTCTAACCCTCCACATGTCACTGTTTAATTAATGAGTCCACTTTTCGTACTAAGGGTCAGAATTTCATACCACACCGGCCCTTACTTGTTGGAAAGAACAATAACAGCATGATTACATGGTTCACCATCAACTAGACAAGCATTCCTTATGTCATTAAAACAAGCACAAAGGGCTTTTCAGAGTACCAATGCTTGGTATAGACTGCATGCGCAAGTACCCCCTTAAAGCTACAGTCCCATCATTTGTAATTTGTGCATTTTGTTCGTTTGAAGCAACAAAAGTGTTCAAAATCTAATGAAGGATACTGAACAACTAACCTGATGAAGTTTCAGCTAAGCTTCAGCTGTATATTCCGAGAAAAACAGCATTTTAAGATCTCAATTTCAAATCAATAGTTACTGAATCATGTTTTGAATTGTTTTGAATTGCAGCTATACGCGACGTCGCGCACTGATCCGACGAATTATAGCAACCGCGCGCGTGTGCGTCGTGCCAATGCTTGGGCGCGCTTCGCCGAATAACAAAACGAACTACTAATTTAAATTTTCCTACGGTGCATCTTAAGACGCACCATTGGAAAGGTCTTCTTTCGTTGATTTCTTCAAAATGACAGCTTGCCAGAAAGAATAATTTCACAGGGAGTTTAGTTCCCTTACTATCTTTCAACCAAGTTTGTTTTTCAACAATAATTATGCCAGTTACTTTTCGGATGGCTGCAAATGATGGACTAAAGCTTTAATGGCTAGGGAGAGAGAGTTGGGGGAGACCACTGGGAGAGACACTCAAATGCATCGCCGATGACGCCTGACGCTCACGCAAAGACGCTATGGTGGTGTGAACATTCAGAATAACATCAGTCATGTGTAATTTGTGGCATTCGTGCACAGACCAGTACGTACATGTACAGGGTTCCTTATGGGGTAGAAAACACAATGGAATAATGGACCCAATAAGGAAGTCTTTAGAAATCAATCTACGCCATAAGGGAAATGCTATGGAGTTTGAGATTACATTAGGAACAAAGGAAAACAGAAGAAGGGAAACAAAGGTCTTCCCCATTAGTATATATGTTGAGTGAGTATGACCGGCAATCGTGGACCTAGGACAAAAGGGTTAGGGCACAAACAATACGTCCACTATTGACCAAACGTCCACAATTGAAATTCGTATACAAAACCAATGAGAGCTGTTGCGTACAAACAAGGAATGAGGACTATGAACAATGGGGGGTCCATGATTGCCTGTGTTTACCAAGATGTATGCACGTGTACGCAGTGTGTCCCCTCCACTGAGTTTAAAAAGCACCATCTTCGGTAATCGTATAGTTTAGGACACCTCTATGCTTTTCAAGTTCCGTTCATAAATCAAAACCCTGCCCACTTTCCACAAAATTAAGCTAGCTGATATTCAACATTGTATCTTAGCGAACTATTTAGATGATTCCAAACACATAAAGTGACTTTTCCCGCTTGTATCATCGCCAAATGTATACGTATGAAGTCCCAAAACATTAAAGTGTCTTTTCATTCTCTTATATGGAACAGGGTCCTAAACTTCACTACTACCCCATGTTCTGTTCGTGCAGGGAATTCATTACTGTACATAAAACTTTGGTTGCAAAGATGATGTTCATCATAGCCAAATCGTCAGCATATTGGAGTGTAGATTATAGTGGCGTGCTGCTGCATTAGGATATTGATGAGGTTTCTTCAAGTCTCCTCACAGACCAAAGTAATACCTCACAGGAGGAGCTGGGAGGTCCTCATCTGCATCCTCTGATGGAGGTTCGAATCCTATAGTGAGATCCATGTACTTGATACCATCGCTGGGTTTGAGAAGTTCCAGCATGCTGTGATGTAAAAGGAGCCAAAAAAGGTACTCAAACATTTGTCCTCTTGCAAAAGACACTTTGTCTCGTGGTCTGGAGCACTGACTTCGTGGTCTGCAGGTAATTCTGCAGGTTGTAGGTTCGAGTCTAGCCTGGGGCTGTGCTGCGTGTGCCCTTGGGCAAGGCACTTTGTCATTCATTGCTTCTCTCCACCCAGGAGTAAATGGGTACCTGTGAGGGCAGAGGTGGTTTTTGTTGATTGATTTTAGTTGCTTCGCGCTGAAATGGCAGCATCGAGCGGTATACTCCCCAGGGAGCTGAGATTGTCTTTGGAATGTTTCATTGGCCCAAAAAAGCAGGGGTAATAATAATGTAGATCCTTGAGCACAAATAATGGTGGACACATGACATGCGCTTTATAAAAACACATAATTATTATTTGTCATTAAACTGCTCCTTCTAGAAATAATTGGGAATTGGTGCCCCACTCGGGAATAAATGGGGACTTGTGAGAGAAAATATGGCTCTTTTGTTTCAGCTAGCTGATTGTATCAAAAATGGCAGTAACAAAATTCTACACTACCCCTCGGAGTTGAGATTGTGTTTACCCTGATTTATTGGCCTGATGATCAGAGGTAATAATGATAGTACGCCTTGAGAGAATTGTGAAAGATGCGTGTTGAAGTATAAGTAAGAGTAGAATGGGAAAGTGAAACAAGCAGTAACTCAAAGTTGAACCTCGAGGTACCTCGTAAAAACCTCATACAACCTCAAGGTAAACCTCGTAAAACCTCAACCTGAAGGTGATCCTTGTAAAACCTCGTAAAGCCTCAAGGTAAACCTCGTAAAACCTCAACCTCAAGGTAAACCTTGTAAAACCTCAACCTCAAGGTGAACCTTGTAAAACCTCAACCTCAAGGTGATCCTTGTAAAACCTCGTAAAGCCTCAAGGTAAACCTCGTAAAACCTCAACCTCAAGGTAAACCTTGTAAAACCTCAACCTCAAGGTGAACCTTGTAAAACCTCATTTTGCCTCAAGGTAAACCTCGTAAAGCCTCAAGGTAAACCTCAAAAGCCTCAAGGTAAACCTCGTAAAACCTCAAGGTAAAAGCTGTAAAACCTCAACCTCAAGGTAAACCTCGTAAAACATCAAGGTAAACCTCAAGTTACTGCCTGGTTAATTTTGCATTCTCTGATAACTGTGTACATAAATCAATAAATGAAGTACACAACTGACAAAAAAGGACTGATAATGCATAATGCATATACTCACCTTTTACTTAGTCTCTTCATATGGCCAGGCATCATTGGCACAAAGATCATCTTGACCCCATGCACGACCAGAGAGATGTCCAAGCCATAGGTATCCTGTGGGCATGAAAACAATTTCTCATAAATATTTTTTAATACAGCCGGACAGAAACTGCGTGTTGGAGTTCCAATTAGTGCTCTAATTCTGGAGAACACACACTTTAAATTTTGTTATGAACGTTGTGTTTATCAAGCATCACTTTTGCTTTAAAATTTAAGGTATACTCCATCATTTGTAATGTGAGCATTTTGATAGTTTGAAGCAACAAAAGTGCTCAAGATCTAAAGAAGGGTGCTGAACAACTGACCTGATGAAGTTTCAGCTCAGCTTCAGCTGTATATTTTGAGAAAAACAACATTCTAGGATCTCGATTTCAAATCAAAAGTTGCTGAATCATGTTTTGAATTTGGCCTGAATTCAGCGTCCGAGACACGTTCTCACTGAGCTGATTGCAGCTACGCGATGTCGCGCACTGATCCGACGAATTATAACAAACGCGCGTGCGTGTACGTCGTGCCAATGCTTGCGCGCGCTTCGCCGAATAACAAAACGAACTACTAATTTGAATTTCCTACGGTGCTTAAGAAGCACCGTTGGAAAGGCCTTCTTTTGTTGATTTCTTCAAAATGACAGCTTGCCAGAAAGAATAATTTCACAGGGAGTTTAGTCCCTTAACTATCTTTCAACCAAGTATGTTTTTCAACAATAATTACGCAGCTACTTTTTGGATAGCTGCAAATGATGGACTCTGGCTTTAAGGGAACAATGTTTGTTTAAACATTCCACCCAAGGGGCTCTACAAGTTCCAGATTCCTAGACTTATTGTTGCTAACAATCTTACGGGAAAAAAAGAGACAATGACATTTGTGATGAAAATATCCATTCTACTGACCAGAAACTAAACATGTTTTGAAGATAATTAAAAAAAAAATTAAAACTAACAACTGTGTAAATTTGCAGTTGCAACATTTCAATTGGTAAGAAGATGGTTCCAAGAGGAACATGCGGGTCTCAGGACCGAGTTGCTCCCTCAAAGGAGATACTCACAAGGTGCTACTACAAAACCTTCCATCATTTCAAACTTCAAATCTCATATCAACCTCACGTACCTTAAAGTGTTGCATGAAATCCTTGAGTTTGTATCCTCTCTGTCCATGTACATGCCACATGTCCCACTGTGTGAACTTTAACCCTGGTTTGATCTGAGTGACGCTGGCTGGGCCGGGCTCCGAGAACATGATGAGAGATAGGCCCAGATTGAGGAAGCAGTTACGATAATCGGACAGGGTAGCACCCTTGACGTACTTGATTAGTTCTAGAGTGGCCTGGAGGAATAGAAAGGAACAAAAGATGACATTGTTAAGATGTCTGAGTATCTGTTGGAATGCAGGTCATTCTATAAATTTAGGGTTCAAAGTGTGACATTTGTTCCTGTCTCTGTTACCTCGGAAGTTTGCCATTCAAGTATCACTAAGAATGACTTCAAACGATTTTTTTTCCAAACAAATACACATTAAGTTCCCTTGTCTGGATCTCTGACTTCATTCCTCATCAAGTCAATGAATGGCTTACCAGTCCAGCCACTGCAGCCGTTGTCGTAGCGATAGCCGGTACGATCCGGCCAGCGATGCGTTTGGTCTTGAAGCGGTCAGCAAGCTCAATGTGGTACATCGTCGCTCGCAGGTTGGACGCCGAGGTGATGTAATCTATATGACCATTGGTGTCATCATCTTTCTCAAAGTCGGCAGGAATCATCCGACAATGACCTGAGGGTTACAAATTGAAGGACAGAAAATTTTGTTATTCACTTTCACCATGAATCTTGAAACTTACTTCATTGAGACCTCCATCAATAGAAACTTGAAATAGGAAGTTTTAAGCATAGTTGCAAATTTAGCACCTGTATCGAATTTGACCTTGTACAATTTTCTGGTACCTGTTGGAACTTAGTAATGAATTAAGCAACCATACAAATTTAGCATCTTCACAAATTAGTACCACTATAAGTACAAAGTTCCTGTTCAAGTTTGCCTCCATACAATTTCTAACACGTATGCAAATTAAGTATTGTGCATTTTGTAGCAGCATCTGAAACAATTAGTATCTAAATTAGCACCGGCACAAAATTTAGCACCTGTACAAAATTTAGCACCGGTACCAAAATTAGCAGCTGCACAAAATTTAGCGCCTGTACAACAATTTACACCTGCACAAAAATTAGCACCTAACAAAAATTAGCACATGTACACAATTTAGCACCTGTACAGAAATTAGCACCTGCACAAAAATTAGCACCTGTACAAAAATTAGCACCTGCACAAAATTTAACATCTCCACAAAAATTAGCACCTGCACAAAATTTAGCACATGTACAAAAATTAGCACCTGCACAAAATTTAGCACCTGTATACAATTTAGTACCTAAAAAAATACTGGATTTTATGATCTTCTGAAACAGGCAACACAATTCATGTGACTTGTTATACAATTGGGAACTCAACATGCTCAAAGGAGGGTAGAGTCAATGCGATAAGTTGAATTGATATCTAGAGGTTTATATGTCAGTCATTCATTTGAAATGCTTGTAACTTGACTTGGGACTGCATGACTTGTGAGGACTTGTGAGGACTTGTGAGGACTTTCGATGGACACGACTACATCAATGCGAGAGAGTTGAAGCCCTATGATGCTTGCCTGTACCTGGTGTGGCCCTCTTCTTTGCTAGCAGCTGAGCTAGCTGTTGTCGGCATTGCTCTATCTCATCTGATGTCACAGATGGCTCCAATAATTGCTGAGGTTTGGTGGGAGACGATGCTTCCGTTTCAATCACCTACAAGGATAAAAACCATCTGCTTACTCTGAAATATGTATGATCTGATCCGCTGATTTCAATGGTCAATAATCTACCATCTCAACAATACAAGTTATTTCCAAAAATCAGCCACAAAAAGGTATTTCCGATGTTTGAACTTTAAGTGTTCTCTTGTTGACTCTCAAATTCTTACAAAGCAAGCTACGACATTCTTTGATCCCTGTAAACGTACCTACCAAATTAATGAGGAAAAACTTTTTCGCAGTGAAGATAGGGCTAGCCCAGAATACCCGTGAAAATGATTTCGTCAGAAATGGTTTCAATCGAAAGAAAACAATTACTGAAGGTGGTTTCAAAAAGTGTGCCCGTGGGCACACTTTTTGTCATTGGATCGCTTTCTTTACTTCAACTTACAAGACCTAAAAACATTGTGCATTTCCAGATTTGGCTTCATGACTTGCTTCAGAATCAGTTAGAAGGAAATCAAATGGAACTACTCTAAACTGTTGACTCATGTTTTGAAGTCCATGCATGAACAGTTGATGGTGCTATTTCACATTTTTAAAAAGCTTTGTTGGAGAACACAATGCATTCGGTGGGGGACACGACTAGTTTGCTCAACTTATTTTATACTAAATGTGCTCAAAGCCATAGCATGTTAGCATGAGCATCATGCCATTGGCAATGCGTTGGTCTCCCCAACTCACCCTTTCTTACTGTTGAAGGGGTACTAAATCTGATGAATCCACAGCTGGAGATAAAACCACAGTTTTGAAAAACCCCTGTGTTTCAACTTGACTTACCTTATTGGATGGTTTGAACGGTGGCACTTTGACCCCTGACAGTATCCGTAGCAACGTGTCGGTGCTCAGGTCATGCTCAGATACTGGAATGTCGCAATACGCTGCTGTAAGCCTCGCTGTGCTGACAACAAACAGCATATGTCTGCAAATACACAATGAACGGCATTTCAAATGACCACAAAGCTTAGCAGCAATCTCAGAAGGAAACTGTGACAACGGGTGTGCTCCACGTACGCCAACAATGCTTAACGTCTGCTAAATTTTGGTAACATTTGCGCCAGTGAGACTGACTGTTTGCCAGCACATTTGCAACAAACGCGAACAGTCTTCCTAAGTTGTTCGCTGTGTTTACCAAGATGATCGACTCACACATGGTGAACTGTACAAGCTGAAATTTGCCGTTTTCTACATCAAAATAACTTTTGTAGAATTAATAAGTTGAAACATTACTGAGAAAATCCGACACACACTTACAGTTCACTTGCCGTGTTGAAGATGACTGGAGCTGGCGGTCGCTTGGGGGATTGCCAAAATAGCGCTGGAAATGCAACAAGCGGTTTGGGTCTTAGATTACATTGTTATATCTAAAGTACGGTTGAATTATGAACAATGCAAGCTGTTGTTTTTTTTTAATTGAATTCTGTATGGAGTAATTTCAAACCAAAATGCGTAGCACAAGTTTATTTATGGTACTGAATGACTTGCGTACTCCATCACCAATGGAACTTAAATTTTCACATTTATGATACTTTAATTATTTCAAATGGACCCATTTGCCCCCCACCAAAAAAAAAAAAAACAATTTTGAAAATGGCTTACTTCCATCGCTCATCTTGTGGTCCAATGGAAAGACAGAAAGAAGCTGCTTTGCCTGAAAACGACCAATCAGAATAAAGAAAAACAGGTCAGTGTACTACACAACACTGATAGTAAATAACTTGTAAATCACTGGAAGTTTGGAGAAAGTAACAATATTATTATGAGAAGCTTTCTTAACAGAGAACAAAAACACAGAAATCACTTTAAAAACCCAAAAACCCAATATTGAATTTACATCACCCCGACGCAAATTCTATCTTGTGATTAGTTTGGTTGCGGTACCTGCTGCTTTAATCAGATTCAAACCAGCTAGCCGACCCTGGCAAGCTCGGTGGTTGAGTAAGCTCGAGGTCGTGGGTTCGAGTCCAACCAGAGTAATTGTCTTTCTCACAATCACTCATAACACTGAGTATACAGTGTTTATAAAATACGTCGGTGAAGGGCAAAACCACAAATTGAATTTTTTTCCTTCATCAAAATAATTTAATAAGGTCAGTTAAGGGCAGAAACCAATTTTAAAGTTACATCTCTCGCCAAAAAAATTCATCTTACAAGACCCAAACAGTACCGACAAAGGCCTGATAAACTGTGATGTTTATGAAACTATTTCATAACAAAAGTGTAAAGCGAGAAATTTGAGTCAATATTTCTGCTGTATGTCTTTACCTTGTGATTGAAGTATTTCTCAAATTTGACCCTGGCTGTGCTGACACACTCAGCCCAGCTGACTGGTCTGTTCTTGAGAAGCTTGATGACAGCCATGGAGTTCTCTGGCTGCTCCGAATCATTGAACTTCTACAGGAAACAAAACAACAACATTGGAAATCGTTTCCGTTTACAAAATTAAAGAAAACACTTGTGGCCAATATGCTCTGGTGAGAAAAATTAGATACATTTATTTATACAACGCCTGAATAAATCCCCGTCATCTGATTGGTGGGTTGTTGATCACATGTCATTGAATTATTCGTCCCAACGGACGGCGTGGCCATACGGTAAAGAAATAACTTCCATTCCAAAGTTCCATTGCACGGTCACACTTTTGGCGACCCTGACAATCAGATGACAAGGATTTATGTAGGCGTTGTATAAAAAAAATTATGAATGTTTCACATTCCTGCAATGGAAAGAATAATTTTATTCAGTGTCGGATGGAATGTTCCATTCCACTCGGCTTAGCCTCATGGAATGGAACATTCCCTCTGTCACCTCATGAAATTATTCTTACGGTTGCACTCATTAACATTTGTTATTTATATACTACCGTTTACAGCAGTGGATTTCTTTTTACAACAAAAATTCACCAGCACATAAATTCCTCATACACAGTATATTTATTAGAAATCCCTTACAAGTGCTTTTTGTGCCTTGTATAGCACGTTGAGCTGTGCTGTGTTAAACAAGTTGCATGAAAATCTTGCCATGTTTCTTCTAAATTTGTTTTAGAGAATTCTATTACAAATTTTCCGCTGTCACTTTCCCCTGTCTTATTTTACCTTGATGACTACCTCTGGTGAACCGTTGTTCGTCCAATATTTGTTGAACATTGTCGGTTTCTGGGTGAAGGAAATCTCAAACTGTCAAAACAAAAAATCATGATTGAAATTATTCAGGTTATTCTCGTTTTGTTACAAAATTGCTAAAAATTTAGGCAATATGCCAAATTCCAACAGATTCAGTAACAATGCAAATTAGACTTGCCAGTGCCATTGGTGGGTACAAAAGGGTACAGAAAACCATGTGGTGAACTGCACTGACTGCTATAAGTCTTAAGACAGGAATGACCTCAGAGGTCAGAGGTCAGAGGTTAAAGGCCAACACTCACCTTATCCCTAGCCCATTGTATAGTGTGTTCTACCGTAGCAGGGAAGGACTTGAGTGTACAGTATGGCACAGACTCATCAGGTGGATCTCGTTGACTACCGTACATCTCATGACAGGAATGACCTCAGAGGTCACAGGTCAGAGGTCACCACTCACCTTATCCCTAGCCCATTGTATAGTGTGTTCTACCGTAGCTGGGAAGGACTTAAGTGTACAGTACGGCACAGACTCATCCGGTGGATCTCGTTGACTACCGTACGTCTCATGACAGGAATGACCTCAGAGGTCAGAGGTTAAAGGTCACCACTCACCTTATCTCTAGCCCATTGTATAGTGTGTTCTACTGTAGCTGGGAAGGACTTGAGTGTACAGTATGGCACAGACTCATCGGGTGGGTCTCGTTGACTGCCGTACGTCTCTGTCATGTGTGGCACGATGACCTGTACATGGCCTTTAGCTCCCATGGTGCCTGACTCCATCAGTGGTCTCTCATTGGTTACACAGCGGCTGATTTGGGACAAACAATTGTCAAAACTTTTAACAGAAACACCTTTTATTGAAAAGCCAGTTCATTTACCTCATAATTCATGAATACCCGAGACAGTTTACCCATTCCTATTGGTCGTAAAGTCGTCACGTGGATGATTTTAAACTGCCATTAAAACACCAGTCAGTGCTTAAACAGCGATGTTTAAAACCGGTCGTGAACACCCGCGTTCCGCACCAAATGCGCGCAGTATATTCCACAAGCTTTGGCGGATGTATGATTTCCATATAAGGAGAGGTGTCCGCACGCACCATGCACACCACAGGAAAGTCCCAGACGCGAAATTTGAATGGTAGAACAAAATTCGTCGGAAGCTTGTCAACTTTTTGACTTTCTATGATTATTTAACCAAAAAGGTATTTATCAGGCCATTATCAAGGTCAGACTCCAACTGGGTTTTGAACCACATGTTTACAACTGCCCCATCACACAATTATTAAAGTTTACACCGAGTGAAAACTATTGGTTATGTTGTTCTGTATTCCAAATTATCGTTTATCAGTTTCTGTTACCCTGGAGTTCCAGATGCCTTTACTGGTAGTAGCACATTAATCAAAACATTCAGCCTTTAACCTTCGTTTTCTTTTTTTGAGAACAATCTTTGAAAAATTTCATAAGAGATTTAGTTCCATAGTGCAAACACAACCCTTAACTGTTTACATCCCCAGCAATCAAAGTGTCAAAAATTACGTGGTGAACGTCTTTTTGGAGGAATGGAGCCTTTTACTGAACGAACTCTGAAACAAACGGAATGAGTCTCCCTACCTGTCCATGTACTGTCTAGCTGCTACGTTATCCAACGCGTTGACTACTACATCCATATCCTTAAAGAACTCATCGTTAAAAACTGTTGTCTCGGTGTCGGGACAAACTGAAACAGAGAGTGTCAAGATCTTTTCAAGACTGCTTTTATAAAACAAAACTGCACTGTGTAATAAGTGTTGCGGTTGAGTCCGTCACAAGTCCTCATAAATCCACCACAAGTCCTCCAGTCACAAGCTATTCCAATGAACTGTGACAAAGTTATTCCTTTATTGTTCATCCCTGTTACTTGTGACTAGACTTGTGAATTGACTTGTGATTTCTTTGTGACCAGGCTTGTGAATTGTCTTGTCATTTACTTGTGACAAAACTTGTGATTTACTTGTGACCAGACTTGTGAATTGTCTTGTGATTTACTTGTGACTAGGCTTGTGATTTGACTTGTGATTTACTTGTGACTAGGCTTGTGAATTGTCTTGTGATTTACTTGTGATTAGGCTTGTGATTTGACTTGTGATTTACTTGTGACTAGGCTTGTGAATTGTCTTGTGATTTACTTGTGACAAGGCTTGTGAATTTTATTGTGATTTACTTGTGACTAGACTTGTAATTACGGACCTTACTACAAGGCGGCCAATATTAGATTAAGATATCATTCCAAATGTCTAGTGGCAGCGTAGATTTTGTTTATTACCTTTGTGTAGATGAGCATCTATGTTAACACTTGGATTGATGTCCTGTGTTGAGGCTGCTGCTGTCGTGGATTTGGGTTTCTGAGGGAGATCAGAAAAAAAAGTGTAGCTCTAATCCTCAAAATTATTTGCGATCTTCTAGTTAGATCCATATTAAAGGTAATATACAACATTTGCAAACATCAAAAAACAAAACTACCAAATTATTATGAAATACCTTACTTGACTGTAGGTGAATAACAGTCTCAAGCATCCTGTGAAATCATGGCACTTGGTGTGCTGTCATTTTCAAGATATGTGGAATTTTTGTAAAATTTTCAATGGCCGACCATCATTGGGAAAAAACTTACTCTTTCTGCAAATACTGCCCCCAATTTACCAAATTTAGTGAGTCCACATTTTGTTTGTTACCGGTTACACATGTAAAAACGGGTACAAGCAAGTGATTCTGGTTCCCTGACCTGACATCTCTGAGACGTCTATAAATTGCTCTGTTTCATTTGAAGTAGGGTTAGGGAACCAGACTACAAGAACTGCTGGTTTTTCCAGCATCCATAGACACAAAACTTTAAACAGCTCAGTGTAACAATATTTGCTATAAAATACTAACCCCCAAATCCGTCCATTTCTGAAAATTACAGCAAAAGCTAACATTGTATATTACCTTTAAGTTGTATTAAAATACAACATTGCTGTCACAAGTGTGAATATTTTTAAGAGATTTAAAGGTACACAGGAACATATTTTTTGTTGGTGCCTTCTTCTTTTTCATTTGAAGCAACAAAACTGCTCAAAATCTTAATAAGGGTGCATAACGACTAACTTGTTGAAGTATCAACTCAGTGGATAGTGTACATTTTGAGAAAACACTGAAAATGTGTGCACAATTTTTGAGGTCTCGTAACTGGATTCTGTTGCTAATGCTTGTAAAAAAAACTGTGCCTGCAGGCACATTTTTTCAAACCACCTTCAATGACTGTTTTTTCCGAATGATAACAATTTTAGGTGGAAATTTGGTACCAGTCCTATCTTCAATTTGAGCAAGGATTTTCTCGTTAAATCGGAAGGTACGTTTCCGGCTAATTGCAAATGTTCCCCCATGCTTCCAAGAATTCCAACGTCATTTTCAACAAACCTGAATGTGGTGTGGTCTGAAGAGAAACTGCCGATTCAAATTGGATTTCTCTATGATGTCATTATCGGTGATTGTAATCTGAAAGGAAACCAAAGTACCAAATGAGAACTTTTCTCTCAAAACGTACAACTATTTTGTAAATAATGTGTAAATAAGAAATAAAATCTGCTCCAACTTATGTTATTGAAAGCAAATGATGAACTTTCCAATCCTTCGAACATTCCATTTTTTTCCAGTCAGTGGCTGTGTCACGCACACAGCCCTGTTTGACCTCAGTTTCTTGTCCCGAGGTCAGGCACGCATGGCCCAAAAGCGAACGCGAGATTTTACAAGATTTATTCGAGACTACAGAAAAACACGAAAAGTGCCTGGATACATGCACTGTTTGGCCAAGATGGCTAAATCAGTAAAAAGTTGAAATCGTGTGCTTTATTTTGATACCAAAAATATCTGCTTTTGACAAATATAAAGTGTTGTTACGGCCTGTCAAACAAAATCATATTTTTTATCAACAAAATCAAGGGCCGATAGTTTTTAGGTGTACATTCGATTCTTAAAAAGGTCGAAAGAAACGACAAGGCTCAATAGATAGAGGAAAGTATACGCTTCATTTTCATGTAAAACACGTGCAGGAGACTTCTAATGCTTGGTCCTAATTGCCAGTTGAAAAATGAAGACTTTTGCGAGATTTCATAATTTGCAATCACATGCACGCGTGTAAACGAACGTAAGTACGCCGACGTACATGTACATACGTTGGCCTGAAAACGTTTTGTGAATAGTACGTGCTAACGTGCAATGAATGACTTATAAATATTAAGCAGGCCATACTCGAGCTGCTCGACCAATCAGTGGGCGTCTGGGTCACAAGGTCACACCGTGTTTGGGTTCCTCGCTCTATAGCTTTACAATGGTGACGATCTTTTCGCGTTGTGAAAAATGGAAGTTGTTGGAAAGTTTAGGTGTACATCGAATTATTTAAATATTAACGACATCACGTTCACGAGATTTTTGTAGATGAAGGTTCACTCTTTCGTTTGATTACCTCAACATTTGGGAGACTTTCGTCGTTCTCGAAAAAAACCGGAAAATTTCATGCCCTTATTTTCAGTCGATTTGTCCGTGAAATAATATCGTCAAAATGCATCGAAATCCTTTTTTTGAGAAAAAAAATACCTTGATGGATGTATGAAGTAGGTCTTTAACTACCTAAAACAACTTTGTTTGTTTGGATCAGTTGTGGTTTGCCATGAACATTGCGATTTTTCTGAAGCCCTTTTTACGGCCATCGTTCGCTGGCCTCGCATTGCTGTCAGTTGTGTGGACGAGAAAATAGAGCAGCTATGCGTGACACGGCAACTGACTGTTTCTGATTTTTTTTTAAGAATTACACAAATCACTGTTGATATTCACCTTGCCCTTTTCAGCTGTAGCGATCCCTAACAATGCATAGTTCTTGAGCATCTCGCAGCCTATGGCACCACAGCCGACCATGAACAACTTGAGATTGTGAAACTTCCCTAGGAGATCCTCGCCAAGACAGATCCGTAGAGCGTCGTATCGGTCATTCCTAGGAGACAAAGACAAAGACAAAGAAAACATTCATCATTTTATTGTTTGATCTGATTGTTTGATTTGAATGATTTGGTTGATTTGGATGATTTGGTTGATTTGGATGATTTGATTAATTTGGATTGTTTTGATTGATTTGGTCGATTAGAATGATTTGAATTAATTGGTTGATTTGATTGATTTGATTGATTTGATTGATTTGGTTGATTTGGTTGATTTGAATGATTTAAATGATTTAGTTGATTTGATTGATTTGGTTGATTTGAATGATATGAATGATTTGGTTGATTTGAATGTTTTGGTTGATTTGATTGATTTGGTTGATTTGAATGATATGAATGATTTAGTTGATTTGCTTGTTTTGATTGATTTGGTTGATTAAATGTAAATGCTAATTCAATTTATATGCCAACCACACACAAAAATTGTGAAGCAAAACCAGGTTACCAACAAAAAAGTAATGTCATGCAATGTATGCTGCTAAGCACTGATTTGTGTTTAAATGCTGCTTGAAACAGTGCAACGATGTTGCCTTCATGAGAGACGGGCCATGCTACACACTTCGTCCATTCCTTCAATCTGTAAGCTGATGTTGAGAACGATCTGGATGTTTGAAATCACAAATATCCTAACCACTATCTCTACTACTCACCTTGGTTGGAATGCGCTGGCTGGGCACTGGTCCAGATCTTTCAATACTTCACTTGCATCCAAATGCAACTGTCAACAAGAAGAAAACCCACACACACACACCAAACTGATTTATTATAGGGTTTGAGCATGAACGGAAGAGGGCGCTCTTTATAAATGATGCAAATATTATCAATGACGTGGTGCAATATCTGAAAACAAAAGATGTTTAATAAGTTAATGACATTGGTCTCAACATTTTGGAGATTGTGTATTTAGACTTTCTCATTTTACATGTTGATAGGGGTGATCTGGCTAACGAGGGACAAATCCTTCCCCCCCCCCCCCATGTAATGAATAAGATTATCTTTGACTTTTCCACTGTTGAAAGGGGTGAGCTCCACAGTAAGCACTTGAATTCTGGACCTCAAGCCCCAGCACATTGTGGGATTCAGAGGGAATCACCCCTTATCAATAAATGAGATCATCCTAGACTTACCCATTGGTTGATAGGGGTGAACTTCCCAGTGAGTGCTTTCAGGACCTCTTGAGCTATGATCCCGCCCATGGTGGCAGTAAGCGGGGCAAAACACCCCTCGGCAGTAAATGAGATCATCCGGAGACTCTTCTCATCCAGAGGATTGAGGGCGCTCTCCAGTTTGCCGTTCAACTGTCTGGCAATCTCGATAAATGCATTGCTGTCCTCCAACGATCTGTGAGAAATATAAAATAAATTGTATGAATTTTTCTTATCTAATGCTGAATTTAACAGAGTCCACTGAATATTTCATGAAAAAAATATCAGAATTTAGTTGCATGAGAAAGCAAGTAGTGACACATCCTCAACCAGAATGCAATCCTGTTCATCACCATTAACCCAACCAATCCAATCCAGTTCCAAACTGGTTTTAACTGGTTTGAACCGGTACTGACCTGACCCCAGGTAGTCTGCCATGATCTTCTCTAAACTGCTGCAGTGAGTGGACGGCAACATGGGAGAAGATTGGATCCTTGAGGAAGTCTACAAATGTCGTTGACGGAGAGTCCAGTTGCTTCTTTAAGCTTTCCTGTTGACAGCAAATCAAATATAAACCCAAAAAACTGATTTATTGACACCATTTATCTAGAAACAAGGACTGGAACAATAAAAGTGTGAATTAAACTGGAAGAAAAATCTTACATAAAGTCTAACACACTCTCCATAACACAGCCATCTTGCAGTAATTGTTGGGGTATTTTCACAATCTTACATAAAGTTGGAAAGGTAAATTTGACCTTTTTAAGGTCAGTTTGGGAACCACCTTAGAAATACATTTGTAATGTTGCATAATGCAAGGTAGTAGTTGAGGTACTTGTAATGGATCATAAGAACATCAGAAGTCTTGTCACAAAGTACATCACAAGTCCAATCGCAAGTAACAGGGGATGAACATAAACAAAGGAATGCCTTTGTCACATTTCATTTGAATAGCTTGCGAGTTGACTAGGGACTGGATGACTTATGATGACTTGTGATGACTTATGATGACTTATGATGACTTGTGATTGACTTGTGATGACTTGTGATCCATTAAAAACACCTTGACTATAACACCGACACTATAATACTTTGTACATAAACATCTCCATCGCACTAGATTTTGACTCTGTGGAGAGTGGAGACACAGAATCAATGTTACAACTTGACTTACAAACGTTACTGTCTTTGGAATTTTCACTTCTACAGCAATGCCTCCGTTTTCATACGGCTGGTAGTCGTCACCACTGGTGTCACATATACTATAGGCATAGGGTGATAAAACTGGAGGAAAAGCAATAACATATTTCAACCTAAAAGAAAAGTAATCAGTAAAAATGACTTCACTCCCAATATGCATCCAACTGCCAGATTATTCAGTCCTTCTACAAAAACTACTTTCTTTTGTTTAAAGGAAACCAACTGCATGGAAAAATTGCGATAAACTTTCAAAAAATCTTAATAGTGTCACTTGGTTAAATTTATATACTATCATAAAAAAAAACAAAGTACTTTAAAATGTTTTTTTGCAAAGCATTTGAATTGAGAATCTTAGACAAGAATTTCTGACTTTCTTTTACCTTTTACTTGTTGTGTGCTTCCATTAAGAATTGTCATTCCTTCGATTTCTTTAAATGTGATGTGGTCCCCAGACTGAAATCCATGCATTCGGTTGTCGAGACTGGTAATCACCCCTGGATTCGCCTTTGGAGAAAAAAAATTACAAAAATAAAGTAAATTGTGATGTAATCTGTAAAAAAAGACTCTTCTTTGCTGTTGGTTTAAGTAAAAAACAAATAAAGTCTCTCACGAGCCAAAATGACCTATCAGGCTGGTGTTTATCAACGGTTTCAGTGGCATGCAACGACTAGAATATTTCTGTCCCCCTGGATGGGATGCCAGTCCATCACAGGTTACTCCCCAGCTAATGCCAGTACCCATTTATACTCCTGGGTGGAGAGAGGCAATGGAGGTGAAGTGGCTTGCCCAAGGACACATGAACAGCAGCTGGATTCGAACCCCTGACCCTTTCATCATGAGTCACGAACCCTAACCACTAGGCCACACCCCTCATTAAAAATAGGTTTCTTAAATATTATTCAGATAAAGATCTTCTTTACAATGACATTTTCAGTTTTAAAACATAATTCCTAGGCAAACTATGGTGTTGGAAATCAGTTAAAAATGTCAGCAATGTGCTCAAGACAGCTAAGCAGATACATTTTTCGAAACTGATACATGTTTACGAATCATTAAGAAAAAAATTCATTTAGAGGCAAAATTACAGTGTACTTTAGGCATATTTAGTATTACAAGTTTGCAAAAACTGAAAATCGGCCCCACATTGTCTTTAGGTCGTACCTCTATTTCAAGCTGTGTCCAGATCATGTCCGTGTTTTTCTGCTGAAGAGGCATACATAAGAAAAGAATAATTTCCACCTTTTCTCCTTTATTAAATGAAATCCATCTTACCTTAGTGATAGTGGCAACGAATGATTCCGTGGGTTCCTCTCCTGTGCGATCCATGATGGTGAACTCAGGACCAAAATCACAGAACGTGTAGCTGTACAGGCCAAATACATCACCAGCAATGAACTGTGAGTAAAAAAAAAAAGGAAAAATTGTTTCGACCAAACATGAAACAAACAACCTTCTGAAATCTCAAGGGTTAGCAGTCTGGTACAAAAGCTGGTCAAAAAGCAGTAAGACCCAAACACCTCTTTGATGGTTGGTAAAGGAATGTAATCTGGTTAAACTGCCTTGCTTGTGGACACAGAAACTTGTGGACACAGAAACTAGTGGACACTGAAACCTTGTGGACACAGAATTTTGTGGACTCAGAAACCTTGTGGACACAGAAACCTTGTGGACACAGAAACCTGTGGACACAGAAACTAGTGGACACTGAAACCTTGTGGACACAGAATTTTGTGGACTCAGAAACCTTGTGGACACAGAAACCTTGTGGACACAGAAACTAGTGGACACTGAAACCTTGTGGACACAGAATTTTGTGGACTCAGAAACCTTGTGGACACAGAAACCTTGTGGACACAGAAACCTGTGGACACAGAAACTAGTGGACACAGAAACCTTGTGGACACCGAAACCTTGTGGACACAGAAACCTGTGGACACAGAAACTTTGTAGACACAGAAACCAGTGGCTTTAACAGAGCAACTAACCAGTGCACAATGTGCTGGTGGAATTTGTTAGATATATTCTACTTTTGGCATTGACTTCTATAAACCTATCCCTAAACGACAAAAAGAATCGTTATTCTCAACCTTAATCTCCATGGGTACGATCTTGCTGCGCCATGTTGGTCCCCATCATGCCTTAACCCATGAAATTGTGTAATTTAAATGTGCCACTAGTTGGTACATTTAACTTATGACTTCAGTCGGTGTGCTTCACGTGCGGCGCAGTGCTTGAAATTGGGAAAGGTTTTTTTGTAGAATCAATCCATTCAAACATGAAATTTTGATGTCACGTTATACAGTAAGGATTTATATTTTTGGACAAAAAATGAGGCTTCCAGAATCTATATCGTACAGACATCATGCAGTCTTCAAAAAAATGTTCATACGTGACCTGCAGAAGATAAAGCGAGCGCATATATAGGGCTTGCAGTCTTTGAAATACGCGCGCAGTAAACTCTGAATAGTCAATCAGCATCCTTCACGTATTCTACACGGCCAGGGGTTAGTGAAGGAATGCGCACACAGCCCATGGAGTCGAGGCTGAGTTATCCTATGAGAGAAATCAATCTAAAATAAGTAAATAAACAGAACTGCAGCTACCTTGATGGGAGGTTGTTGATTTCGGCAGAACTCATCCACCATGAGTAGCAGACTCAGAGGAGCTTCAGTCAGGACGACACACTGATACTGACGGAGGAAGCTAGGGTCAGACTTTGAGGTCAGACTAGCTGTGGATGACGTGATGGAGACGTGCGGGTTGAGCTCGGCAAGACGTGCCTGGCAGGCTTCAGCCCTGGATGCAAAGAAATGGGGACAAACATAAACTAACAGAAACAGGCAATTGACATAGGGATAAAGTGCATGTTTTTGACTAGTAACTGTAACAATTTTACTTAATTTGCATACCCCATTCCCAAGTTATGACTATTTTAATAAAAAGATCACAAAATTCAGCTGTCCACCACTGAATTACTGTTCTATGCACTGATGAATACTCATTCATAAATACCTCAGACAGTTTAGCTATTCCTATTGGTCGAGAGCCCGTCACGTGGCCGGTCTTAAACGGATGATAAAGACATGGCTAGCTGGTCTTAAACACTTTTCCAGTGTCACAATAAAATGTGGACTCCTAAAAATCCAGTGCCTCTTACCGTTTCATTGGTTGAACGTTCACAATCCTCACGTAGGCATGCGCAACACTACAAGCGAGTCCGAATTTTATAGTTCTAAATTCAAAACGCAACGCCCCAGGTGCGTTCTGCGTGACATCGCGCAGAACATGTTACGCGCGCGTCAATCTCCATAAAAGGGTTGTTTACATCTTACTCGCCAGCTGAACACTCCATTATTTTGCTAGAGGGATGTTTCAAAAAGCATGAAGTGAACTTGTTGAACAAAATCGGGATTTTTTGAACGAATTATTTGATATTTTTTTACGGATAAGATATTTATGAATGGGAATAAATATGTGCTCGGTCGGTATTTATCCCTCTGTTTAATACCGCTTAGAGTCTGGGTGCTGATAATTACCCTCGCCTCCGGCTCGGGTAATTATCAGCACCCAGACTCTAAGCGGTATTAAACGAGTGATAAAAACCTCCGGAGCACACATTTATTCCCTTATTAAATACAATGAAACATAAACGCTCTCCAACCTCCATCAACAAACAAAAACTCGCAAAGGAAAACAGCCAAAAACATCGTCAATATTTCAGAAAAATAGAGTGGACTTGTTCCTCATATACTCATATTCAAAACACAAAATCTGACATTACAAATAATGTTTCCGTCTTGACTCAAATGATAAAAATCCCATTTGTATTTGAATGCCTGTGTGAAATCCGTAATTCTCACTCAGCTCAATAGCTTCCAATGGCATTCCATGGATAGCTATAAAAGTTGGTTCTTTTAGTAAAACATGCATATATGTGTAAGTTCTGAAAGCATGGATCAATTTCAGTGATTCTTTTTTTTTCAGGTGAGTGGAAAGGCACACTCTTAAAGGACATACTTCATTCGCGTTTTTTAATTTGATTGCTTTTTAAGAGAAAAACAAATCGTTAATCCAGGTCACTTTCTTTCTGACTCACTCTGTATATTCATCTGTATTTAGACAGACCTATTGGATTCTCTCTATCAATCTGTACCTGTTTCGTTTGGCAGTGACATCCTCTTCTCTCAGAAAGAACTGAGTTCCAAGGTCTTTGCAGGTTGCTATCCTAGTGTCATGAACCACCAATGACTACAAAACAACAACCAAAACAAATAACAAACATCATAATCTCATAAAACTCTGAAGAAAAGAACAAATGATAACCAGTCTGCCTTCTTGTCAAATTTCCAAACTTAACCAATTAGTACCTGTATTACATTGTAATTACATTGTGCTTATTCACTGAAGAATCAATGAAACCATGGAGTGCTCAGGTGGTTTCGGGCCGTACAGTAGTAGGCAGGGTGGTTTCAGGCGCTACAGTGACTCAGAGGTTAAAATAATGATCACTAAAATGACATGCAAGGCTTGTTATGGCAGAAGAAAATTCCTGCTTTTCACAATTATTTTTGTATGATAAAAGGGTAAGTCCATAAATTTGGGGTCCAATTTTTTGTGCGTCCCTGTTACATCTGATACAAGATTGTGTGAATTCAGGACACATTCTTTAATGCCTTCTGTCTCCAAGAGTGATTATGTTAAGCAAAGTACCTGGCAAACAAATGTAAAATACTTTGCAGTCAATTTTAACCCTAACTCCCTAGGCCTTTTTGCTAGGATGTAGCCTCAATCCTGCAAAATCCTCCAATTGGCGTCATGGAAAAATACATGTAGCATGTAGCCTCAATCCTGCAAATTCCTCCGCTGTTTCTTGAATATGTTCCATGAAGGGGTGACCACTGCCTGAATCCTGCAAAATCCTCCGGCTATGACTGTCAATAGGCTGAGGCAGAGGCAGTGACATCCTGGAGCAGTGCGGAGGATGTCAAGTATAATCAAGGACTAAATTTATGCACGGCTGAGCATAAACAACACAAGGTCCGGCCCAAGACCTTGACACAGTGCGTACTCCGAAATCAGCAACGCACTTTGGCCATGTAACCTCAATCCTGCAAATTCCTCCAATTTGCAAAAAGGATTTTGGAGGATTCAGGGCGGTTAGGGTTAATGATACCTGTTTGGCAAATTACACAGGTCAGGTGTAACAGGGACACAAACAAATGTGACACTTTTGGACGCCACATTTATGAAATGACCCAAATACAACAATCTGGAACGAGTGATCAAAAAGTAAAGGGAAAAAAAAGAAATTGGAAGTATTTCTTTTGACTTACCCTAACACCGGCCAATGCAACATTTTTGGCTGAAATAAAGAGAAACAAAAAGAGCAACATTATAACTCATTAAATTCATCTTTTACATTTACTTGAGGAAATATTTTGCAGAATTACAAAATGGTGTTTCAGTTGGATTCCTGTTACATTTCATATTATACTGCTAATCAAATTCCACACACATTTTTGGTACGATGCTATCAGGCCAAGACAGAAAAACAAATACACATGTACTTCCAAAAATTGGCAGCCGCAAACTAATGAAGACTTATATTATCGCAAAATCTTTGTTTTGCTGCATTTTTCCAACTTGAAGGCTGTATTACAAGACACTCTCTGCAACAATATACTTTTTTTGAAGGGGGGGGATGTTCATTGGGGAGGGGGGGGGGGGGGGGGCAGAGGGGTGTCGCATACCGATTTCAACTCCTAAGCCTCCAAGTCCACTCAGGAAGACATTGGAGTGAGCCATGGCCTTCATAGCTGTGTCACCTAGGACATAGCGCTGACGACTGGAGTATGAAACAAAAGACAGAAAATTAGCATTTGTATGACTTTGGTTCTACCAAATGACATTTCAGGCCAAGAAAGAATTTCTGATTGCAAGTGTGGAAGGACAATGGAATGTGGTGAGAGAGGAATGGCGTAGTAAAGTCTGTTACAAGCCAATGTGGCCCATCAGGCCGGCGTTTATCTCCAGTTCCAGTAGCATAAAACGACTGAGAATATTTCTATTCCCCCTGGATGAGATACTAGTCCATCGCAGGTTACTCCCCAGCTAATGCTGGTACCCATTTATACTCCTGGGTGGAGAGAGGCAAGTGGGGGTAAAGTGGCTTGCCCAAGGACACAACATATGGCCAGCAGCTGGACTCGAACCCCTGACCCTCAGATCATGAGTCACGAACCCTAACCACTAGGCCACACTCCCCACACTCCAACTGTAGCAATGGCCCAACCATAGTTTGGACCGTCCCAACTACGGTTTCAGAAAATTCCCATTATAGTTGGGATAATCCTCACCAAAGTTAGGTTCGTCCAAATGTAGTTGAGACGATGCTATAGTTGGGGTTTAACAGGGGCTGAGCAAAGGGAGATATAATGGTTACATCCCAACTAGATCATGGTCCCAACTTAAGCTGGGAACATCCCAACTTATACTTTCTGGTTGTGACACTTTAGTTGGGATGGCCACAACTAGAGTTGGAACCATCCCAACTGAACTTGGGACCGATGGTCCAATTCGGGCATAACATGTTCAATGTAATGAAGGAAGGCAGAAAAACTCAATCCGATGAAACAGGCAGGGCTCAATGTGAATTATGAAACAAAAAAAAATGAAAAGCATTTATGATGGAAAGCAATTACAAAAATTGAGTTTTTATCATTTATTGAAGTTTTACCTGTAAAGGGAGTCATCAATTTCCTCTTCTGTTGCCATGGTGATGGTAGATGTACAGAGATGTCAATTTGTTTGACTATTCTGAAACAAATTGGAAGGTGATAGGCCTAGCACATTAACACACAATTTATTTTACCAACATTTCATATCCTAAATTTATAAACCATGACACATCCTCGTTTAAATTTGGTATTCCAACAGTAAGTTTTTTATCAGTATTAATCGGGAACACTAAACCAAACATAAGGTACGTTAACTTTCTACTATTTTTATATCAAAATGTTACATTTAACGTGTTGAAGCATCAGTGAAAATATTTGTGTGTGCTTTAAACTATTCTATTCTAAGTAATTGGGCATATTTTTATTGTGCCGATATATCCTTGGGAAAGTGTTCCATACCTGAACATCACTTGAGCATAGAGTGACACCCTGTGCACAAACCCTATGAGTACAAGTCATGGTCTGACATGTCTGAAACATTCCAAGTGTCTTCTCAGTAAATGATTCAATATTTTCCCTAAATTCTTCCCCTTACGGTTTACCTTGTTCTTGCCTTGCTTACTTTTTCTCACGAGCATTTTCACCATTTCAGTTAAAGAGTAAGTGGGAAAGTGGTATTGGTAAGGTAGGCTGACGTTTATTTTTAATTCTTTGAGACAAAATCTCTAGCCCCTTAGTCCCTTACAAAAATTTGGCGAGAAAAAAAATGGGCCAACCATGACATGAGGAAATGGTAAAAATAAATCAAGTCACGTAGCCAACTACCGGTCTGGAATCCTACCCTACACGCATGCAATTATCATGGGAAAAGGGCCACAGTAAAATCTGGTCTGTTTGACTTAAGTTTTGAGCTTCAAAAAGAAAGAATGTTTTCTGTATTTTTTCAAGATTATTTTGAAAATTCATTACCCAAAGTTGTTTTGCTGTTGCTAAAAAAGACGAAACATATTACCCGATCGATATCAACTGACAGTTTTGTTTAATTTTTCTTACCGTGAAGGTTGCAATGTTCGATCTCTCGAGAAGGGCGTACAGCATGAGATACCAGTTTACCGGTGTGTAGTCTGTTACAATTTCTTAATGCATATAAAAACCTGCAAAGTTAATTCTGGGAACTAGACGGGTAATAGTGAGTGCCAGGCGCACCAGTTTTCTTTCCTTTGAGACAAACAAATGACAAATGATGTATACTCAAACCTTTGAGAAGGTGTCAGAAATACTTGCTTTATATAAAGGAGTTACATATTTTTCATTTGTGACGTACATCGCTTATTTTTTCGGGGTTAGCCCCCCAAGGCCCCGCCCACCCACTTCTTAACATAACGCGTATTGGACGGAAGAGGGCGCACTAACAATAACACACGTGCAGACGAAACGAAAACTGATAAGCGCGCGCGGTGAAATTGAAGTTGTTTTAAACGTTATTTACTTCTTAATTGGTGGTAATCCAATTTGTACAACAACATAGAACACCTCCTCTATGGACAGCACATTAATTTGCGTCATCGGTAGCAGCGTGGAACTTGGTAATCATTTGATAATGCAGGGACCGTTTTGAACTATCAGTCAAGTGTGTACGAACGGGCCTGTACGAACGGGTTTACCTGATTGCCTACTGCGTAGCCTAATCTCTGCCTGATCTGCTGATGAGCACAAACGACAAATTGCCAGTGGCAGTGCCGTAGGCTACTACAGTGCCCCATCACGGCATTCGCACAGTCTCATCCTATCGCCCCCAACAGTTACAACTGAGAGGTTCTTTGGGAGCATAAATTAGTTACTTCATAATCTTGGCGTAGCGGTGCTTTCCTCGCCTTCCAGTTCCACCGCTGTGACCCCGGTTCGAATCCGCCTGGGCCAATATGTGGATTGGGTTTTCAGTCCCTGCCTGATTCCATGGGTTTTCCCTAGTCCGAGTAACTTGGACCCAACTTATCGCCTTTTTAACATTCGGACATGGTCTGGCGCCAGACCATGTCCGAATGTTAAAAACCATGTCCGAATGTTAAAAAGGCGATAAGTTGGGTCCAAGTTACTCGGACTAGGTTTTCCCCAGAATATTCTTCTGGGCTTTTCCTCCCACCTCTAAAACTGTAACTTCTTCTCATTGTCTTCTCTCCACAGGTTTCTTCAGGCTTGCGAGCTTCAGTGCCTAGGGTGCTTTTGAGGAATCCTTGGTTTCATTACCAGAAACGATTAATAATGATAATAATAATATTATTATTATTATCATTATATAATAATCATAGTTATCAGTTATCATGGTTATTTACAAAAATTAATGTTAGTGATTTATTCTGATTAGGGTTCTGTATACATTTGTTGTATTTGTTTATGATTATTCGGCAATTGGCCAGGATAGCCCACAGAATTCTTTTGACTTATTTCCAGTGGGGTCCCCAGAAGATCATGTGGAAGGAAATTACTGTTTAAGTGGTGGGAGGAAAACCATGTATTCGCCCAGGCGGGATTCGAACCTGAGTCACAGTGGTTGAAGGGAAGCAAAGTACCTCTATGCCATCCTCACTCCCCTCAAATTCAGAAACGGTCATTATAAACAAAAATGAGTAAGGGTTGATTTATTACATTTGTTTGTTTTTCTTTTCTTGCGAATCTCTTTACCCGACCAATCAGAGAGACTTGCAGCATGTCGTCATCAGCGTACGCGTTTCCCGATACCCACTTCCCAAGCCAAACTCTTCCAAACAGACAAACACAGCTACCCGATGGGTACGGATGCTACCATGCCGCCGACTTAGACACAGACAACAGACAAGGAATGCAAGGAGAGCTGAGGTTTAGATTCCAGTATCGCCATGGCAACGAGGGAATGACATTGGTAGCAAATGAACCCACCCTGCCGCTCCTGCAACCACAGGAATGTAAGAATGGAGAGGGGCCTAATCTCAAGCTAAGCGCCAAACTTTGATAAGCGCCGAAAATATTTGCTTAGCAAAAAGTGGTTACTGGTCATAAAGTCATGCGTGGAGTATTACTTGCGACTGGTTCTCATCTCCTAAGCAATATTTTCTGCTGTCCCAGTAGGCCCATGAAATCGGGCCCATCATCAGGCATACTTCTAGCAAGCCCACAGACTGTGACATTGAGTGCAGAAAACGTGCAAAACAAACAACTTTTTACTCACTCTTTAGCCAACAAAATTCTCCAATATTTTCATAAGGCAAAGACAAGGTCCTCAGTATTTCACCAGCCAAGTTTGAGGTCTTAATTCAATTTTTCAAGGATCTACTCAAGATACACTCAGAATTCACTCAGAATTTTGAATACAAACAAAAAGGTTTCAGGTAACACTCTGTATTTCCAAAAATCAGTCAATTGACTGATCGTTGGAAATCACCTTCATTTCTCGATTTTTTTTTTCTAATTGGCAAGCCAGACTGAATAATTTCACGAGGTGTTTAGTACCAGTACGATCTTTAATCCAAGTAAGCCTTTTGATAATAATTTGGTAGGTTACTTTTGGGATAAATACAAATAATCTTATATGCCTTTAATGCATCGGTCCATTGATGTTGTAATCCGATATTGATACACTTACCTTTGTAACCTTTGACCCAGGTTGCCAGATTCCCCTTCCTGGCATGCAAGACCTGACAAGAGTGTCTACAATTTATAATACTAGACAGATCCAAGACAGGGCAGTTGACCAGGTGAATATCACAGTTTTGTTCAATATTCTTTGCTTGAACTATCAGTAAAATTCTTAAAGTTGCAAACCCATGCTCTTCCCAAAAAAAAAAATCATTTTTTTTACTCCTAATGAATTTTCAATTTGTATGTTTTGTTTGAACAAAAAGAGTACTCTATTCTGATTGTGGGCGTCTGCAACCCTATGAAAAAGGCTTTTGATCTCAAACCCTCCAACCCTCTGAGTAAGAGCGTTCATTATGCGCACAAATGAAAGCGCCTTGCGAGAGTGGAATCATTGTCTGGTAGCTAATCATTCGAATTTTGTAAAGAAAAAGTCAGAAACTAAATTTCAGATTTTTAATTCAATATAGCAATCGAAAAACTAAGTGAAACGTGAAAATAGCTCGAGAAATAAATCTTTAAAGTTGCTCTAACCAGTGTACACACATGCTCTTCATCATATTCAGTTGTTTTCTCCTAATAAATCTTTCATTTGTATGTTTGATTTAGAGGAAAACTACTTTATTTTGGACTTGAAAATATGCTTTTATTTTGGGTTTCCTTTTGTGCCCATAACACACAAAAGATATGCCTGAATTGTGTCAGGCCACAAATAATTCAAATTTTTTAATGAAAACGTGAAACCAAAACAAACATGGGGAGAAAAACTTTTAACTTTAAAAGACAAAAGAAAGGGATGGTTTGTACAGTGTCCATATTTTTTCAGTGACTGGAAATGTTCAAGAATTTTTCATGTAACTTTTGCAAGTATATTTAATACTGGTAAAAGATACGCAAATATCCCGTTGGTTAAACAATACTGTTTTTTTTTATTTTTATTTTTTTTACAATTTTTTTTCGGGGGGATTTTAGTTTTCAAACATTTAAACAAAATATTGCTGTTAGTAAACCTTACATTCCTTACTCATTCTTATTTGTTCTTTTATCTGTATGTTTTTCATGTTTTTTTTTGTAAAGTTGACCTTTAATTTCCTATTTTCTCAGGCTTACTATTTCTATGAGAACTTTCCAGATTTGGTGTGGGGTTCTGCTCTGGATTTCCTGAAAGATTCTTACATCGATTATGAACCCAGAAAAAGACGCAAGGTGGGTTCATTGAAATCAATAATAATAATAATAATTGTAGTAATAAGTTAAAAATATAAATTCCGCCCTTTACATCATAATGATCAAAAGCGCATTACAATTACTTTAAAGTTATAGCAGACAAGAAAACACAAGAAAATCTTGATTAAAATGTCGTTCTTTTGCTTCTTGGTTATCGGGAAATTACTGACGATTTATAGTTAGTTGCACAATGACAACAAAATCCTTTAGAGCACAACTACTTAAAAAAAAAAAAAGATCATTTTTCGATACTGTACTCTGTGCATTATTTGCATATTCATCATTTCTTGCCAATCAAGTGATTCTATTGGTCCAGTGATGGAAAGTGAGGTCAGTAACCATGTCAAAGTTCAATCATTTTGTCGCTACAGGTTATTTAACTTGTAGCGTCGTCATAGTTACTGAACTGAATAAATTTGTAGTGACGCCGTTAACATCCTTAAACAACTCGTTGCTGGCACTTCAACGACAACCACCAATCTTGTGTAAGACAATCGCCCGTCAATTTTTTTCAGTCGTGCCATCATCACATGGCCAACTATAAAAAAAAAAAAAGTCCTAAGGCCAAAAAAAAAAGTCTCCGGTTTCTGGTATGGAGCTTGCCCCAAAAGTGGTGCGGCGACGCGGCTTTTTTTTTTTTTTACCTGTTTTTTTTTTTTTTTTTTTGCTTCAAATGTCGGCTGATGACTGCAAATGGTGCCCGACTAAACTTAGTGCAAATATATGGGAGTCCAGAGAGGCCACATCAAGCTTATTCTCGATCATAACCCCATCTAAAAACACGTTAAAATTGTGCAGCAGCAGGATTCCAGTCAAACCAGTGAGTTTGGCGGTTTTGAGACATCATCTTGTATTGAAAAAAAACCTTTTTCATTTTGCCGACGCGCATGGCTACGGCGACGCGCGTGCATACCAGAAACCGGATACTTTTTTTTTTGGCCTAAGGGATATAAAAAATATTGTTAATTTCCGTACTTTCTTTTAGATATTATTCTACAAATATCTATAAAAAAATTCTTCCAACAAAATGCAAAATCAAGCAAAGTTAATATATGTACTATCTATGCAGTAACATTACAAAGAAGCAAATACTTACATATGACCTTTTTTTGTGTTGCATCAGTCTAAAAAACGCAGAGTTGACGACGCCACCAGAAATCTGTTTGAAGTGAGAACGGAAGATAAACTTTCCCAACTGCATGAGATGCTGGAGCCTGTATTATATGACATCAATCCTAATATGCTGCTCAGATTACTCAAAGAAGACGTCAACGAAAACATCCACAAATTGGTAAGAAATGCTGGAATGTTGACATTTTTCAACGATTTCCTTCCCCAGTAATTGCATTCACACCTTAAATGTACTCTCAAACGTGTTTACTTCAACCATATACTGGTCTGCTCACTTATGTCTCTTCACTCGTACTTGAGGGTTTGTGCATTTTAAATTAATAGTTGTGACTCAGAATTATTTCCTGGTGATTAAACAACGGTCCTTTCTGAGACGACAAAGACGTTATTTGGAAGGGTCTGAAAGTCAGAGAACCGAACACAAATTGACAGTTGCAAAAAGAAAGAAACAATGGATTAAAAAAGAATTCACACAGCAGGGGGAAGTGGGGTCAAGCGGTTATGGTTCGTGACTCATGATCTGAGGGTCAGGGGTGTGAATCCAGCTGCTGGTCATATATTGTGTCCTTGGGCAAGCCACTTTACTCCCACTTGCCACCCAGGAGTACAAATGACTACCGGCATTATCTGGGGAGTAACCTGCGATGGAGTAGCATCCCATCCAGGGGGAATAGAAATATTCTCAGTCGTTTCGTGCTACTGAAACTGGAGATAAACACCGGCCTGATGAGCCACATTGGATTGTGACAGACCTTACTTCCACAGCAGGCCCACATTAATTGAAATACTTGAATTCTTTTCTAGTATGTGGATCAAGATTTCTACGGTGGATGTCTTGCCTACCAGTCGCTGCCAGCGTCCTCTGTACATGAAGGGTTGATATTCTATCCTACTGGTCCGACGTTAGAAGTACTGAGTATCCTTGAATAATGGCAGTGTTTTGGGTCAAAGTTTTAGAATTTTGCCTGTACACTTTTGAGAATGTCTTGAAAGGGTTCCTATGTCCAGCTCTTTTTCTTTTTCTTGGTAAATAAAATCATGACCAATTATTTGTTTTCTGCAACCAATTATAGTCAATGACCATAGAAGGTGTACTCATGAAACTGGCTTGCAGGCCATTAAAGAGCCAGTCCAAGGATTGAGAGTTTTTCTGCATAAAGTGTTTTTTTTGTTATGGCTTTTGCCAACTTAGCACAAGTAAACTCAACAAGTTTTTGTCAAATTGAAAAGAATGGTATATATGAGAGCTTTTTCGCCAAGAATATTTAGGCAAAAAAAAAAAATAATAATCGGTCTCTGGTCAGACCGAAGTTCCAGAATTGATGCGGCGACGCGGTTTTTTTTTGGGGGGGGGTGGTTTTTTTTTTTTTTTCAAGCTTCAATTGTACATTCAAGGTGGGTTCTATTTTGCTCTTTTGTGTCCTCATTATACATTGGTGTCCTCCATCATTTACCTTGGTGCCCTTTATCATTTGCCTTGGTGCAATTTCCCCATTCCTTGGTGCTTCTTGGTACAAACATTTGAGGAGGTGCGGCAATAGAGGGCGCTGTTGTAGCTTCCGTGTTAATTTGAAGAAGAAAAAAAAGGTTGACGCGCATGATTAAAATCGACGCGCGCGCTGACCAGAGACCGAATTTTTTTTTTTTTTGTCTAATCCCCCGAATTCTAAAAACCCAAGGCAAGCTAGTTGTTTTACAAAATGCTGGACTGACGAAGTTGCGTATAAACAATGACGCCAAGACACACACTGTGGGCATCAATAACATCACAGGCCGCATGATTACCTAATAATATGTGTCTCTTTTCACAAGATAAAATATTGCTCACAGAGACCGGTACGTCTACTTTCATTTTACTTTGGGGGGGGGGGCGGAGAATTGATTATTGTAGAAAACCTTTTTTAAGCCACACGAACAGACCAGATCTGCATTGGATTTGACATATGACATTGGAAAATTTTAAAATATGACATTTATGCATGATGCCTCATGGAATAAAATAGAAAAGTGCAGGAAAATATAAAAAATAAACTAGTAAGTCCAGGAAGATCAGCGTGTCCTTGGGATTTTTCCCAAGATTTGGAAATTGAGGCCAGGCGTTGGGAATGTTTCGCCAAGCCTTGGACTTTTTACTGTGGTCATCTTGTGGCACTGCCCACTTTGCCCATCTGCTTTTTACTACGTACTCTCTGCGTTCAATCCTTAACTCTCTGATGCAGACATACGAACTGTACCGCATCAAGGTGTGCCAATATACTCAATGAAATCTTCTCCCTGTCGTCAGTTTAAGTTGGTATCGCCTCTGAGACAGATAGAAACCGTCAGCGTGCCGTACAGAGGTAATTAGGTAATGGTTATAACCATTAAGACATTTTGTATCATAACCCTTCTCCTTCAGATTCTGTTTTATTTGGCCAAGAGAGAGTCGCATGGTAGTCGCTAGTTTTACCACTTTAGCCTGCCCAAAAAGATTATACATCAGCAGCTAACTTTGTGACTGGAGGTTTTTCTATGCACATGCATTGCGCGTATTATACTACAGAGTTTGGTACAAACATTTCATGATGCAAGTTTGGAAAAACACAAGTATATTAATTTGGTTTAATTAAATCAGACATCACTGAAATAAGGTGAGGCATTATAAAAACAGATGGTGTCTGCTTGAACTCGTGGTGTAGTAAAAACAAGCCTCCCTTGGCGATATATGGAATGTTCCAAATCCCTCGGCTAGGCCTCCAGAGAAAACACAATGCTCCATGGATCACTGAGGCTAGTTTTACTACACCACTCGAAGCAGTCGATATTTACATACTGTACTGAAATCAATATGTACTTTCATTCGGATATGTTTGATTGCAGTTAGTTGATTCAAAACTTGTAAAATGCACAACAATCAGCCTTTAAAACAATACCTCACAATAACACCTGCATTTTGCTTGTAAAAACAAGTTGTCAAAAAGACTACCTAAAATCCATAATGATCACAAAAATAACAGTTTTTTTGACTAAAAAGTACACTCTACCACACTCCTTATCACTGCCACACACTCAAATGAAAAGTTTGTCCCCTTTAATTTGACACCATATTTGGAGGTTGTGATGCTTTTAATTCTGAAGATTACATAGATTTTCCACTTTTCTGATTCACATTCTCATGGAATTTACCTATCGCCGTTTGCAAGTTAGCCACGCCACTTAGACAACCCTATGGAATTTTGTACGACAAGTTTTGTGTTTGTCTCAGATTTTGCGCGTATCGTGTCCATTTGTATACAAATTTGACAATATTTCACAAGCTGCGTTGACGCGATTCTTCTGCCCACAAGAAGAATAAACATCAAATTTATTGATACCAACAGGTGCTGTTGTCGCTGGCTTACGGAGCGATTACTACTTTTGCCTCATGAAAGTCACAACTACTAAAAACAAGATCAAAGCACGGGTCTCCAACTTCATTCACAGCCAGCAGAAAATCGCATCAGTTGCTGTCAGGTAAGGCGCTTAATTCACGTTCATGTCGTAGCTAACTGTTTGTAATAAAATACTTTTTTTGTTATAAAATTGTGTGATTTTCACAATTTTGCCTCTATGGGCTCCGTGCACAAGTACCCCCTCAACGGTAAGATATGGAGAGTTGGGGAAGAGAGGCATTCAAATGCATTGTCGACGATTGCTGGCGCTGGCGAGAAGACGCTATGGCTTTCTGCATGAATAAACAAAGTTGTGCGTATTTTGCACTATACACGCGTGAACCTGTCTACGCATGCAGTGTGTCCCGTCCACTGGGGTCTCAAAAAGCGCCCTCTCTTGTTCGCGCACGGAGCGTGAATATTTGTATATATCATGCACAAGAGTTTTTGTTTGTCTGCGCACATATTATGACTGCGCGCGCATCCAACTTACAGTGCGTTTATCTTCATTCATGAAGCCTGCACTATATCTGGAAGAAAAAGAAGAAGAGCACATAGGGCTATGGACTCCGTGCACAAACAATAAATGGCGCGCACTTTGTAATCACTTTTGAGCGCTCCAGGTTTGCAGCCGCTGCGTGTGCGCATACTGGCTGGTGCGTGAATTGCGTGCGTGTACTGGCTCGCGCGTAAATTGTGCAAAATATGCACATCTCATTATATTCTGAATGTGCGCAACCTGTAGCATCTTTGTGTGAGTGTCAGGCCCTCGACTTTGTCTACATGAAACACAAATCTTATCAACTGTGTTCTTTTGAAATTAATATATTTCATTGGTTGGTTATTTTTTTGTTTAACCTCCAGCCCATTTATACACGGAGAGTGTCTACTCGGGCTAGATACAGGTGCCATCCAACTCGTCAGCCCTGAGAAAGGGTAAGTTGGGTTCTTTAGCCTTTTATTCCACTTGATAGCATGACCTTTCAAAATTGAGATAAGTTCTTGTATGTTCTCTCTTACGATGTTTGGTGTATTTAGGTAAATTTGCATGCTCAATCCCCCCCCCCTCCAATTTCCTTGGGAGTGGGGCACTTTTATGATGCGAATAAGAATGAATATTATATTGTTAAACATTTTTGTTCAGGTTAACATGTGTCCGAGCCATGCCAGCACTTGAGGAGCAGTCTACTTGTAGATGTCATTATGGTGGCCATCCACGATGTATCGTAGTTCAACAGAAGAAACATATTGACTTAGTAGACTTTCGGGTAAGAAACAGAAGAAATAGACTGGTGCCATGATGGTAGTTGTGTATTTTGTATTTACCTTGACTTTGTGGAACAATACCAAGATGGCCACCGTGCTTCATTTATGTCAGTTTTCTCTTCTCTTTTCTAGGCTCCAGAAGATAGTGGCAGTTCTTGTCTTTTATCCATCCCATCTGAGAATCTGCCTGAACACCAGGAGGTCTTTGTTGCTAAGCAACACCCTAGCAACCACTTTTACCACTTGGTAGCAACACAGGACTTGTTGCTACTTTTAGATGAGAGATATCCAAAGTATAACGTAAGTAAATATTTACAGGAGTTTTCATGCATTTGTTCACTGCGGTGTCGAAGTTAGAGAAAAATTCCAGCCAATTTTTGGAATTTGAATCAAGATATTGTTTGTTTTGTATACAGGTTCTACAGTGGTGTCATATGTTGAATGCGCCTCCTAATTTCATGGATATTATTCCTCAAGCTGTGACCTCAGATGACCTTACAAGTGACCCGACCTCAAATGACCTGACCTCAGATCTTATTGTTCTTGCCAGTCAGTGCTCGAGAGAAGTTCATTGCTTTCAATGCAGTGGTAAGAATTCTTTATGTTGGCAGAAAAACAAAAAACAAATTGACTGGAGCAGGGTTTGAACCTGAGCTCTCCGGATTCCCGTTCCGGTGCTCTACCAACAGAGCTATCCAGCCCTATGTTGGTGGTTCCCCATTTTGTTAATGTCTTTGTTCATGGGGCGCTAGTCAGAAGCCATGAACTTGTATATGTCATTTATCAAGGAATCATGTCCACGATACTAACAACAATAGCAATGCTGCAAACCTGGGAAAAAGGGATCACTCAGAGAGGATGCAGTTTTTTGTGGGGGGGGGGAAGAAACATAACAAAACAACTCAAAAACCTAGAGGTTGCATTGTGCAGAACATGAATAAGTTCTTTTGTACTCTTGGCTGCAAAATTTTACCAAGATAAGAAAGGTGTCTTAGTCTAAAAAGAAATTAACTCTAGGATTTTATTAAACGTCATGAATATATCGTATTGTTAAAGGGAAAATACAACATTTGCAAACATCAAAAAATAAAACTACCAAATCATTTTTAAATACCTTGCTGGACTGTTAGTGAATGACAGTGTAAAGCATCCTGTAAAATCATGGCACCTGGTATACTGTCATTTTCAAGAAAAGTAGTATTTTTGTATCAATTTCCAACGCTGATCGGCCGACCAGCGTTGGAAAAAACTGGCTTTTTTTTCAAATACTGGCCCCAATTGACCATCGCACTTGTTTGCAATCGATTACACACCTATGAACGGGTACAAGACGGCTAGACTGGTTCCCTGACCTTACAATTCCCCAATGTATGTAAACTGCTCTGTTTCTTCTTATTTGGAGTCAGGGAACCAGACTACAGGAAAATGATTGTTTTTCTTGGTTTTTATAGCATTTTCGAACCCAAAACCTCAAAAAAGTCAGTGTAACTATATTTGCTATATATTTCCAACCCCCCAATTCCATCCATTTCTGAAAATTACAGCAAAAGCAAATGATGTATATTCCCTTTAACTTAACAAAAAATCTACCTTTGAATGTAAAGTTGAACTGAGCCAACTTATCCTGTTTATTTCTTCTTTTTTTCAGAGTTGAATGGATGTACCCCAGTGTCGACTTCCCAGCCCTGGAAAATAGCGAGCACAGAGTACGTTTTACGTCTTTAATTTTTGTAACATGTATACATAGTGTACATGTATTTGGTGATATCATCATGATACTTATATTATAAAAATGTTCGTCATTTGTCTCTACAGTGGATGGTTCGACATGCTACCAGAATACCCACCAGTCGACCTTGACCCAGTGAGGTCACGACTTGAGAGGCCTCTGATTGGTGTGAGTGGCGCGAAGAGGACCTCCTGTGCCGGATGTGAACCTGGAGTCACTGTATTTCAGGTAAAGTGCTCTACACACAAAACAAGAATTGAAGCCTTGATTCTTAGAAGTTGCCTTGTGTTGAATGTGAACCCTGGTCACTGTATGTCGGGTAAAGTGCCCTGCCCACATCATAAGAATGGAGGCATTAGTGATTGGTATGAGTGATTCTCAGAGAATGCTAAAAGTAGGATGTGAACCTAGGGTCACTGTATCATAGGTACAGTCTTGGAGGTTGGCCAGTTTCTACCCACGCACTGCCTTACTCTGAAACTACTTACCTGGATCTTATTTTCCTAAATGATTATGATAAGTTCAAGTACAATTGTAACATCGATACTTATCTTTTTACTTTCTTTTAAATTTTATTGCCATCAACAGTTGAGCACAGCCGGAGATCTGTTCTTCCAAACCTACTCCCAGAAATCCTGTACTGATGACAGACAAGACAAGACGTTATCCCGCGGGCCGGGGTGTCCCAACGTCCAGCTCGGCCAAGAGTCATTGACTAACTGCAAGGCATGGATAGAGGGCGTGCTTCGTCAGTCTGTACAGGAGCCTGAGCCGTTGGGTTTCAAGACGGTTGACAGAGAGATTGCAAGAAATGGTAAATGATTTGAATATAGATGAAGAGCATGTGGTTTGGCCCAATTTCTTTGACATGCTTTGTGATGAGCACAAAAGTTAGTGCCAACAATATGCAAAAAAACTGTACTTAACTTTAAGCATACTTTTTTGAGTAGTGTCGGGGAACTTTTACAACAGATTTTGGAATGTTCCAGAATTATGTCTGCACTACTTTTTCCCTAATGGTTTTATTTTGAAATACAGGGCATTTGCTTTATGAAAGTACAGACTGTACAATGCTGTAGGAGTTGTTTTTGCAGTTTTAAAGGTACTCTATAATTTGTATAAATATTATCATTGTTCTTACTTCTGTTTGTAGTTTTCAAATCCATGACATTTCCTGAAGCTATTCCAAGCAAAGACTGTACACTCTGCAAAACACCCGAGTCCTGGCCACTAGATGACCAGTCCACTGACCGTTCACAGCCCACTGATCGCTCCCTGCCCTGCCCAGCCTGTGGGGTCGAGATAGTGGATAGCGCAGAGTTTCAGGACTGCTTGGAAGCCGGAGAGAAGATCATCTTCAGAAGGAGAGGGATCGATGAGGAGGGAGAGGAGGCGGTGCTGCCTGGGAAGATCGACCCTAAGATGTATCCCGATGAGATGAGCAAGACCTTGCATCGGTTATGGCTCCGTGGATACGACGGTGATGATGATGATGATGATGATAGTGACAAGGATGTAAACCAGGTATTCACATCACTGATTGTGTTTCAACTCAATAAGGCTGTGTCCCACTTACTTGGTCATAGGGGAATGTGGCCTAGTGGTTAGGGTTCGTGACTCCTTATTAGAGGATCAGGGGTTCTAATCCAGCTGCTGGCCATATGTTGTGTCCTTGGGCAAGCCACTTCACCCCCACTTGCCTCTGTCCACCCAGTAGTATAAACAGGTACCGGCATTAGTTATGGAAATAACCTGCGATGGACTAAGATGCTGTCCACAGGGAAAACAAATATTCTCAGTCTTTTAATGCCAAGTTAACCGGGAATAAATGCTGGCCTGATGGGCCATATTGGCTCGTCACAGATTTTACATTCGAACGCATTGCTAACGACGCCTGACACTCAAATGAAGAAGCTGTGGCTATGTGCACATTCTGAATAAAATAAGTCGTGCGTACTTCGCGCTATACGGCCGCCAACCAGTACGCGCATGCGGTGCGTCCTGTCCACTGGGCTCTCGAAAGTTGGCAAAAGCGCCCTCTCTTGTTCACGCATTGAGCCCATAGGCAGGGATGTTTGGGACAGTTCACGAACTACTTGGTTAAAGGCGATCATGTTCTAGTAATTAAATTCATTTAATGTCTTTTTTCCTCCTTTTCTGGTGGCAATTTAGGAAGCAGACGTTGTCCCCAAGCACCCTCACAGAACACACCAACCCTCAAAAACATCGCAAGTCTCCGCCCCTAAACGACAGAAATCTGCAGATGCTACATCCCAGGATGCACCCGACGGACGTACTGCAGCTAGCCAAAGCCTGGACACGACTGACCAGCAGAGGGCAGCAGACTTGCAGAGAATACGCAGCGCTAGGCTGTCAAAGTTGAACTGGAAGGTCAAATTTAAGAGAGGCGCTATGGGTTTTTAAGTTTCAAGTTTCATTGGAAATTTTATTTCAAAGTGAACAACACAGAAAGCAATACAACAATTCAAATTTCAATTTCGTTTCTCATTTGGCAAATATTACAAATTTAATTAAATTATTTAATTAAAACTGTTTTCATTTAAAGGAATTGTCAGGGAAAGAGTGAACTGTAGACAAGTTCATACCCAAAGGAATGTGTGATATGATTTGAACAATGGTTATAACACTGTGATACTTTAGCTAAATATTACCCTGCCTACTGAACGTTTCTTTTGAAAGAAAACTATTTGGCATGTTGTTTGTCTACTTTGAAGCGATGCATGTACAGAACACATTATTAAGAAATGTTTTCAGTGTACCTCACAACTTTTGGAATGGTTTTTATTTATATAACCTGTTGATAAAAAATATATTTTTGTCAATAAATTTTTACAAAATCCAGAATGCGAATGCGACTAGTGATTTACACATTTTTAAGCTAAATATGTTTTTATGGGAGTGTTTCACAATGCAAATACTAAGAATTTCCCATTTTAATTCAAAATCTGAAGGCTCCAAACTTTTGGGGGGCCAGGGACAAAGATGGAGTCTAAACAACCCAAGTATTCCGATAATTTAGATGTTCCTTGTTGAATAAAGGAAGCGTATGCAGCTGTTGATAAGGGAACAAACGAGTACTTTTAAAACCAGCTAGGGGCCTTGGCCCAACTTCATAGCGATGCTTAACAGTTAACAGAAAACTTGTGTTTACTGTAGCAGAAAATCATGCTATTAAGCACTACTTCATGGCTTGGATGTGCTAATGTTTGAGATTTCTATTGTTATGTCACTGATTAAAGCAACTCTTTCCTCTGGGGTGTGCTTCCTGCTAACAGTCTCCATGAAATAGATGGAGGCTCTGTTAGCACAAAATCAGCTGCTAAGCAGCGCTATGAAATTGGGCCCTGGATGCTAGCCGGCTTTAAACATACATGTACTTGTTGAATAACCGACCAAGCACATATATATTCCCATTCATAAATTACTTTCAATCAAAACAAAAGTCAAAATTTTGCACATATATATTCCCATTCATAAATTACTTTCAGTCAAAACAAAAGTCAAAAATTTACAATTTCCCAATGATTTTGTTTAGCAATTTTCCCTTATGTTTTGTGAAACACCCCTCTTGCAGTATCTATGGAATGTGCCTCACGCGCATAGTGCTAAAACTCTCTTTTTATGGAGATTGCCGTGCGCGTGGTGAATACTGCGCTATGTGACGCGGAATGCAGTAGTGTATGAATAAAGTGTTTAAAACTAGTTTGTTTTTTATCAACCGTATAAAATACCCACGCGATGGGCTCTCGACCAATGGGAATGTGTTAACTATCTTACGTATTTATGAATGATATTATTGGTCAAAATGGACCTTAGGAAGTCGTTGCATCCGACATATTGCAGCTACATAATTGATTTCAGCCAAACGCATCACAAAATTTACAACCCTAAAAATTCCACACTTTCACTTAAGCTCAATCTAAAATAAAATGCAAGCAAAACACAGTCTCACTGCAGTAACATTAATGTCTGAATCAACACATGAAATATAGACTATTTTACAAAATTTTATCATCTTCATCCGTTGTAATTAAATTATTTCATAAAACTTATTTGATTGCAGTACTGATTTTTTTCTATTATACTTCATTTTTAATTTCAAATTTTAAATTCTTCTAAAAGGCACCAAATGGTAAAGAATGCAATAGTTATGGTTGCATATGAAAGAAGGAACATTTGCAAATTATATTTACAAAGAAAGCTCTTCATGTTTTCAATTCACACACCAAACTCTGTCAAATAATTAACACCCTGTACAGAAGGAAAAAACAAAACTGTTTAACAGCAATTTTGGCACTAAACTTGTGCTTATTAAGCCGACCTCAGGTCGACTTGCCATTTGCTTGCACCATGACGGAACTGGCCTTGGTGAAGGCGTTCATTGATAGTGTCTGTGATCGTATCTAGCTGCTAAACACATGACAACTAGTCGTGCGCTATACACTCTGCGAAGCCCAAACAGCGCCCTCACGCTGCTACAGCAACTGACGAACACCTTGACCAAGGCTAGTTCCATCGCTGCGCAAGCAACTCGCAGGTCGACCTGAGGCCAGCTTTAAAGTGACTTTTTACCAACAAGCTTCACAAACAATGTCAGCAAGTCACATATGCTAATCAGCAAAGAAAGCTTTTGCAGTAGTTTAAAAAGTACTCCAAAGTATACATGGCGACTCAGTCTGTGTTTCAAACATAAGGAAACAACAGTGGAATGTTACCAGACTTTTAAAGCTTGGCAGGTATCGTGCATAGATTAATCTTCTCCAAATAGCACTGTCACGAGTTATTCTCAGTGCTTTCCATCAGACTCCTTGATGCATCGAACTCAAGGTCTTTACAGCTTTTCAGAAGATCTGGAATAGAAATCCATAATTTTTTAGAAATATGAAAGCAAATGGACTTAATGAGATGTATTAACAGTCTAATGTAATCGTCAAGTCACATTTATGTATGTGCCGTCTTTGAATTAAAGAAAGTCACCTAAAAAGTTGGCTAGCTGAACAAAATCCACAATTTTTAAAGGAGCAGCTGGTAAGGTTAAGACGAATTCAAGACTCACCTTGAAACTGCTGTTCTGCACTCCATCTCTGCTGATCTGCATCAACTGCCCCTTTAGCTTCCCAGAAGTCCTTGCTCACCCAGGGCTGTGGTAAGTTGGTTTTGGTTGTGCTCTCTGTAGAGCCTGAAGAAAAACAAAGTGACGAAACGTTTGAGAAATGAAACGTGGCTAGGTAGAAGTCTATGGTAATTCACAAGTGACAGTTGGTGAAATAGGTACGAAGAGGACACAAAGCTTCTACTTTCGTATGAATTAACAACGTCTGCAACAAGTTCAGGGTGGCATTGTCGACGTTGATAAGTCCCATTCGGAGAGCTGAATACCGGGTAATCAGCCACAATGTGGTGCACAGTTTGCGGGCTGCCACACTCGCATCTGTTTGAGTGCACGACTCCGATTTTTTTTAAGGAAAGCTGCACGTCTTGCCACAAGGCTTTGTAGAGTGCAGGGGTCGCCTTTAGAGGGTTTTACATGCACAGATGCATGTAACTTTGTAAGCGTTTTACATAACCCCCCCGAGGACAGATCCTTGGGTCTTTTGTTCAAAACGGTCGTCGGTAGTAGGTTTGTGTGCTTAGTCTATGGGAGAGTGTTACATTACAGGGACAAAGGGAAACACAAAGCATTGTCCTCGGGAGTATAGTAAAACAAGAGTGTGTGGCTCTGTCCATGTCAAATTTTGCCTGTGCATGCAAAACTTTCTGTTTTTCAGCCCCGTTCAAGGAAGAATCTCAGTTCTGCATGTAACTTCTATTTTCGAAATCGACCCCTGGACTGGAGCGCACAAAATTAAATTCAATTGATTCAGGGTTGACTATTCACTGAAAGTCTTGTCATGCATCTGGTCTACATAATTGGCCGGATTTAGCCCATTCATTTGCGTTACCAGGTAATCCTATACAAAAGCACTGCCCAGCTGTCTTCAGACAGTCAGATTCAAAGGGGACGCTAGGCTGGCACTTACGAGTCAGCAAAAACCCGACCAGCAAAAACACAAGTCTTCAAAATTGGCAACATAAAGCCAAACAACTCAATTTTGTACAGCAATATGCCTCGGAAGTATGCAATGACTTACTCCAGTGGAAAGATTCCCATATCTGGCCATCACTTGTCACCCTGAGCACAAACCCCATGAGACTGGTCTGAAAATGCCCAAGTGTTTTCTCAATATAAAATACTTCAATATCTTCCCTACTAAATTTGACTATTTCAGACATATTTTCACTTTCTGATGGCTGATAGGTCACTGAAGGGAAAAGTAGTGATGGCCAGATATGGGAATCTTTCCCTCCAGTTAATAATAAACTAATAAATTATGTCTTTAAAACAATAGACATAATTTCCAGCGCCTTGAGTACCTAATTGTTGGTAAATACGTGTGCTAAATGAGACTCGGGTATTATAGTATTATTAATGAATGTACCTTCCAACATTTCATCCAGTTTCCTGCATAGTTCAAACAATTCACTTCCGCTTCCTGACACCCTCTCCCCGTCCACAACCTTTAACCTCGGCAGTATCATCATCACGCTAGACTTGTAAGATGAACCATGGCACACCGGGTTATTGAGGCCGGTGAGGGGATCGCTCAGAGTCAGACTGGAGAAGGAGTCTAGGTTGGCCAGGCATTGGAGACTGTCCACGCTGCTTATGAGGTTTCCGGATGCATTGAGTGTTTGGAGATTGGCAAGTTCCTTTAAAGGATCTGAAATTTCGATTTTGGTGAAATACAGATAACTACAGCAATTGCAAACTTTAAAGAATCTTAAAGGTAATATACAACATTTGCAAGCATAGAAAAACTATAAAATTATTATGAAATACCTTACTTGACTGTAAGTGAATAATCGTCTCAAGCATCCTGTAAAATCGTGGCACGTTTTGTGCTCTCTTTTTCAAGAAAAGTGGAGTTTTTGTATCAATTTCCAACGATGGTCGACCGGCCATCAGTGGACAAAAAAAAGGACCAAAATACCAAATTTGGTCAGTCCATATTTCGTTTGTAATCGGTTTACACATCCATGAACGGTGCAAGCCAGCTAGTCTGGTTCCCTGACCTGACAATTCCCCAACGTCTATAAATTGCTCTGTTTCGTCTGAAGTAGGGTCAGGGAGCTAGACTACAAGAACTGCATTTTTTCCTTGTTTGTTTTCCAGTATCTATAAACACAAAACTTTAAACAGGTCAGTATTTGCTATAAAAAGTAATCCCAAAATCCATCATCCATTTTTGAAACTTACAGCAAAAACAAATCAAGTTTCATTTTGGTCAAACACAAACGGTATTAAACTACATCCACTTATGCAAAAATTATAAAAAAGTATCCAAACAAGATCAACATCACAACAGCAAATGTATCTCATTCCAACTTTTTGGGACTAACACTTCTTGAAAAGCAATCCTCCAATAATAATTGTTCTTAAAAAGTTAAACGTCTCACCAATGCTTGTGATCCGATTGGCTGAAATATTCAAATATGACAGGTGCTTAAGTGGGGTCAAAGGTCGTAGGTTGGCAAGGTCATTCCTGCTAAGGTCCAGCCTCTCAAGGTATGTGCAGTCTCCGATGCAACCCAAGTGATCGATATCTGAAAAACAATAACAGAATAAAAGTCACTTTTAACCTTTTCTAAGTATTTTTTTGCAAAAGTAGAATTGTTCCAAATTCATGGTTCTTTAAAAAAAATACATGTTTTAACATATTTGCAATTACTGAACATCACCGAGGTACTACATGGTGGAAAATATATCAAAATAGATAAATGATTAAACCATCCTAAAGCTCGTCTAAAGCCTAGCAAGGCATACAATGGTCGTGTTTTGCCATCTATGCACTACCCAATGGAACAGACTTCCAGCTTATTTAATGAAACAGTAACAAAGTGGGCATTTTGAAATCATAGCTTAAGACATTTCTAATTAAAAAAGTTTTATATTTAACTTCTACGTTTTAGTTTTAAAGTGATTTGATATTTTGTCAAATGTTTTTGAGATATTTATGTAAAACGCTTCATTCTGGTGTTTTCTTTTCAATAACCTGTTGAAGTTTCAGCTCAGTGGGTACAATTCATTTGTTAAAAAACAGAGAAAAAAACGTATGCACAATCATTTGTTTGGTATCATAACTGAAATCCTTTCCTAAGGCACATTAAAAATGGCAGCGGGCACCCTATTTTGAAACCCCTTCAATGTTAGTTTTCTTCCAATTGATACCATTGAAGGTGGAATAATATTTCAGGGTATTTGATACCAGTTCTGTCTTTACTTTTAGCAAAATTTCTGTCATTGAATCGTAGACCTTTCTGGGTAATTGCAAATGAACCAGCATGGCTATAATCTTCGCTGTTATTTTCTTTGAAAGTTTTTCAGACAATAACTGTCTCTAGCAAAAGAGAATGAATACAAAAAAAAGCAATTTTACGGAAATATTGACTCTACACACCCATTTCTCTGAGGATCAGGCAGTGGATACTCTCGAGGTCAAACTCCCCACTTCTTGTCTTCAGGATCTGCTTGGTGATCCGAGTCCCAAACAACTCTGGAATTAAACATCAAATCAAAAATTGTAGAAGTGACAGGTCAACAGCCCTACTAGTAAATTCAGGCTCTAGTAAATTCACTGCAGTCTAGAGTACGAGCCCATACAAACTAAAAATGAAACGAAACAAAATTAAACAAAATAAAACAAATAACAAAATCGCAGTGGACATTTAGCCGGCACAGGTTTTCTTTCAGTAAAAGTTTATATAAATGTTATTTTGCCAGAGCCAGAGGTACTTTGATTCCTCCAGCAAACTAACATCCATGAAACTAAATGTTTACAAACACAAAAGGAAATTGGCGTCAGCCAATTATCCACTAGCACTGCCAAAACAAAAACAAATAAAGTTAAATCTATCATAGTATTGTCAGACCCCTGTTTTGGAGTTTGAGTAGTTGAGGACACCTCCTTTTTGTGTTATTCTTTAAAAAGTTTTGTCGCTTTCCCCAAAGTCTGGAAGCTCAGGAAACGTTCTCTTAATTAAACTGACCCTAAATTTGTCAATTTAGAACAGTAAATTGAAAGAAAAATTGGCTTTTTTACCTGATTTTCCCGAATTAAACAAGCATGCCAATTGACACACTTACTGCACTGCGGTATGGAAGCTAGTCTGGTTCCCACACCGAAAGATTCCGACGGTCTACCAAACTGCTTGAACACTATTGCCAAGTTTGTTTTCAGCATTTTCATTTTATTGACCTCTGTTTTACCCCACAATTTCCCTGAAATATCAAAACCCTGCCCTCTTTCCACAGTATTAATCCTGCAGTTATTCAAAATGGTGTTGTCATCCTCTTCTTCATTGAGTTTCTAAATTGAACTTTTCATTAACGAATCGGCGACGTTCTACCAAACCGGCTTTTACATTGTAAACACCTGAGGGCGCACTTTTAAAATAAGTCGCCATATTCTTTGTTTTTTAGCTGTCGTTGTTTTACCCCATAATTTCCCTCAAAAATCAAAACCCTGCCCTCTTTCCACAAACTTACTCATGCAGAAAGACAACATGGTGTCATCGTCATCTACTTAGGTGAGTCCCAAACTTAGTAGATTTTCGTTCCCTTATAATAGTTATATTATAGAAATGGGGTCCTCAACTACACAAACCCCCCATCAGTATTTTGACATATTCGCATTCAATTTGCGTTGGACAACGTGCGCACGTTGCAAGCGTTTCCTGCGCTTGCACTGATTATGCAGTGACTGCATAATCCTGCGCTGCGCTGATTATGCAGCGACTCAAGGATATTCTGAACTTCAGTTTCACTTACCAGTTTTTTCTCTTGATTCTTGATCCATAACCCTTTACGATAAGTAAGACAGGTGTCGCTTTAATAGTTGATGAACTTCCCCACTCAGAAGTCAATTCATAAGTCGGGGGGGGGGGGCCTAGGCCTGTACTAGTCTTTTTTTATACTATAGTGAAAACAAAGGAAATTCTAATGTCCGGAAATTGGGCAAAGCCATTTCCAATGATTATTGAGTTATCACGCTACAAAAGTGGACTTGTCGCAATGGTGGTGGCTATGATACGTTCACTTCCTTTTCGCTCACAAAGAATAAGTGGTGAATTTTTATATTAAGCGCTTTTTAAAATGCGATTTTTGGCGAACATTCCCACGGCGACCCAGTCGCGTTCGTAGCAACCGCAGAAAATAAATCCAATGACTGAACTATTGGTGGCGCCCTTCAAAACACACGGTCTTAAAATAGCACAAAACAGTCGTCTGGTAGTTTAGCAGCCCAATTTTTTTTTTTTTACCCGAACGTACGTCGACGTCACACTCGCCGCCCTTTCCTTTTTTCTGTAGAAACCCGTGTGACTCGCAATGAACGGGAATCCAATATTCGCCGATCAGGGGCCACTACCAATTTTTAACCATCTCACAAACTCCTGTGGTGAGACACTGGTCTCGAAAGGACTCGAAATCAGCCCAGATTTGGGGGAAACTATCCAAAACCAGGACTCTTACCCGGTGCTTTTGGTTGGGGAGTCCGGTGAGAATCTGAAAATTCAAGATGGCGGCACCGAAGGCAGCGAAGAGCGAAAAGTTGCGCATAATCTGCCAGCCTCAAAAAGCAACAGCGATGATCAACTTCCCGATGATATCCTCATGTTTGTTGCTTCAGAAGATGTCGACAACAGTCCACATGCCTCCGTGAATGTGTCTTTGGAACCCTCCTATTTGGGAAGTCCAAACACAGTCATTCTGCCGCTGGAAAGTGGCTTGCCGCGGGAGCCGGGAAACGCCAATCCCACCGTGACCGTCCAAAGATTGCACGGCATTGACGGCGGTGAATTGGTGCAGAACCCGGAAGTAACTGCTTCCCTATCTTTACCGCCTGTTGCCGTCCAACCAGATGCGGTGTCCGTGCGCAAGACCTCCCAAATTATCGAGGCTTTAAATCTCAGCTCATTGAGCTCACCCAAAATGATATCCGTAGGGTCCGAAGCCAGTGGCAGTCAGCCAAGGTTGACAATATCTGGAGGGACATCGGTGCTGGACCTGGCCAGTAGCCAGGTGTTTAGCGTTCAGCAACTTCAGGACTTGAACCTCGGAAGATTGGCAGAGACTCTTCAGGGAGCACAGGTGCAAACTGCAGGGGTCGGGATGGGGGAAGGGGTGACCATCTCTCAAGGAGAAATTCTCAATATTCCGGCATCTACCGCCACTTGTCTCCAGTCGCAGACGTCGGGAAATGACAAAGCCATCTCTGAATCTATCAATTCTATTCCATCGTCTGAAATGACTGTTCCGGTGGTTTCCAACCCGGGTCAGCTTGAACTCAATGTGACGGCGTTGCCAGCAGGTGGTACCCCGATTGGCCAGGCCGGCCAGTCCTTGATGCCTGTCATGTACATTATAACGAGCCGCGACCGCAACACGGGAGCCACTCAAAGATTCAGGGTGACTGTTGATTCCGAGTCGGTTGCGACTGCCCCGATCGGGACCCTATCTCTCAATGCCGGGTTGCCATCGCTGCAGATTGGGAGCCAGTGGGTTGTGCAGCAGCAACCAGAAGCAGCAGTCACCGCAACTCTGTTGCCTAGTGATGCGTCTTCAACGACAACCATGGTTACATCCATTGAAGATGGGAGGGGCGATAATGCAGCTGTTGGTGTTATGACATCGCAAGTTGTCCCAAACATTGAAACACAGACGACAAGTAGCGCTACTGATCTCACTAAGGCAAACCTAGGTAGAAGAAAATAAAGATACGGAAAAAATGTTGCAACACGACACCACCTTTTTTTCATATACATGTATATCATCTCAGTGAAGGTCATTCATTGCGAAAATGATGATAAGACATGAATCTGGGACTGAGAAATATTTCCAATATTGTTGGGAGATACTTAGAAAATGTGTAAATCCGAAATTACCATAAACATTGCTAGTAATTACATGTTTGAAAATGAATAAAACTGCTGCAAACTGTTTCTGACTGGATTGAACTGAAATATAAAATTTTTAAAAATGAAGGCAGCCTGACATTTAGATTTTAAGATCTTCTTCAGAGGCAAAATTATTTTCGTTAACAGGCCACCTTAATTTTTTTTTAATTTCATATTTGAAGTAAAAAGAAGTTAAGAATTAAAAAACTAAGAATATAGTTGATAATTAGTTTTTGGAACTAAATTTAAAATCTGTAGAAGCTTTGAGTTTCACCTTGCTGTGATTCTATTTGTGTGATAATGTGCACTTGTTTTAATGTAAAGTTTAATTCTTTTGCAAGGGATTTTATTGGTTATTTCATACAGTATTATTATTATTACTTGCCACATTGTGAATTGTTGCTTTTTTATTTCCATATTTTTACTACATCAGGTTCTGGAGATGTGGACTCCGGTTTCTCAAGATTTCTTCTGAAGCAAAATGCTAAAGAAGTGAGTCCCCCCTCCAATTAAGACAGATATCAAGCCATACTTGTAAAACAGTTTTTGTCCATCACTTGTCATATTAAACTTGGACAAAAATAGAGAAACTTTCAAACATTTGCAGATGTATTCATTTTATACAACAAGTTAAATTTGTGAAGTTATGTTCAGCATTGCTTTAAAGGGAATATACAACATTTGCAAACATCGAAAAATAAAACTACCAAGTTTTTACGAAATACCTTACTAGGATGTTGGTAAATGACAGTCTCAAGCATCTTGTAAAATTATGGCACCTGGTGTGAAGTCATTTTCAAGAAAATGGTATTTTTGTAAACATTTCCAACGGTGGTCGGCCGACCAGCGTTGGAAAAACCTAACTATTTTTCAACTACTGCTCCAAATTTACAATTTTTTCAGTCCAAATTTTGTTTGCTATTGGTTACATGTTCATGAATGGGTGCAGGCCAGCTAGACTGGTTCCCTTGCCTTACAATTTTCCATCATCTATAAATTGATCCATTTTATCTTTTGTGGAGTCAGGGAACCAGACTACTTGAACATTTTTGTTTTTCTTGGTTTTTCCAACCTTTACGGACACAAAACTTAAAAAATGTCAGTGTAACAATATTTGATCTATTATACTAACCTCTCAATAGTTCATTTCTGAAAATTACAGCAAAAGCCAATGATGTACATTCCCTTTAACTCTCGTCAATACAAACTCTGTTAATACTAACTCTGGTTATATATAGCAAACATAAAACTTTGGTCTGACCAGAGACCGAATTTTTTTTTTTGGCCTAACACAGCATTTTGATATTTATGGCTATGTCTGGCCGAGCTTGGTTTGACGAATATTTACTCAAATATGTTTTTCTATGACTGCTTTTTAGGAGAAGGTTTTGTGCTGCACATATGAAGGATGCCAAGAGATTTTCACCACCAAAAAGAAATTGAAACTGCATCAGTTGATCCATGCTGACGACAGACCTCACAAGGTAGTAAAACCAAGATTTTGTTTAGCAAAAATCAGCTGGCAACCAGTCATAAGCCCAATATATGTAATGACATTTTGGCGGAATGCGTGAATACTTCCAAGGCAATTAGAATTTGCACTTGGCAAATCTGCTTACTGGCTCAGGGGAAATAGCCATTTTTTACAGGTTTGATGGGATTTTTTAAAAAGTGACTTAACCCTTCAGCAGTCTGAACAGTCACAGACAGTCAAAATTACATTCTCTCCCTGCCATGCCTTCTACGCATGTTAGTCACCAACAGTCAGATCATATTTGAAAGAAGCACTGTGACTTGTCAAATTCAGTCAACAGATAAAAGCAGGCCAGTGGTAGGCACAGCTGGCTTATCAATCACCTACAGTCAAAGCGTCAATCACCTACAGTCAAAGCATAGATGTATCAATGTACATAAACAGCCACAGCCAGTCAATCCTGCTTTATGTAGGCTGGGAGCTCTTTACTGTCAAACACAGTCATGTGACTGATTTTGACTGAAAGGACAACTTCGCACAGAATGTATGTTTGCATTAGAGGGTTAATACATTTTTCATATAAATTTACTGAAATTTGGAGAAGTTAAAGTAATCGTAATTTGTTTCATTGCAGTGCACTGTGGAGGGCTGTGATTGGACGTTCCCAACATTATACAAGTTGAGGAGGCATTTAGCTGGACACACTGGAGCAAGACCATTCACAGTAAGTCTCTTCTCCAACCCCACCCCCCTTCCCCCCCCCCTTTCATTTCACACCCCCCCCCCCCTCCCCAACCCCACATGTGGCATTTTTCTAAGGACAAATTCTAATACTTTGTCGTAAGGTAACTTTAAAATCCTTCACTAGCCTCCATTTTACAGGAGCTCAAAGCTACATCTTTTTATTTATCTTTAACCCTAACGTACCTGAATCCATCAAAATCCACACCCTGTTTTAGAGGATTTCGGCGGATTCAGGATACTTCCATATTGAAAAAGTTTGGGGGATTTTGATGGATTCAGGACAGTAAGCCTAGCGGTACTGCAGGATTTTGATGGATTCAGGATACCTCCATATTGAGCAGTTGAGGGACTTTGATGGATTCAGGATCTCAATTAAACTCCTTAGCTATATTTTTGGTGTGTACAGAGTTTATGTACTACACTTGTGGATTCTGATGGACTCACTGGTGGATTCTGATGGACTAAGGACACCAACATTTCTGCATGACAAAATTGGTGGATTTTAGCGGATTCAGGATACTTTTTAGTAAAAGTGCTCAAGGGGTTAGGGTTAAGGACCATCTAATTCAATCAAAGTTGCTGGGCTGATTCCTTACAAAATCCTGCAAAAGTTTCCAAAACCTCCAGATTTGGAACTATCTGTAAAGGTTAAGGTAAATGTTCTGGAACTTGTTCTAGAACTTGATCATCTGTGAAGGCTCCCACATTTCTAATGTATGTGTGTCTTTGTTCCCAGTGTGAGGATTGCAACGCCCAGTTTTCCACCATCTACAACCTGAACATGCACAAGAAACGCCACGAGCGGCCGGAGGCATTTGTATGCGAGGTCAAAGGTTGCGAGCAAGTCTTCCCTACGATGAGTAAATTGAACAACCACCTCCGTACCCACTTTCCAGAACGACGTATCAAGTATGTGCAGCTCTAACAAAATCATAATCCAGATTGGTGGGAAAAGTTAAACTGCCCCAAAATATTATACAGAATCCTCCAATAGTACAAAGTGTCTTGTCATGCGTATTACTGAGGAACTAAAACCTGTCCGCTGTGATAAGGCTCAGTATAAGCTCTCTGTCAAGTTACCACTATAAACCACCCCAACCCTTCAAAATCCAACTGCATGTTTTGTTGGAATCTGTTAGAGTGAGTGCTGCATTCGTATACTGATTATGCTTTACATGGGGTCAGGTATACCACTGTTTAATATCAGAGTTCAACAGTTTGGGTGTTGAGGGACCATATTGTGTTGGATTTTGCAAGAGTGAGGAAGGTTCCCAGTAAATCACTCAAGGAGGTTCGGGCAAGTGATGGGTTTTGGCAGATGTTGAAGGTTTGATTGTGGTTTGGTGGTAGTGGGAAATTTCAGTTCAATTTGCTCGATATAGATTTGTGCTGGTGCCAAAGTGTAATTCTACTGTCCACTTCGTACATATCTTGCTGACTGACTCATTGACTGACTATCACTATGAGCCCGGCAGCACTATGAACCTATCGTGGTAGAATCGCGTCAACTGAAATATAGTCTAATTACATGTACATGATATACAAATGCGCAATATCTGAGACAAACAAAACTTATTATGCAACATTCCATAGTGGCTAACTCGCAAACGGGGATAGGTCAATTGCACAGAAGTACCATATAAAGCCAATGAAATGGCAAAATCGGCCATAACCTTTGGCAAAAATCGTGAATAACCTCTCTGAAACAAAATTCTGAAATAAAATTTTGTGCACTCTGACACAAGCTTTACCAGCTTAACTAATTAAACGTTTTCCTTCTTTTTTCCCCACTAGGTGTAAATATCCCGGCTGTGATAAGTCCTTCACCACCACCTGTGGCATGGGTTCCCATTACCGTATCCATGACCGGGACGAGACAATCTTTCCGTGCTTAGTGGAAGGCTGCAACAAGATCTACAACAAGGCGTGCCGCCTCAAACTTCACATGAGATCACATACAGGAGAGAGACCCTTCAAGTGTACTGCAGAGGTAGATAGAATTTATCCCAATGTAGATTTGTATTGGGCACAAACGGATTCGCTTTGCGAGTAGACTGGCTCCCAGTCCGTACATAATCAATACTGATGGTGGGGCAGGAACCAGCCTACCCCACGAGAACGGAATTATTGTCTGGCAGCCAATAATTTGAAATTGTAAAGTAATTATTCCATAACTAAACATGGGCTGATATTTTTTTTGGTTTATGTCTCATTCAAAAGTAACAAGGTTGTATTGCTAGAAAGAGCAATTTAGACAAGGAATCTATTTTTCGGAATGGAAATCGAAAATAGAATTGGGAACATATCTTTAAAGGGAATGTACATCATTGGCTTTTGCTATAATTTTCAGAAATGAACTATTTGAGGGGTTAGTATAATAGATCAAATATTGTTTAACTGACATTGATTGAAGTTTTGTGTTTCGAAAATGCTTGAAAACCAAGAAAAACAAAAAATGTTTAAGTAGTCTGGTTCCCTGACTCCATTAAAGATAAAATGGATCAATTTATAGTTGTCGGAAAATTGTAAGGTAAGGGAACCAGTCTAGCTGGCATGCACCCGTTCATGAACATGTAACCAATAGCAAACAAAATTTGGACTTAAAAAAAATTAAATTTGGAGCAGTAGTTGAAAAATAGTTAGGTTTTTCCAACGGTGGTCGGCCGACTACCGTTGGAAATGTATACAAAAATACAATTTTCTTGAAAATGACTTGACACCAGGTGCCATAATTTTACAGGATGCTTTTGACTGTCATTTACCAACATCTTAGTAAGGTATTTCGTAAAAACTTGGTAGTTGTATTTTTCGATGTTTGCAAATGTTGTATATTGCCTTTAACATGACTGCAAGAACCAAACCCAACCGACAGCATTCAGTGCAACTCACTTTACCCTCATATTCTTGTGTTTTTCTTAGGGGTGTAATTGGGCCTTCACTTGCATCCAGAAGCTGAGTCGCCACATGGTCCAACACACCGGCGACAGACGCTACGAATGCTCGCAGCCTGGATGTCAGAAACTCTTCACTCGCTTGGAGCATCTCAAGACTCATATTAAGACTCACACTGGTGAGAAACCATTCGTCTGCGTGCAGAAAGGTGAGTAGGAGGGTCCTTGTACTGGACTCGAACCTTAGTCCTGTGGATTGATTTTGTGAATTATTGACGGATATAGCGTGTCTCAGTGTTGGTTGGTGAAGCTCAAGTTTTGTTTAAATTTGAAGAAGAAGAAAAAGAGTCACAACCGATTTCAGTATTGTAAACTGTTTAAAAGGTTACGCTTAAGAAAGTGGATTTTGCGATCTGAAGTTGGTGGGGTTGGGTGGGATTCGAAGCTTAAACCTTTGGATTGATGATTTTACTGAAGTAGTGTGTCTCAATGGCAGTTGGCTCAACTAATTTCTGTTTCAAGCTGCAGTAAACTTGTCACAACAGATTTCAGTGTTGTAAACAGTTCTCAAAGTTCTGTTTGCTTTTGTTTGAGATTTTGCATTCATTGCCTGAACTTTGTTTGATGAATGAAAAAAATATCAAATCAAAATATTCTAACGCAAGCTCTTGATTTTGTGTTGCCTTTCCAGACTGCAGCGCGCGTTTCGCGTCTCGCAGCAGCCTATTCATGCACGTCAAGCGACACAAGCAAGGCTATCAGAATAAACAGAAGAATATCTTCAATTGTCCCATGGATGAATGCAACCAAAGCTACACCACCAAAGAGGGGCTCAAGAAGCACATCCTGACGTTGCATAGTATCATGCTGCCCAGTAAGTATTTAAGATGGCACTTTCTCTATGCGCATTCTCTTCAGATTTATTCATTTTATAAAACGGTTGTATTTTAGGCCCTAATAAAAAGAGAATTTGATCCTGTCTGAAGTTGACTGACGGACTACTACCTGGTAGGCCAGCGTAAATTTGAAAGGGGGTTGACTGGACATTATTCAACACTTAAGGACGCTGTTTAGTTTTCACACACACATATAGGCTAGAGCGTAGAATGCCATGGTCCAGTTGTCACAGTGTTTGACTCATGTAAGAAGGTGTGTGGGTTCGAACCCTGCTAGGAACATGGTGGTTGTGCCATTGGGCAAGACACTTAACTACAAATGCCTCTCTCCACCCAGGAGTATGAATGGGTACCTGTGAGGGTCGAGGACCGATTGAGCGCTGATATGGGCTGCTGCGTGGTCTCCTAGCCTAATGAACGGGGTATTAATTATAAAGCGCTTTGAGATTGTTGATACGATGGAAAGCGCTATATAAGCACAATTATTACTATTATGTGTACTGCACATATTTGCGTTTTAGTGTTTTAATGTTTGAGTTTTCATTTAGCAAATTCATGGGATTCAAGCAGACAACAAATGAAACAAACAAGAAAGAAATCACATGGGTGTTCGAACGAAACACCCCCTTATTACCACCCTAGTGGTTGAACCATCTAGTCAACGATTTGTTAAGTTTCTCCTTTGTTTAGTGAAGTTTTGGTAAAGTATGTCTGTCTATTGAATTAACAGGTGCTAGTAACGAGTCGGAGTTGGTGTACATCCCAACTGAGAACCCACAGGCCATGGTGGACGCTATGACAGATCCTAGTCTGCTACAGAATCCTACAGGTAAAGCTTATGTTACAGTCTAAGGCTGTCTCTTAGGCTTTTATGATAATAATAATAATTTAGGGGGCTTATCATCCTTGCATGCAGCTGAGAAGCTGAATTGCGAAGGACGCGGCTACAATGGGGTCAAGCCAAAGGCGTGTAAAGGCGCCTCGGGCTGCTGCCATACAACCCATGTATGACCACGGAACACAGCCAGAGATCGAAAGTGTTTGATTTTTGCAGCGGAAGGAAAACCGAAGGGTCCGGAGAAAAATCCTCGTTTAACAGGAGAGAATCAATGAACAACTCTACTTACATATGATCTGAGCTGGAAATCAAGCGCTTTACGCACTAGCCACCCATGCCGCCCATAGAGAACTAGAGCCATTGTCGTGGTCTTTGTCAGTAACAGATACATGAGAACATGCTTACAATAGCCATAGCCATAACTCGGGAGGCCCGTTTCAGAAGGGGCCTAAGGCTGCATCTGAATTACACGGCTATGGTTTGCAATTACACACGTGTCTGTGGAAGCGGCTGCCTTCCAATAGGAATGTGTGAGTGCCAACTGGTGACTTGAAGTAATGAATGAGGGCAGGCAACATGTTCACATCTCACTTATATGGACCATGGTTATTTGTAGTCTATGTAATAGACCGCGGCGAATAATTATGCGCGAACAGATTTGCTGATTAATTAGGCTAGACCCCGCCTCTTGACTTCCTAGATTTTGACCAATCAGCAGGCGCTTTCTATAGGTCTATCGGGTCTTCGGTCATTCACCTGTTGCGCGTCATAGACATGGATTTAAAAAAAAAAATGTCGCGGCGCTCGGTACAAATGCGCTCCCGGCTGTTGTTGCATTCGAATTGACCAATCACGGCGCGCGGCACTCGGTATCATGTTACGCGAATGTGCTCCCTGCTGTTGTTGTCTTACAAAATGCTGCATTCGAATTGACCAATCACAGCATTAGTCCTGATTTTGGGATGAAGTGACGTCACAATTTAGTAAAGTCGACTCCAATTGGCTGGCGCGCGGCTTGCATAAATCTGCATGCTTTGACATATCAGACGTTGGACAGGAGATGGCTCTGTGAATAACGGGTGATACTCAGACTAGGTTATTTGGTGAATTGATGCATTTTTATTTGCAATTCATTCTTTTTTTCATTTCTTTTTTTCAGTGGTTCGGATAACCCAAGCCCCAACCGCCGATAGTACCTCAACCAATCAGCTGTCAGTAAATCCACTGAGCAAAGACGGCACCGCGGTCTCAGCCAATCAGAATCACTCCAGCGGACAGGTGCCCTACACCCCCGGTGCTGGTCTGATAGTAGACAGTAATGGGTTGCCGGTGAGCTTTGTCAACTCACCGACAACTCAAGCTTCAACATCGTCGTCGTCATCATGGAGCTCCCGGGGTTTGCATCACGAGAACTGGAGTGGATCGGCGCGGACAGACTTCATGTACATGCAAGGAGCAAAGAAAGGCAGGCTAACAAGTAAGAACGCAGACATTGGGCAAAGAAAATTTGACTAAAAAAGAAGACGAACCTATGACACTTTAAACAGGGGTGTGCATCAGAGCCGGGTACTGGAGTACGTGACCGCTGATGTCAGGAACCAGTTCCAGATTATGGGATCGGGTACTCCTAACCAACCTTACAAATTACTTCTCAGACAATGAAATGTTGGGCATTTTCCAAATGAAAACCAGGCTACATGGAAAACCAAAACAAATTTCACGTTTATGTTCATTTTAACGCGCGACAGATGACGCTCATGAAAGTTGCAGTTTACATGATAAAGCTATAAAGCCCTGCCAAGACACTGCCAATATTCACACTGATAAGTTTTGTTAAGGACGAGAGTTCCTGACAATAGGGGGAATTTACCAGGTCACAGTTTTTTGCCATCTTCAGTTTTGATAAGACCATCTGTTAGGGGTACCCAGGTACCACTTCAATAGGGTACCCGGTTCTCGTACTACCTGTTAATGCACACCGCTACTTAAATCATTTTTGGTGCTGCTAAAGTCCCTGTGTTAATGTTATCCAAATAAGCATTGTCAGCCTCTTTCCTTTTGCAACATTGCAGGATAAGTGCATTTGGGTCATTCTGTAAACCTAGGGTCCAAAGTGTGACATTTTTCCTGTTCCTGTTATCTCTGAACTTTGTAATTTGCCATTCAAGTGTCTTAAAAAAAACACACACAACATCAAACTAATTTTTATTTGATGGGTCGTTTGCTTCGCTTCATCACTCTTGAAGGAAGAATACATTAAGGAGTGCATCCAGAATTAACAAATCATAAATGTCAGATGTAACAGGAACAGCAAAAAAAGTGGACCCCAAATTGATAGAATAACCCATATTTCTTTGAAAGATATCAGCACTAGTAAGGACAGCTTGATAATTCCTTGAAAAATTGGACATGCATGTAATTGTAGCCTATTGCAAACTTCGTAATTCAGAGATCATGGTATACACACTGTTGCGCCAATGTATGAAAAGTTAGCACTTTTATCAAATAAAGAGAAATGCACAACAGCAGTCCTGATGCAACTAATTGGAGGAATGTTTGCACCAGTGAAACCCAGTCCCTGTAATCCCATTAACCAATAACCTTTGACCTCTTTATTTAAATTTGTCAAACTAGGAAACTCAGAGAGTGGTGATTCCGAGTCGGACAGCGCCCTCGCGTCATCCTACATTCCATCCAGCTTCAGTATGACTACCACAGCCTCACTGACATTACGTGATCCGGCGACTGGTGCACGCTACGTGCAGACACAACTTTTGCAGGTAGGCCTCAGTTCTTGTGACACAATTCGGGCGATTCACAATGCAGTGCGCCACCCAGATTTTGCCATGGAGAGTTCATTTTTCCCAGTGCATTGTGGGAGATGGTCGACAAATTTGCAGCGTGGGACATTTGAAATTGTTAGTTTTTCAGGTCAGTAGTTTCGTAAGCGTATGACTCGAGTATCTGTTTGCCCTTTTCTTGTCTTTTTATCAATATGGTGTTTTTGTAAGGCGGCAGAACGCTATGCCCAAATCTATAAAATTAGCTCAAGTTCTCTACTGACACTCATTCAAATTGTTCATGTTTTGTCGACCGTAAACTTAAAAAATGGACTCTCCATGGCAAACTCTTGGTGGCGCACTGCATTGTGAATCGCCCGAATTTGAGACACTTTGATATCTGTTAATCTTTGGGTGCGTTCGCATAGCTCACCTGGATCAACCTGGGTAAAGGCAGATGGGTTAGCCACGACAGCCAGGCTATTGAATGCTCAACTGCGGGCCGTCACAATCCTCACGTGATGTCTGTATTGCCGCGGCCGTAGCCACTGACAAAATGCCCGTTTTGGATTGGGTCTTAGTTTGAGATTTACTGCTTTACAGTCAATTGCAAATCTCAAAAAAAAGTTGGGCTGGAATTATATCCTATACAGTCGCAATGAAGTCGCAAATTAGACTTCCAAATAAAGGACATTTTTAGGTCCACTTGAGATTTCCGCTATCCGGCTGCCATATATGTCCATTTCTTGAAATGAACAACGCACCACTGACTGTGCTCCACAAGCAGGGTCTGTGGTGCCTGATCCAGGTGAGCCCCGAGAATGACGTCAGAGCTAAACGAACGGCACGGGGCTGACCCGAGTCGACCCGGGTGAGCTTTTCAAACGCACCCAATGCATAATATCTTATCCTTTCATAAGCACAATGTATCATAAAATTGTAACATTCCAGCCTTATACACATAGGTCTACGCAACATGAACATTGTGACACTTCATAAAATTAGACTCCGCGAAATATTGGGAAAACCTTTTCGGTTTTTTGACTTTGGCCCTAAAAGAACAAGTCTATAGATGAGGTTTGAGACCTTCTTTCAATTCCTTCTTTCCTGAACAGGATGACCCACCAGATGAGAGTGAGCTTGCCTTCCAGTTGACCTCTCACCCTACGACCTCTGTCTCTTCCACGGGTGACCTCAGTGTGTCCGCCATCTTGCCAGCCACCGACCAAAACAGTCACGCTCAGTGTCCATCGTCCAGCAGCGTTGATTTTCTTCAAGCTGATCGGGAGACGGAATCCTCCATTGACGGTTTCCGAGAGAGTACCATCAATTTGCAGGATTTAGAGTAAAACAGAACTAAATCTCGAGTCTTCAAAGTCTCTTGTTTTTTGTCCCCTCAATTTGGGAAAGAATGTGCTATGGAAATTAAGTAATCTATGATATTTATAAACCCAGTTGCGTATAATCAGATCTTCAGTTTGCTATGCATATTTTTGTTAATAGTGCACTTCACTAGAAAACACCGATCTCAACAAAACTTGTTTATTTATTTTGAATGCTTCGTCCAAAAGAAAAACAATCGAAAGATGTTGATTGTATTATATATTTTTTATAGCAAGAAAGGATTTAGGTATTGTACCTAGCCATCTTATCATACAAAAGCACTCATTCAAACCAAGAGAACCTGTCTTTTTTTTCCTCTTATTTTGTGGCAATTTATGTTATGATTTTACTTTGTACTTAATTTTAATTCCATCATTATTTATGTTTGTACAATGTTACCTCCAAAGTGAAGATGAACAATATGACAGATATCTGGTGAAGTACGTGTATATGGATTTATGTTAACAGATGCGGATGTGATAATGAAATTTGAGTTTGTGACGTCCAAATAAAATCAAGCGAGAGAGAAAGACTTGTAATTGTGTCAGATTTCTTGTGTACGGCTTTGAAGAAAAAGTGTCTGGATGGTGCCAGAACCCATGGGGAAAAGACTGCCAAGTGACTAGTGGGGTTAATGTGGGGAGGTGGGATTTCGCTGGTCTTAAAAACAGTGAAAAGACGCAGATTCTCCGCATGAATTCCAGACCCAGATCACTTCCAAATCGAATTGATTTGTACTTGTACCAAGGACCACCCCTACAAAAATGTGCATGAAAATCCGTTCATAACTTTTTAAGTTATCTTGTTAACAGACGAACCAACCAACAAATAAACCAACGCCGACGAAAACATAACCCCCTTGGCAGAGGTAATTAACAGATCTACAATGGATAAGAAAAGGCTAGAAAATAGCACACTTGCTAAGGCCAAAAAGAAATTAAAAATCTGCTTCCGGTTTCCGTACCTACCCTCTTCTGACAGCTCCTACCCTAATTTTTTCTTGGAAAATGAGAAGGAAAAAAACACCCAAAACCATCAATAACGTTTAATAAGGAGAATACACGAGAAAGTGTGGATTCGTAATTGCCGAGTGAATTCGTAAATTAAGAATCCACACTTTCGAGTGTATTCTTCGACTTAAACCATTGCGTCAACAGAAGTATTGGAAAGCATGTTGCAACCTGACGCCACTTTTTTCTTCATATATCATCTCAATGAAGGTCATTCGTTGCAAAAATGATGATAAGACATGATCATGAATCTGGGACTGAGAAATGTTTCCAATTTTGTTAGGAAATACTTGAAATGACTCTCCATAGACTTTGTACACAAGCGCGGAAGTGGCGTCAGGTTGCAACATTTTTTCCTGGCGTGTTTACCATGCGTATCGACACACCCGTACAACCAAGTCATTTTGTGTGTATAGGCTCCTTACGTCAAATGGATAGTTCAGACGACGATTTCTTTCTGACTAAAAGTAGTTTTTGCAGTGACGGCGGAAAATCTGACAGTGAAGATTCATTGGTAATTTTCGGAAAGCAAATTTTCATGCAGACGGTCCTATTCATACTCATTATGGAGAACAATTGTCCGACGTGTTCAAAGTGTGGATTCGTAATTCCAAATCCACACTTTACTAAAGATTCGTCGTTCCGAATCCACACTTTGTGACCAGTGTAAGAGATTCGTAGATCCGAATCCACACTTTTAACAATAGTGTGACGTCACAGCAATGGTTTAATAACTTTTACCCTTGACTACACGCAGACGCCTCCATATGATCGTACACACACAAAAATTGGCCCCAAAATATCCCTACCTTACCTACCCTATTTTCAAGTGCCATGTAATCGGAAGCAGAACTATTTTGGGGGGGAGGGGCCTAATCAAGTCTAGACACACTACAAGGGGTGCATTCAGACAGAGACGATTGGGAGGGGGGAGGGTTCACCTTTTGCTTCTAAAGTTGGATGGGTTCGATCTCGTGGAAACATTGGTGTCGTCAAGTTGTCGACCCAACGACCGGACAAGTTGTCTTCCAGAGTTGTGGATCGGATAAATGTCACGGCTGAGAATATATTATTGGGAGGAAGAAAAAAGAAGTCAATATTTTTTTAAGGGTATAGAGGAATTGGGAAGGAAAGAGCGCCTCTTCCCGTCAAGTTAGCCAGGCCGCGAGCGGTGCGTCCAGTATCACAAACATCGCTAATCGAATCGTGCATTTGTTTAACATAGACACGTGTTTGCACTCGGGTCAATTGGGGTTGGAGAATTTGTTTGCGTGAACACAACCGGGTCATTCGATCTAAAACATACCGGGCTTTCGGCACGGAAATGCTGTCAGTGTCAATCGTTCCGCTGGCCATGTCACGCGTGATCCCGTGAATTGGAAAAATTGTCGGTGAAATTTGTAGTGCATTCGCGTGCTGTGTAAATTGTTCAGATTAGGAAATAGGGCATGTGCATGTGTTTCAGTTCCACAGACAGATCAAACTTGAACTAGTCGAATGTCGTCGACATTGATGGATATTTATTTGTTTCTCGCTCCCTTTTTTAAGTAAATGATTAAAGGGTCGGAACGACTTCGTGCGGGGATACCGATGCTTGCTTGGTAACTAGGACGAATTAATGGTGGGGGGGGGGGGTTGGCTCAGAGACAGAACGGTTGGGGTTATTTATTTATTTTTTTTGTAGTGAAAAAAAAAGTTTGGGAAATTGCCAGAACATTTTTGTTTAATGTGTCAGATTTAATTTTATTTTTTAATTTATGAATTTTCATTATGTACATAGGCCATAACCTTACAATTTGTTCATTGTTGTAACATCTTTTAAAATGATTAAGCCTATTATACACTGTATAATAATTATTATTCATTCATTTTAATTGAGAACGTTAACGGAATGGGTACTTTCACTCATGTTTATAATTCCCTAGATTAAAATCGCAGAATTTACTTTTTTTTTTTTAATTTCTTTATTCATGATTTTGTTTTCTTTAAAAGACATTAATAGATATTGAGTACATATATACATTGTTTAAAAAAATACAAACTTTGGTCACAATAATGATAGCCTTGATCCTTTCCGGCTGTTCCGATTGTACAGGGTGGTGCAAAAAGAAGGAAACCCACTTTTGACGGAAATGTTCACCTACTTGTTGAGCATATTTCAAAAATTCAATGTAATGATTGAAACTATTGATCTTTAAACATAAATGACGAAAACATTGATAGCAAATGCATATTTTGTCTCTGAGATATGGTATTTTTAAAAGTTTCATGTGCCAAACCTGATTGCCCACGGACGGCTGTATTCCATCCGCTTGACTGAGCTCCAGAGCTCGATTTGAAGACACACAAAAACAACAGTACGCTGGACTTGGGCCTACACGTGGACGTACAACAGTGATTTTGGTTAATAAGTTAAGTAAGTATAGGTTAAAAATAAAATTCCTGTCAAAAGTGGGTTTTCTTCTTTTTGCACTACCCTGTATAGGCCTACAGATACATTTATCAAATTTTTCGGCAAATGAAATGCTCTTTTTGTCCAAATTTGAAGAGATCCTTCGCGATCACGCCCTGAAACTTTTACAATTCCACACATGACATTGGCCTTTCAAGCCCCACGAAAGTGGCCGACCATCGCGGGCGGCCGAGAATGATGAATATAGGTTGCCTGAACCATTTACGATTCGAGTGTTTAATGCATGTTTCAATAGGAGGGTTAATGCGACGGAGCGGCGCGCAGTCACGGTGACTAATAATCACTTAAATTTCCTTGTGAGTTTGGGAATCAACCAATGATGCGTCTCCATTCTAGCGTTGCCATGGCAGTGAGTTACGGATAAAAGCAGCATCCCTCGCGCTCGCTAGGCGAGGCCCATCTTTGCCTGATGCTGTGCTACTTCTATCCAACCGACTTGGCCATTTTGAGACACAATTTTCCTCTGTGTTCGACACACGTCCTCTATTCTTGTAATGCGAGAGAACCCCCAAAACGGTTCAATTTAAAAAAAACAAAAACAAAAAAAAACAAGACGGCGTTCCAAATTGCGTCCTCCTGAATACCGTCGTATCGTAGCAAACCGATTATTTTACACCGCAGTACACTCATTTAGCAACATTGCTCCACTGCCAAGACCACAGACGAAAGAAACATGCAATTAACACAGACATGCCTGATATATTGCATTCTGCACGAGGAAATGGAGGTCTAAGGTAAGTGGTATAGGTAGGCCTACGATTTTTATTCCTTAATAGGCGATGTGGGCTGTGGTCCATTGGAGCGCTCACGCGGTGGTCCAATGGTTACGGTGTTCGACTTATATGTGCCCGTGGTACGTGGGTTCGAACCCTGACGGGGAACATGGTGCTTGTGTTTTGGGGCAAGACACTTTACTACAATTGCTTCTCTCAACCCAGGAGTATAAATGGGTATCTGTGAAGGTAGAGACCAGCATGCGCTGATCTCAAGCTGCTACAAAAACTGATATCATGCCTTGATCATAAGAACAGGGGTAATAATTCCATTGTGTAGCGCTTTGAAACATTTGGTATCAAGTGCTATAATGCACCACATTATGCAGTCAATACCGGCGAATGGCGGTAGATCATTCACAGAAAGCCGGTCCTTTCGACTATATTTAGCAACATCACGTGGCGGTTCCCTTTTGGTTATGCCTTTCAGTCGAGGGGAGAGAAGCCCCGAGAAAAACAAACTTATTTTAACGATTTTGTAAAGTGTAGCTTGTTTGTTTTTGTCCCAACAGAATGCAGCCAGATACAGCGTCATGAGGTATTGCCTGTGTTCTTGAAGATTTGTCTAGGGCCCTATTTGCGCGAACAGTGTTGATTCAAGGAGATGACTGTTGCTTATCGTTCCATCGCAATCAGTGCAGATCCTACTAGAAATTTTATCGCAATTTTATCAGTGTTGGAGATGTGATCAACATATGAAATTGCAAAAATCACACACGGGGTAATTTAGGTAAGCCCGTCTCTGCATATACGTGGACATGACTATCGACGAGTAGCCTGCATCAAGCGATAGCAAGGCTTCACGAGAGGACAGGATTAAACATATACGCACTAAAGTTGCGAGCAGACGTCAGAATGGAGCATTGGAACGTTTCCATCAACTCCAGTACCGCTGCGACTGAAACAACTAGTGGCACATACATGATGATGAATGTCACAGATGTCGGCAATTATTCCTCGACTGCTCCAACACCAACACAAGTCCTGTTAACACCCTTGGATGAGTTGGTCTTCCAAGATGGTGTCACCGTCGCCTTCATCATCGCTTACGCTGTTGTCATGGTACCAGCTGTCATTGGCAATCTCTTCATCATCTTTGCCGTAGCTTTCCACCCGGACCTCCGCTCCCAACATTCCAACACTTACAACATCAACCTAGCCGTCTGTGATCTGATGGTGGTGGCAGCAGAATGCCCCTTGATGATCCTCCAGTTCTTGATCCGAGGAGAGACGGCAGAATCCTTCTTCACTGACTCCGTGTGTCGGCTGACTTTCCTCCTCAACGGATTCTTCGGCACCGTCTCCATCCTGACCATGCTTGCCATCGGTGTGGAGCGGTACTGCGCCGTCATGCATCCCTTGCAGATGATCGGTGAGAACACCGCAACCCGAGCGAGGAGCGTCATCTTCTTCTTCTGGTCGTTCAGCATCTTGACTCATCTTGGGCAGCTGGCGATCTATGGCGAAGTGAAGACGTGGCACTACATCAACAGCGACGGTGAAAGGTAAGAGTATTTACTACAATGCCGACCGCTAATAAGATTGGCACTTTTCATAGTTTGATCCAAAAGAACCTCTAAGCATATCTCTACCAGGTGAAATAAAACATATTGAAATAAATATGCACGCGTTACTAATTATGAGTTCAAAATTTTGACGGATGGTTTGCTGTTAAAAAAACAAAACTGTTAAGTATCTATCCTCGTATTCCTTCTGGAAGAATCTCCTTATCACTCAAGATTATATGTCCATGGTGCTACCGTGAACCGCTTTTATCTTTGCTCCGTTCAAAGCTTCTTATCTAATTATCTTGTTAGATTTGACGTGACCATCTGTATGAGTTCCCGCCCTGAGCAGGAGCAAGTCTTCGCCCACATCTACGCCACCACGGTCTTCATCTTAGTCTACGGTTCCACCTTCCTCACCACCCTCGTCCTGTACATACGAATCCTCCAGCATCTCATCAAGCGGAAGTCCGTCAGCCCCGACCAGATCCTCGAAGCAGGCAACGCCCCATCCACTCGAAGAAGAGGAAAGAAGAAGCATGTAGCTCCCAAGACGTGCACCGAGGCAGTCCAGAAGACATTCCGGATGTTGAGTTGCTCCGTGTTGTCCTACCTCATCTGCTACTCCTTGTATTTCTACATCAATCTCTACTACATATACTACGGGTTGTCTGAGTGGAATGGCATGGCGTTGATTCTGATTGGTAACTGGTTCGGCGCGCTCAACTCTCTCATCAACCCGATCGTGTACGCCGTCTTTGTGGGCCAGTTCTGTACCGTCTTCAAGGCCATTTTGACGGGGAGTTGGAGGAGGAGGAGGAGTTCGTCTTCAACCATCCAAATAAGGATGGCATCAGGAGGACGGTCTGAGAACAGACGCGTACGGAGACCGAAGCCCAAGCCTGGATCGACCCGACGAGAATCTCGGGTTGCATCCATTGACGGACAGAGCTCTATAACGGACCGCCTGTAGTTTTATTGGCCCAAACATTGGGCTGCGTAGGTTGCCAGGTTTTACGTTTGGGTGGGACACAAATGGTCACATTTTTTTTGTCCAATACCGAACTAAGTTGTATGTCAATGGCATAATTTGGATATTTTGGGTGCAACGTTGAGTAAAGTTGCTCTTCCCGTACTCTCCAACATATTCAATGTTTTCTCCCAACTTTTTCAATTTGTACATTTTCTTTTCACGAAAAAGACAACAAAAATCGCCTGAATTATTATCGGGCTGCGAATAAATCGAAATTTTTAGGTATTTATTCCAAAACTCTATGTGAATTTTTGTTTTCGTTTGAGGTCTCATTCAAAACTGTGTGTTGTTAGTAAAATAGAAATTAATTTTTTTAAAATATTTTCCGGATGAAAATCGAAAAAAAAAAAACACGGGCTGAGTAAATTCTGGCTGGAGAAACGTAAGTCAAAGGCATATAGAATCGTTTGCATTTATCCCCAAATTAACCAACCCGAATTTTCATCAAAAAGCTTACTTAGATTAAAGATCGCACTGCTACTAAACACCCCGGGAAACTGTTCCGTCTGGCTTGCTGTCACTTGGACGAAATCAAGAAATGTAGGTGATTTCCAAAGATCAGTCGATTGATTTTTTTTGTTAGAAATAACGATTGCTATCTGCGATATCGCGTTTCATGATCAAAAGGTTGTGCGTGCTTTTTGACCATTTTCCCGAAAAGTGTAGTAGCCAATAAGCTGAAACTGAAATAGGTTAGGTTCTCACATTCTTCTTTGGATTTTGAGTGGTGTTATTATTGAAAACGAACAAAATGCATGAAAGGAAAATGATGTTATATGCCTGTAAAACTCCATAGGCTGTAATTCTGTTATCCACAATGGTTTAAACCATTATTAAATTCATCCAGGGTGTCTAAAAAATGTAGCAGCCAAACAACATTTTTTTTCTGAGGAAACTAAACCGTTTATTTATTATAATTTTTTTTTAATTTACCATGAGATGGTAGAGTGTTTCTTTACCCTTTGACAGGATTTTTGTTCTGTGTGATTTGGACATTTTGTTTAAAAGTTACAGCAAAGCTTGTTAAGACTGTAAAAATCTGTTTGAGCCACTTTCTTCACCTTCTTGGTATGTGAATGCCTTTCATTAGATACCAAGTGGCCCAACTTGGAATTCAAGTCCTTTCATTTAATTAGCTGTATCTCCGGACTGGGGTGTCCAAATGAGATGGGATAAAGACCACTGTGTAGAGTATTTACTACACCTTCAGACTCTGTAGATAAGTTTTACAAAAAAGAAAGTACTAGTATTTTTTAATATTTATGGATTGACTGCTACATTCTTTTGAGACACCCTGTACAATAAAATTCACAGAGAAGGAAACTTGACAACAATGAAATCAACAACATACCTCATTTTTTAGGCAAATATACTGTGGCCTTTTAATGCTAATGCTAGTATGCAAATGAAAACATTTGATTGAAAGCACATTTTATTGATGGCCTATTGTTATTGTACAAAAAAGCCATTTAGGATTTTGCTAAGCGTTCAGAAAAAGGGGTACAATATCAGATATATTTGTGTCATAATTACAGCTAGACAGCAGCCTAGTGAATTCTGTAAATATTACTTCTTGGCCACAATAACTGAGCACAAAATCGAATATAATTAGTATATCTATCAAGGTGAAATGCCGGAAAGCTAGAAAATTAGACTTCTCATTTTAAAACAAAAATCACAGTTGATTGAAAATTATGAAGTTTTGGATGTAGTTTTTTTTCGTGTTGGATAGACACAATGTGGGAGGCGGTTTCAATACCTAATGTCAAGTTATGATTACTTATGAGAGGCATTTCTCCACTAGGAATAAAAGAATCTCAGAGAAGGAAACTTGACAACAATGAAATCAACAACAACATACCTCATTTTAGGCAAATATACTGTGGCCTTTTAATGCTAGTATGCAAATGAAAACATTTGATTGAAAGCACATTTTGTTGATGGCCTATTGTTATTGTACAAAAAAGCCATTTTGGATTTTGCAAAGCATTCAGAAAAAAAGTGGTACAATGTCAGATATATTTCTGTCATAATTACAGCTAGACAACAGCTTTGTGAATTCTGCAAATATTACTTCTTGTCCACAATAACTGAGCACAAAAATCGAATATAATTAGTATTTCTATCAAGGTGAAATGCCGGAAAGCTAGCAAATTAGGCTTCTTATTAAAACAAAAATCACAGTTGATTGAAAATTATGAAGTTTTGGATGTATTTTTTTTTTCGTGTTGGATAGACACAGTGTGGGAGGCGGTTTCAATACCTAATGTCAAGTTTATGATTACTCATGAGAGACATTTCCCCACTAGGAATAAAATAATCTCACTTTAATGCTAGAACGACTAATTCAAAACCTTGTTGGATTTCTAAGAGGTGTGAAGAAAAAGCCTTTACTTTCTGAAAGAGCTTGAAACCGACAAAGCTTAAATCTGATAAAAAAAAAAACCTTTTACTGTAGCTGTCGCTTTCAAGAATCAATTCATTAAAGGGTCGGCAACTTTGAGTCCCTGACTGAAGTCCATTTGGTTCTGACGACCATAAGGATTGCAACTGATTTTAGGGTCATGTTCTGAACGTATAGTACTACTTTTAACTTGTCCATATTTGCTATGAAAAGAGGAAATAGTTAAATTTTTTGTTAAAGTCCAAGGCAATTATTAGACCTAAAAGTCCATAGTTCAGAACTAGGAAGATAACTTCAATCCAGGCTTGAATATACTCCAGAGAAAATAGATTTGCAGTACATCAAAACGAAATTTGTTTGAAACTTTTGTGTGTCACAATGATTCACACTTCTTGTTCAATTGACTGACATGAACCCAAAAAAAAAAAAATTGATGAAAAAAATATTGGAAAACAAAAACCTCAGAAATTTCATTGTTAATATTTTCTCTAAGGAATGTGCATAGATTGGACACCAAACTCTTTCCCATCACAATAAACCGTACACAATTTTCTTCGGTAAGTGGTATCCCACTAGGTGCACCTTGGCCGAGCTGCTTCTCAGTAATACAAACGCCCCTTCACCCGTTACGCCCGTCCACACGGGTACAAATGGGCACCCCCCTCCCTGGGTGCCAGTGCCCTTCTGGGTTCGTTGGCTCTGTCCCAGGATGAACCCGGAGGAGCATTCCATCGTGGTTGTGTCGTCGCCGATTTTGATGATGTCGTCGACTTCGCCAGCGCTCCAGAAGAGGACTTGGCCGTCCCAGCCCGTGGAGAGAAGAAAACGACCCCTGGGGTCAAAGGTCACATTGCTGACAAAGGATTTGTGACCTGAGATGAAATAAATTAAAAAAAAATCAAAGAAAAAAACTCTAATTAAGTATTCAAATCACATAGTCCTGAAAAAAAAAATGCTCTCAAAAGTGATTTCAAATAATATATTACAAAAGTGATTTAAAACATGTATAAGATTAGAACAAAACTTTTTTCACTATTTGGTAACAAAATAATTGCTTCTTCATAGTTGTCTTATAAATTGACTAAGCCTTGAGGCAAGTTATATTGTCTTACCTTTTAAGACGGCACATTTGTAGAATGTGTTTGGTTTCAGATGCTTCTTTGGACTGACTGTGATCAGACGAAAAAAAATAAAAACATCCACCAAAAACCAAGAGTTAATTAACTGAGAATGAAATTGTGTAGATTCACGAGTGCACATTTTTGTTATAATCCATACAAAGAACATAGTCCCCGGCTTCATGTATTATGGTTCAGATTAGCCCTAGCATGTTTCCAGCCTTTTTTTGCTTTAAAGTCCTATTCATGCTGCTGTGCATCTTCTAGCTTGCCTGTTGTTCTTTTCATGTGATTTTTGACTACCCACCAGTGATGTTTGTTATGATTGACTGTAGCTGGCGGGACTGGGTTGCATATAAATAATAACAAAAACCCACTAAAATTATGTGTAATTTTTATATAAGAAGAGCATGGTCTCTTAATTATAAAAATTATTTAACTTTTCTAAAAAAATTTTTTTTTGAAAATCAAAATATTTAGAATGTTGGATTTTATTCTTGTGATCTATTACAGCTTTAATCAAAATCCAAATTCCAATGACGCCCTGGCCTATATGCAAAAATAGAACAAATATATGCCTATTAAACATAAAATATAACCCATTACTAGAGCATGGTCTCTTAGTTATAAAAATTATTTAACTTTTCTAAAAAAAAAAATTTTTTTAAATCAAAATATTTAGAATGTTGGATTTAATACTTGTGATCTATTACAGCTTTAATTAAAATCCATATTCCAACGACGCCCTGGCCTATATGCAAAAAACACACAAATATATGCCTATTAAACATAAAATATAACCCATTACTAGGGCATGTAAAGTAGCTATCTAAGTATGCTAAGTACATGTACAGGCTGGTTCTGCACACTTTGCTCCTAAACCTTTTATGCTCCGTGTGCTGTGTAGGCTGTGCAAACATTGGGCTGGTTTTGGCTCCTTTTACGATCTTGGGGTGGTAAAGCGTGTGTAACAATTAATGTAGAGAGAATTTTCAGGAAATGGTTGAGGATATTGACAGGTGCTTAGGCTTCCATGATAGATTTGTACCAAGGGAAGAAAAATTCTCTTTTTCTGAAAGGGGAAGGGTCTTAAGGAAATTGTTTAATTTGGTTTTACTTGGTTAGGGTTAACAAACTTTCCTCTGACCACAAAAAAACAAAACAATATTTTTGTATATCAGGGAGAACAAAGTTGACGGGTTTGAAATTTTTTGGAATGGGGAAATGGTTGGTATACCGGGCACTAATTAGAAATCCATTCAAGTAAGCAGGCAACCAACTCAGCAGCCAACCAGCCAGATAAATGGCCAGCAGAAGCCAGCTTACAAGCCATTCAGGGAGGATGCCGGCCAACCAATGAAAAACAAGACAAGGCAAGGCTAGCAAGACCAGCAAAAACTAAAACAAAAAAATATTAATAAATAAAACGCAAAACCATACATGACAATCAAAATGAAAGGAAATGACATACATCATGAAAAGATTGGAATACAACATAATAGCTTTTTTTTTCACCAAAAAATCCATGAAATTTAAGCTCCAGATGATATTTTGCTTGACTAACATGGCTGCCCACCACTTTTAGTTCAGTATGTCAAG